AAAAGAAGGAAATGAATTGATCAGCACAGGAAAAGATACCGCACTATTTTGTCTTTCTTTTTTATGGAAGAGGGGGCAAACGAGCAGACGGGTCACTTGATGGAATATGACCACCGACGCCCATGAACGTCTGCAACTCGGTCACAAACTGTTGCCTACTTTTTAGGTAGGAGTACGCTCTTTTCTTGAAGGTTTGAAGGTCGTATCGGTCCGAAAATACCGCAGAGGAGAACTTGTTCCACAGATTAGTTGTGCGAGTCAAAAAGGGTCATGAAAAGTGCACAGTGGTGGAGCGCCAATTATCTAAATGATGACGATGAAAATTTTGCCGTGTGGAACGATTGTTTAAAGTTGCGGCCGGTACTAGTCCAAACAATTCCTCGGAGCACTCTCGATAGAGAATGCAGAGTGAAGCTATATCTCTACGTCACGCCAAGGGATCAAGCCTCTACATGTAATGTACCTCGATATGTTTGTATGTAGCGTCCACATATATTTGTTATACATAACAATAACAGGCACCATAGTCCATACAAAAGCACACAATGTAGGTGTCTCGGTTGTCATACTCACGAGCAGCGGTTGGTTAGTGTTACTATTTTCACTTTCTAATTTTTCCTATTGTTTGTAATGTTTGACACGGTCAGTTTTTTTTTAAAGATTTTTTGATTTATTTAATAAACCAATCTACCTTTTAAAATGCAGATACAAACAGAACACATTATTTTATCGCAAATGCATGATCCAGAACGATAGATAAAATTGGATTAGAAAGTGGGCCCCATTTTTTTATCAAATCCGCACACAGAAGTTAATAATCTGAAATAAACAAAGTGAATTATTTACACATATATATTATTATGTAGATACAGAGTTATGCTAAGGATTTTCGAACCTTTACATTTACATAATTATGCCTACTTTTAGTATCGTAATAGAATAATTACCGCAGGTCTTAATTTCTTTTACTTTTTTAAATTTTAGAATAGAAAATAATAAATATACTAAACTTATAACATGTATTTTAATCTTTTTAGTATTCTGATGAAGTTATTATTGTATGGTCATCGTTTCCTTATTGTAGAGTTAGTTATTACTAGTAGTTTTTGCCGTGTGGTGACGGATTAAGAATACGGAGAGTCACCACCCCTATTCATCCCGTGGGTGTTGTAAGCCGACTAAGGGAGCAAACTACGCAGGACAACAGCACTGCAAAGACAAGAAAAACTTGAAACAAAACCTATACCAACCCGTCTGGCCAGCGTGATGAAGTAGGCCAAAACCTATTTTCTAAGGAGATGTCTATGTCCAACAGTGGACTATTAAAGGCTCTTGATGATGATGACTAACAGTTTTATACAAGTATCAACTGTCTCTAAGTAAGGTTTTTCTAAGAATTTTGTATTTTGTAATTTTTTTTGGAAAGTAGGTACATTATAAGGGTTAGACGACTACTACTACTCTTAAATTAACAGTTAGCTCGGTTATGTCTCTGGCCTGTGGTGGCCCTCATACGTAGTCTTCTTGACTTTTCAGGCCGAAAACTCACCTTATAAAAAAAAAAGGGGAGAGGGGTCACTTAACTCTAATAACATTAAATATTTCGCAATCGGATCGCTCAATCGAAAAACAGGCTAATAGGTTTTGTTTGACTGTGAACCCAGTGCAGAGTCAATCCATCATCATAGGCTGTCAACGTATGCCTGGAAGGTTAGACCAAGGTAAACTGCCCGCCATTGCCTTTAACGGCAAAGTCATTCCTTTTGGTCCTGCTGTTAAGAACCTAGGCCTAATTATCGACTCGGAGCTCAGCTAGCCAGGTCTCGAGCGTTCCCAAACATGACCATGTTTCCTCCTTTCGTCGCGAATTGAACTGGCTCACTATTCGTCAGCGCCGTCAGCTGCGCGCCCTCACCACCCTCCATTCCATTCTCAACTTACCCATTTCCCCCTCCTACCTGACATCTCTCATTCGAATTTCTGTGTTCCAACCACTATAGAACCCTCTATTCATCAAACATGCTCTTCTGCTATGCCCCACTCATACTTCCACTAGTGTCCACTCCTCGTTCCTAATCTAAGCCGTACTCCTCTGAAACGCTCTCCCTCTAGAAAGTAATCATAATAGCACCCAGCCACCACTCATTCTAGATGAAAGTTCTAGCTCGCATTCTGGACACCTTAGCAGATCCAACACAACCTTAAAGTTTTATATATTATTAATATATAGGTTTATGTATGTATGTAACTAAATAAGTATTTGTGTATGTGTATAAATTTGGTACGTATGTATGTATATTTATCTCATTGATTCTGTCTAACTTCTCAATAATTTTCTCTTACTTTACAATTTAATGTCTAGTGCCCCTAGTCACACATTTCAGCATCACCTAAGGTAGACTGGGAGAAAATGCCTGTGGCATTAAGTCCGCCATTGTACAACTCATACTTGTGCATAAAGAATTAAATAAAATAAAAATATTCTTCACACAGAGATATATGTAGGAAGTAGGAATGGATCTAACATTCCTCATCTACACGTAACACAAAAAAAATCTTTTATAATAATAATAATAATAACTTCACATATCTCACACACGGCTGTCTGATCCCAAACTAGGCAGAGCCTGTACTATGGTAACCAGACTGCTGATAAACATACTTATAATTTTTTTAAATCCACATATTATAGATAAATTACACCCAGACACAGAACAAATGACCGTGCTCATCACACAGTATTTGTCCTGGGTGGGAATCGAACCCACGACCTCCGGCTTAGCAGTCAGGGTCACTAACCACTAGACCAACAGGCCCGTCGGACCTATAATACCATTTTGTCAACAATAATAAAATGCAAATATATTATAGGAACGCAAATGAACGCATTCATAGTTCCTTTTTTGAGGTCATCGTACCTGCAGATGCAATGCTAATAGGCATTTTGGGTGTGCAGAAATATTTGAACGGAAATCAACGCCAAAGACAGCCCACTGCTGGACATAGGCCTTATAAAGACGTTTTTGGTTTACTAGTTGGTAGTTTTTCTTTTCAGTCAAATGCGACAGAATATTTGATTACCACGTGGCAGAGGTGTTCTGTATGAATATATATAGTGGATACTAGAATGTGATTAATAAAAATCGAATTGCTGCGATTGTACCTTCAAACCGACTAAAAGTACATGGTCTTCAGATTGAAGATTCACGCAATACTTTGATTATGCTACCAATCCTAGACTAACCCAAATGGTCCCAGCTCCTGCCTCAATTTAATATTCAGATGAGGAGGAGAGCGATATTCCCTCTGTCAGAATCACAAAGGCTGTGATGCCCGTAAAAGAAGCATCCAAATTTCTTGTTTTAAGATCGAGCCGACATAACGGGATGAATAGGCAATCTGAGTGATATTTTATTAAGTGAGAACGCTTCGCTTCTACGCCGGTCAGAATACTACAATACTCTGCTATTGTGTTGCAAATGTGGCATTAAACAATTTTTTCGTAACGTTTATACTTATTAAAAAATTATTTTTGTTTATTAAAAATAGTTTTTAATTGTACCCATAGATGTAGTATATTTCTAGTAGATCTTTGTAATCCTTTCAATACATTTTGGGTGCTCTTGGCCTTCAATGTTGACATTTCTAGTTTGACTTTTGATACTGGGTTTTTTACGATATTATTATACATCTAAGTTTAAATAAACTAAAATAAATGATACCTCTTCAAAACTTTACATTTTTAATACTCGTAATGTTTAATTGTGCGTGTGAAATGAGTTTAATAAAGAAATTATGATTTGAAATAACATTAAACTCCCAATGTTGATACATAAAAGTACTTGTTCGGATTATTTTCAAAATATTGCTCTGTATAATACTGCTATTACTTACTCATGTAATCCTGAACACTAAACTGTCCCTTTAAAGACAAAGGAGTCTTCGCTAAATTGTTTGGTAAGACTTCATCTCAGATCTTAAAGAAAGAAACTTAAAGCGAAGTGCATTTGGATGTCAATTCTGTTAAATACCCTGTTTAATTAATACCCATGCTAGAGAGTACTAGGTCTTTGTGTTCACTGCAGCATCTGCTTGTGCACAGATATTCCTAATAAGAATTAAGTTATATTAAAATTCATATTTTTTCTTTACCATTTCAAGTTAAACAGTACACTCGAGAGAGTGTAAGTAAAACTCTTGTTGGTAGAAGTATGTTCAAAAAGGTAACATGTTGAAGACGGCCAATTTAAAATCCAGAAATCGGTTCAGCTATTTTCAAGTGATGTGTTTGGCAACTAACACAATCTTATTTTTTTTTAAGTGCTACTCGTCGTAACTTTTGATTTCCTTTTTTGCTGTAGATTTAATTTACTTAAGTTTAATCTCTCAATTTGAGTGCTCTCTCAATTTAAAAAAAAAAACAGTCTACATGTCTCACCTTCATAGATATTTATGCATCGTCATATAAGTGAAAAACCTTTCAAAATTTAAAATAAAATCCAAACGTTAACTTGTAACTGTTTGTCTTTATAAAATACTCAAAATGGTATACAGAGGTGAAATGATTGCGTAATATGAGGATATTGCATACCCATACCTAGATTGGTTTACAGATTAATTGCACGCTAGTGAGTTTCCGCCAGTGTGTTCATATTAATTTGTTAAAGAGTTTTATCAGTTTTCCCTTGAAAAAAGCATGTATAGTCAGTAGAAGCTATCCACAATCACTGACTGAAAATGACGCATTTAGATAATAAAATGTAAAAAATTGCTTTTACATAAAATGCCTCTACGCTGCCATCATCCAACATTCCTTATTACTTTGATGAGGCTACTGTTGCAACTAGTCCGTTTTTTGTTATAATGCGGAGACCGCAAAAGTTATTTAATTTTTGCTTTGACTTTCAGATGTCACGGATCCACATAGCACGATAGTAGAGGCAGTGATGCTGGCAGGGGTTGGGTACAGCAGAGCTCGGGTGGGATAACCTTCCCTCGTGATGCGTGTGAGGGCGGCGAGGGCGCTGCGGGCGCTGCGCCGCGCGGTGCTGCTGCTGCCTCTAGCGTTGACTGCGCTGGCGCTGCTGCTGCTGCCGCGCCCGCAACCCCTCACACCCTCGCCTGGGAATTCCTTACCCACCGCAGCGCTAAAAGATGAAATACATCTACAAGTTATAGAGGTAATTTACAGTACGACTACAAACATTGCCAAATCATTTGCACAAACCGTTATCCATATTAAGCTGTTAACCATGGTTGAAAACCTGTAATTAGAATACAGTCATTAATTTAATGTAAAGCAAAAGCAAACTTTGTATTCTTAAAATCTTAAATAAATCATAAGAAAACAATTAACTAAATTAAAATACCATAAAATAAATAAGTAATAGTATTTTTCAATGGTAGATGCAAGTGGCGCGATACAGCGATAAACTAAAGAAAGAAACGTGCATTTACGAGATGATTCGTACGATTTCGTAGATGTCAATTCAGTTAAAGACCTTGCGTGCAAAGTAGCTTTCAATTCTGTCTTCATCATCAGTACATGTTAGAGAGTACTAGGTCTTTGTGTTCACTGCAGCATCAGCTTGTGCACAGATATTCCTAATAAGAATTAAGTTATATTAAAATACTTTTAATTAGATTAATATAATTATGATTGTTACTTTTGAAATTGCCATTATACTTCTCTATTTTTATTTTTTTTAACTTTATTAGTAGATTTGCAGATTATGATAAAACTTCTGTCCTCACCACTTGCATGATAATGGTTAAATGGAATTTTAATGTATATATATAAACTAGCATTTCCCCGCAACCCTGTGCGTATGTCAATTATCGATTAAAAAGTAGCCTATGTCCTTCCTCAAGAATCAAACTATCTCCATAGCAAATTTCATCTCAAGCAGTTTAGCGGTTAGTGATTCCCCATACAAACTCCATCCCCGTTTTCACCCCCTTAAAGGATGATTTCTGTGATAAAAACTATTCTATGTCCTTTCCCGGGACTCAAACTGTCTCTATATCAAATTTTATCTAAATCGGTTCAGCGGTTTCAACGGTTCAAGAGGTAACAAACAGACAGATAGATAGATAGACAGACATATACACTTTCACATTTATAATATATGTATTTCGAAGCCAAGATTGTAATCAAACTTTGGTAGGGTATTCTAGGCCCAAGTAACTACGCGCTGTCGGTGCCGTTCTGCCTAGCCTCGAAGCTTGGGTAGGTAGGGCGGGAGGCCGCGTCACCTACCGATTGACGCAGGTACTCACTGGGCATGGTTGCTTCGGTGAGTACCTGAATCGTATCGGACGTGAGGAGACGGCACAATGCCAGCACTGCGCAGCCGATTGGGACACCGCCCAGCACACGCTGGAAGACTGCCCCGCGTGGGCGTCTGAACGCGAAGTCCTGGACGACCAAATTGGACGAGACCTGTCCCCGCCAGCAATTATTGCTGCCATGCATGCGGGTGAGGAGGGATGGGGTGCAGTGATCTCTTTCTGTGAAGGTGTAATGCTCCAGAAAGAGACCGCTGAACGGAATCGGGAGAGGGCCGATCCCGAACGTAGATAACAGCCGTCGACGGGGCCGCAGGCCGCCAGAGAGGGGACCTCTGGTGGCAAATTGATTGCTGCGGTAGGGCATTTAATGGCCGGCCTGATTGCATTAAGATGCGATCGGGCCGCCATGCCGCGATTGAGGGGGGGTGTGTTCTCCCCTGGGATAGAGCCTGATTAGGCATGGTGTCAATTCGAGCAGGACCTGAAATAACATGGTCCGGGTCCTCCCCAGAGTAGGACACCTGAGGCCGGCCGTCGGGGTGGTTTTTAGTGGAATCACCACATACTCCTGGCTCATAGTCCCCGAGGAGCAGGAGATCCGAAGGGATTTTCCACCCCGTCAACATAAAAAATAAAAAAAGGCCCAAGTAACTTTATATAAATGATTTTTTTCGTTATTACCTTTGTTCTTTATAAAATTAGCCACCATATTTAATGTCTTATGATTAAAATAAATATAAACAAAAGAAGTTGTCGCTTATATTTTATATAATACTTGATACTTAAAAAAATGTACTTAAAAAATTTTTGGTGTTACCATTTATTAACTTAGGTTAAATAGTAAATAAAATCTTAGCAGAACAGCAGGAATCCCACCTGGACGGTATGAAAGGCAGTGTGAAAGAAGATATAGTATGAAGAATGAAAGTACGATCAGTAGCAAATGATAAAACTGGAATGAATAATTAGTGTAGATAATCCTCCAAATATACATTGAAGGTGCTAGAAGACGGTAACACCCTGCGATGGCGGGTGCCTACATTAAATTAAAAAAAAAAACATACTTTCAAAAATATTCAAATTGGTACTTTTTTAATTATTCATTTTAAAATATGTGCAAAAGCATAAATGTTGCTGCAGAGCTGGATTTCGTGCAGATTTGTGATTTTTTTAGTCCATTGCGTTATTCTACCGTGGGCGAGCCATGCTTCGGCACGCAAAGGCCGCTTCGACCGGATTGATACCACGGCCTCACAGAAAACTGGTGTTAAGCAATTCTTTCGTTTCCTTTCGCTGAGTGAGTGAGGTTACCGGAGCCCAAATCCCCCCTCCCGCTGATTCGAGCGGGAGGGACTCCAAGGGCAGCAACGCACTTGTGACTTCTGAGTTGCAGGTATCCATGGGCGGCAGTGTTAGTATTGGTATTGGTTGTGGGCTTCGGTTTCCGCATAAGAGTGATCCTTTATGCGTCGAGGACTGGTTAGATAGGTGAGCCAACCAAGCTCCTTCCAGAAGCGCAGAAGCCTGCTGGGGCGTTCACAGGCTTCTTGATGATACTTGCCCGTTGTGTGGCCACTCCCTCGCATTCCAGGATTACGTGGGCGGCCGTTTCTTCTGCTTCCAGACATCCCCTGCACAGAGGGCTGTCTGTCGCATTGATGATGAATAGGTGTCGGTTCAGGGCTAGGTGTCCTGTTATAGTTCCGGCAACTTTTCGGATTTCCAGTCTGTCAGTCTGACTTGAGTCAGCACCAGTTTGGACTGTCTGCAGCCGGGCGAGTTTTTCCACCTCCGGTTGTGTGCTTCACGAGTCCGTTGCCTGGCCCAGAATCGTATTTAGTTAAACGGTATTTGCAGAAGTATAGTTGGGCCGGTAGCTGGGGTTGCCAAGATGGGCGGCAGTAGTTGCTTACCATAAGGTGACTCGTCTGCTCGTTTCCTCCCTTTATACCATTAAAAAAATGATTCGATTCGACTTGCCTGTCAAGGGGTAGTGACCCAGACCACTAAGCCCACCCAGGACAAATAATTGTGTGGTGAACACGATCATTTGTTCTCAGTGTAAGTGACCTATAATAATTATGTATTTAGAAATATTTAAGTATGAGCAGTCTGCTTATCATAGTATAGGCTCTGCCTAGTTTACTCTTTAAAAAGACAACTCCCGCATTAGGAATAAATCCTGTGTCGCGGGGGACTTTACAAACATACATGAAACGGACACAAAGAACACCCAGACTCAGAACAACAATTTGTGGATCACACAAAGTGTCGTCCCATATGGGGTTTGAACCCACAACACTCGGCGTAGTAGGAAGCGGCGTGGTGACCGCTTAAACCACTACGCCATCCGTGCAGTCAGAGATCAAAGTTTGAGATCAAACTGCCGTGTGTGAGATATGTGAAGTTATTATTATTATTAATTGTCGGTTTACGGTCACGGGAATTAGTATTTAATAAAAAAATAGGGTTGTGAGTTTTCGTATCTGTATCCGTTGCGTATCATCATCATCATCAACAGTCCACTGCTGGACATAGGCCTCTCATTAGAAAGGAGGTTTTGGCCCACTATACCACGCTGGCCAGATGGGTTGATATAGAGTTTGTTTCAAGTTTTCCTTCTCTTTGCAGTGCTGTTGTCCTGCGTAGTTTACTCCCTTAGTCGGCTCTTACGACACCCACGGAATGAATAGGGGTGGTGACATTCCGTATTCATAATTCGTCACCACACGGACTCTTAATCAGTCACCACACGGACTCCTTTGCGTATAGACATTTTTAATTATTTGGCACATCCCTACCAATTACCAATAAATTAAATAAGTTTGCTGTCGGACTTCTGAAATGTTACCCTACACAGTACGATAAGACTAAATAAAACGGATGTGTAGACTGGCACAATTTTTAATTGACTTCTCACAACATTGAACATGCTTAATCGTAACAGATGAAAACGGATGTTCTCACAATTGATTTAACAATTCTTGTCAACAGGGGTAACTAGTCTGTTAATGGATACCAAACAAGGTAGGCCGTATGTCGGAATTATATCGAAAAAAAAACACATCTACAACCTAGACTACATAGCAGATACAACTTTTCGAATGTTCTCGGAAACTTTTATTTTGTTCTCAAAAATGCACGAAATCTCATCAATAAAAAAAAATATAGTAATGAATTTATGTACTTTAGTTATAACTAAAGTAGGTTTATCTCTTATTTGCCAAACTATGAACTACGACAAATTTCATATTTTGTCTGCACCCACCGCATCATATTTCTACATCACCTGAAGGGCGACTGGGAGAGAATGCCTCATGGCATTAAGTCCGCCTTAGTACAGCATGTGCATTAAGATTGCAAAAAAAATGCTGTAACCCTTAAGCTGTAGGTATACGGAAGGATCGTATTTGTAGGGCAGTGAATTTGTCATCTCAACAAATTCTGGCGTTCATCTTTTTATAAAGGTTTTATTTCAACACACAAAAATATTTTTCAGAGTCTACTATTGAACCTCCTAGAGAAATAGTCTACTTGTAGTATTTGCAGTAAACTATTTTTACATAACCATCATAGTACGTGGTGATTGCAACAGCTACACACTTATCTTTGTTCTATGCTGGAATCCAACAATTCCATTGAATGAGTTGCAGACGTTCATGATCGGCAGTACTCACTTTCCATCAGGTGACCCGTCTGATCGTTTGCCCCCTCTTCCATAAAATAAAATCTACACGTAATTGATAGTCCAGTGGTTAGTGATCCCGACTGTTAAGCTTGAGATCGTGGATTTAATATTCACCTAGAATGACCTAGACCTACATTAAGAATTAGGGAAAATTAATATAATAAAATAAATGAATTGCTATTATAATTTATTTACCAAACTATGGCTAAATTCAGTCGATCTTCTTTAACATTCATTTCAATGCTACTTATCAATTAAATATATTTTAGTAAATTTTCTGGTTGATGACTTTTGTTATAACATTTTTTTTAATCGTAAATTTATGGCACTTTTCAAAACCATGTATTAACCTTTGGCAGGTTAATGCATCCTACATTCAGAAGTATCATCGAACTAAAACACAATATATATACCTAATGTAACACACTACTACCCAGATAATAGTTTGTTTAGGATAATTACTGAATTGTTTAGAGTATTTATTCTTTTGAGTAGGTATATCTTCTTCTTTACAAAATAAAATCATTTTTTGTGTATTTGTAATTTATGTGCTGTCTTGTCTTATCATTATGACTGACATGAATTGGCTGGCCTATTGGTATAGTGGTTAGTACCCCTGACTGCTTAGTAATCGAACCCATGACCTATGGGGTCATGGGTTTGATTACCCATTATTTATGTATTATTACGATTCCCAACGAGAATTAATAATCGTGTGTTGAGCACGATCATTTGTTCTGTGTCTGGGTGTAATTTATCTGTTATATGTATGTATTTAAAAATATAGTATGCGCATCAGCACTGGTTACCAAAGTAGAGGCTCTGTCTAGTTTGGGTTAAGACGGCCGTGTGTGAGATGTTTGAAGTTATTATTATTTATGAAGTTTTACAAGACGTTGGTTATATTAGGTAATATCCCCTGCATTAAAAAAAACGAATGATTGAAAACAGCAGTGATCAATGTTATACATTTATATTCACAGTAAATAATTGCCTGTAATTAGATCAGTTTTTGTCCATTCAATATTTTAGCTCGACTTCTGTTTATTTTAATACAATTGATAACCTTTCCAATATGTTTGAAGTAAATCAAAATCGAAATTTCAGAAGCCGCACATAAAATGACCCTTAGGCATAATGAGTAGTTCAAATAATAACACAATTTAATCAGTCAGTTTTACGGTACCAAAAACCAGTGATTAATAATTTATCTATCCTATTTAATCTAATACCTATTTTCTTATTTAAAATAATAAAACTAACCTAACATCATCACCTATCCACTGATATATTTAAATTCATAAATATACGAAGTATGTTATTCACTTTATCAATCATCAACATCAGCAGCTTTTAATAGTCCACTGCTGGACATAGGCCTCTTCTTAGAAAGGAGGTTTTGGCCTATTATACCACGCTGGCCAGATGGTTGGTATAAGATTGGTATAAAAAAAGGGTTTGTGTCAAGTTTTCCTTCTCTCAGCAGTGCTGTTGTCCTGCATAGTTTATTCTCTTAGTCGCCTCATACGACACCCACGCTATGAATAGGGGTGGTGACACACTGTATTCTTAGTCCGTCACCAACAGACAACGCCTACACTTAGTAACTTTAAAATATATGATATTTTATGTAAAGATTGATTGGAGTGTGCAGCCAATTTAACTCAGAAAAAAAAAGGAGAACCTACAAGATTATTTCAAAAAATTTTAGAATTACTTTTGCCATAGAAAGACGATGTTGATGGAACCTTGGGGTCACACAAATTCTAGTGTACACTATTCGCCTTGGCTACTGTTTCCCTGTGACCAGTTTTGGTATAATTAGTCCAATCAGCTCTTAGATTTTAATATATCTACTATTGCATGTGTTTCAGAACGAGGTCGTTACAACTGCAGACTACGTAGCGAACCAAGAAATTGAAGGCGACGAAGTGTCTCGCCGACCCTGGTTCATGCGAGGAGGAGAGCAACGGCCCTGGCAGAGCGACCCACATGCCAAATTATTCCCTGAAGACGCACCTGGAGATGACAGGTATATTTCTTTGACCTAGATACATGAACATATTAAAATAGTTAATGAAAAGTCTAAAAAGAGTATCTGTGCATCGACAAGGATATCAACTGCGACATGGGGTCTATCATTTATTACACTAAAGATTATATACGGAGCTACTTATTTAGGTTCTATGTGCTGTGGTGCACCTGTATGGGCAACCGATAGGGCAACCGTAGGCGCTGTCTGTCGCCGTTCTTAAGAAAATGCAAGAGTACGCCAATTGTGCATATTATTGAGAACAAAAATTCTTTGGAAAGAATTGAAACACTTTTTATCCGAACAATTACAATGTCTGAAAATAACTAAAGCATCATTTTGATAGATAATTTTCTTTTATCTTTAATTTTGTTCTGGCTTATTATATGAGAGTACTTATACTCACCACTTGTTGGTACGTAAAAACTTGTATCGAATCGATCTTCAAAGATTTTCTGAGTAACAAAATTCACAAGTATATTGATATAAGTTAAATTAAATTTTTCAAGAGTGAAATTTTTTTATAATCGCAATTTTTTTTATCTATCCATCAAGATCCTTTACTTGTGCTATGACTACGAGACCTTGCTTATTGTCAAAGTTCATGATTCTAGGTCAATGGCTAGTACTCTGTAGGCTTTGACTTTATTTTGATTTTGTTGAAATAAATAGAACCGTAGACGTAGGTACATACGATGTTAGTTTGACAAACGGAAAGTCACCGTCAAAGGAACAACGAAGTGATCCTATAATATAAATATAGTATAATATACCTAATGTAAATTTTGTGCAAAAAAACTCATCAATGAAATGCAATTCAAACATCTGCTGCAAATGGTGATATTTTAATGGCGTATTTATAATCCTGCAATCCTAATAATAATGAAAAATTGCATTAACATTCAATGCTATTTTTCATTACTAGGATTATAAAAACGTTTTTCGATATAGCTAAAAATATTTACTATCTTTTTACAGGATAGTACAGCAATTAATGTATACGTTACCAAAAGACGAAGATGTGCCTATTAAGAAAATTTTACTGGCAAATGGTGTCGGAGCATGGGGTGTAGCTGCAGGAAGGACGGAGTTTATTCGGAACAAATGTCCAGTGGATCGCTGTTCTATCACAGCAGACCTGAGGGATGCAACAACTGCTGATGCCATCCTATATAAAGATCATCACACAGTTTTAAATATGAAACGTTCGCCAAATCAGGTTAATCACTCTTCTATTTTATTTTTTAACGGGTGTTTCTATTGCAAACAAAAATGTAACTGTGGCTGGAATTTGCAGTCTGATTTAATTTTTTATTTAAATTGTATCCCACATAGATTAAATTTTATTTAGCGTCTTATTTGTTCAGAACCATGCATGCACCAATAACATATCGACAAAATATTTGATATATTTTTTTCATATTATTGATGCTAATGATACATGCAATGAAAATGTCGATCAGTTCGATGTAAAATGTGAATGTGGTATAAACCACATTCTAAGTTTTAATTCAGCTAAGTTGGCAAGAAAGCATACGCATATTAGATATTGTGTTATTACTTATTCATACCATGGAATTCCTTATACATCAAATATGAGAATAGATTTTGGCAATTTGCAGATTTGGATCCTGTATTACTTGGAGTGTCCGTACCACACCGCATCATTGAGACCGTCATCATTTGACGTCTTTAACTGGACATCGACATATCGTCGTGACTCAGATATTGTTGCTCCATATGAACGTTGGGTCTACTATAATCCCAAGGTGACTGAAAAAGAACTCGACCGAAATTATGCAGCAAATAAAACTAAGAAGGTTTGTATAGCTTTTATATTCAATAACGACTCTGATGTATATAAGTAATCACTAGCAACTCAACTCGTTCTCCACCAAGGCACGAGATTTTTAAGCCAGCTCTACCACAGCTACATACCGAGCCTAACCTCTGCTTTTGACGATACGATTTTAATAAATACGTACTTTATTCTCAGGTAGCGTGGTTCGTGTCAAACTGTCACGCTAGGAACCGTCGTCTCCAATACGCTCGTCAACTCAGCAAGTACATTCAAGTAGACATTTATGGGGCGTGTGGGACCCACCACTGCCCACGAACTGACCCAAACTGCCTCGAAATGCTTGAAAGAGAATACAAGTTTTATCTAGCGTTCGAAAATTCAAACTGTCGCGATTATATTACAGAGAAATTCTTTGTTAATGGACTGCAGTAAGTGATTTAATGTTTACGCCACCAAGTTTTACTTATTAATTTTGAAAGATACATCATGGATATTACAAAATACAATAATTATAAAGAAATGACACTTGCCTCAGCCGGTGTAATTTGTCCCATACAAACGAAATAAATTAATAAAAATTGAATTTAAATGAAATAAGAGCTGAATAGAGAATTCTACATAACGGAATCATGTTATTATAACGGTCTCGCTATGAAGGACAATAAGTAAATCTCATAATAATCGGATAGTAGTGTCCCCAAAAACCATACGTTTGAATTGTGAAGAAAATATCAATGCAGACACAGAATTCCATCACATGTGTGGTAATTTTTTTTAGCCCTCGTATGGTTTGGATAGAAATCCTTGATATCGAAAATTTACATTAATTAGTTTGAGAGCTACGGGAGAATTGATTCGTCTACGAAGTGTTTCATAAAATGTTATAAATTTTTGATATGACCCTACAGACTAAAAACACTATGAGTTGTATTGCTGTGTATTGTTGAAACTTATTTATCAAGAATTTATATATTATTTTCACAGACACAACATTCTGCCCATTGTAATGGGTGCTCGCTCTTCGGAGTACGCTGCAGCAGCACCACATAACTCCTACATACATGTCGAAGAATTTGCTAACGCCGAAGAACTTGCGGCGTACTTGACTCGGCTCGATGAAGATGACAATTTGTATAACTCGTATTTCAAGTGGAAGGTGAGTTTGCTCACTCTAAAATCATTCATTCTCGACAACGTGTAACAGAAAGGACAAGCGTCCTAACACCTTATAGGTTTTTAGTCTTATTGTCCGACCATTTAAATCCTGTCCCTAACATGCAGACATCTTAAAACGCGGAGCTTGATGATAAAATGTAAATGCCAATCGTTGAACTTTTGACGACTGAACACCTATGGAACCCTGAGCAAAAAATGCATTTTATAGTTACATAGTTACATAAATACGATTACAGTAGAGACATACATACGTGTACAGACTTACATTTATAGTAACTATGTATACTAACATAAAGAGTGACATTATCTTTTAATTGCAGAGCTTGAAGCATTTCTTAATACATAGACCACAATACGAGTATGTATATACCATTAACAGTGAATGTTTTACAGGGTACGGGCGAATTTATAAACACGTATTTCTTCTGCCGCGTGTGCGCGATGGTGCACGCCAACGAACGGCGCCACCGCAGCGCGCACTACAGCGACGTGCAGGCGTGGTGGCGCGACGGCGCCTGCACGCGCGCCACCTACTGGCGAGGGGCCGACGGCAAGGACACCGCCTCCCCACCTCTCATATCCTCCAACTGATGAGAACCGTACATTCTAACCTTCTGTGATAAGCGTGACTTCCGCTTCGAGCGAACGGTTAGAAGGAAATTGAACTTCTTATTTTGTACTTTGAGCATTTAAGTAAGCCAAAAAGTACTTCAGCATTACTGAGTTAGAACCACAAATTGAAAATTTTGTGATGACAGCCTCGGTTTATGTGCCGGCGCCAGAATTAGATTAATTGCTTCATTGGCTCGGTACTAGATTGATTCGAGGTTGTAGGCACATTACAGTTTATAGTATCGAGCTTACAGTCGCAAGTTCTACTCTAGTAAATATGTATATCATGTTACAGTTCGTAAGTTGTGGTCGCATTCATTAACGCATTTCCCCCACGATAGCGACAGGCCTGCTAACATTCAAAATGTCATTGTTCGAGTTTCCTCTATCACTAAGTTTGTTTGTAACATGAACGAGTAATGACTTAAGATCCTATAGGCCATTGTAAACGAGGCCTGATCTCATGTTCTTTTCAACGTTCAAACCAATAGGAAATTGCTTATGTAATTAGTAAATTAAATAACTAATTAAGTAATAAATTGAGGGTTTATTAACATTACATTCCATTAGTTAGAATTTTGTATTTTTATTAAGTTACAATGGTACCGTTAATTTTTTAATATATTTATAGCGTTTTATAACCATTTTTATAAATTATTCACCAATTTAAATGTCAAAGGTTCCTTCTTTTTCTAGATTATTGTTAATTTTTATGTGAAACCCACATTTTTAAAGGTATATTATGTGACTAGGAATGCATCATTGTATTGAAACTAAGACTTATTTCTAAATTTTGGTTAGTTGCTCTATGTAACTTTATATAAAATTGTCTTTTAAGTCAATTATATTGACAGTATAATGTATATCAATGGACAAATTTAAGTTACTTAAATAATGTCCAAACTTAAAGTGAGTCTAGTCATGAAGCCATTAAAAGCACAGAATACCAAAAAAAAAAATTAATTTTACGCACAATTTGCACAAAATTTGAGAATTTTGTTATTTTAACTAATATTTGCATTTTACTTAAAGAGGTTTTTCTATTAACGTGTATACTTGTTAGTTGCAATTAGGTATTTTTATTAAAATATTGTTATATTTCCAGTTTATAAATTGCTAATAATGTTCGTTTTTTACATTATTGTTGTTATGTTGTCGTATTAATCTAATCGTGTATGTTGTTCTTAGGTAAGAAAAGATAGAAAGAAGTTTCATATTCAGAAATATGTTTCATATGAAAACAAATCGACCATGGGCACTAGGCATGGAAATTATTGCTACTTTTGAATCATATTTATTTCATGAAATGATTGGTTTTAGTCACATCACATGTGATTGTGATTTCGACATAGATAAAGATGAATGGCATTAAATTCAATCAAAAATCTTTTATCAGAGCCGATTTTTTTTTAAGATTTAGTCCTTTTGCGAGTCTCGCGCTGCGTAATAATAATAATTAAGTGGCAGTGGTTTTGTAAATCAGTCACAGGTGTGATGATATGATTTATAAAACATATATTTTATCACATGTGATTGTGATTACATTCCATCCCTAATGGGCACCATGCTAAGCTGTGACTGCCACATTCACAGAGCGCTATGCCGAATAGAGATGGGACGTTCTAGAGTTTTATGAACCAAGAAAGTCGATTGAGAATCATTTTTATGAGAGTAGGCCGAGCCAGTATGTAAACTAAAACTAGGAATACCGATAGAAAGTTACAACTTTTTAGTTGTACCTATGTTTATAATTGAGAATTGAAAAACTGAATGCTAACTCGTAATCATTTGCAATTACTATATTAGAAATTCTTCTGATAGCCTAGTAGATTGACAAATTCGCTTCTATCAACTCGCCATGTCAAAATTCTTAGACTACCTATTATAAAATTCTAATACTATAATACAAAAATGTTTAGCTTAAAGTTAGCAATACACCTAATGTTTTATGTTGCCTATGACGGTAGATAAGCCAGTAGAACACCTAAAGATACATAGTAACTGTCAATCATGGATAAAACATATGTCAAGGGGTGCACTTACTTATACCTACCACTTTTCGACAAACCGCTGCATACCGTAGTAAAATAGTATTAAATGTTCCGTTAAATGCAATTTGATCTGTCTAATAACATCATCCAAGTATATCTACAACAACTTTGAAACTTAATCCAAACACATAAGACAAGTTATTGATTGTAATTGTTTTTGTAACGAATGTGAAGAATCGAGGTGCATCGCTAGTAAGCCGACTCTGACCACGATCTCCGCTAAGGATCATAAAATTCACTTCTCGTATATCTTACCTACTCCTAAATTGGGTCATCCATAAAGACTATACTTGTTAAAAGTCAGATGAATAATATATAAAACATCTACTATTAAACGTGTGTTCATGTGTAATAGTAGATGTCAAATATTTTAAATTCTTAATAAGAATTTTTTATAAGTTATGACCCCGGATAGTCATGGCACCTCTTGGGTTGCAAGCTTTGTACTTAATTACGATAAATTGCCATTCGCAAATGACTGTTGTATAAAACATGTTTATAACTACGACAATTAAGAAAACATTCCATGTTTATTATTACTATTTACCTAAGGATATATATAAATATTATATAGAAAATTACCAAACATAATTTGTGTGTATTATAATGAAATGATGTTATATATTTTATTCAATATTATATAAAATTGCATATTATGACGTCGCCTTCGAATTACAAGGGTCAAGAGCAAATCAATGTAAGTACGTAATGCACGTGTACGTTATGACGTTAAAAGTAACAGAATCCAAAAAATATTCACATAAACGAAACGAAAATACCTTTTATGACAGTTGCGATAGTTAAACGGTACTGAATTTTCACCGAACTTTTATCACGAGAATGGGCCTTCAGTTCTTACCTAACGTTGCGTCAATTTAAAACTGGAAATAGAAAGAAACCACCGCAAAAGTAACAAGTAACAATAACTACTATGGATTTTTTACGGCTATATCAATCATTCATATAAATGTTTGTTATCTTGCGCAGGTGGAATTTCTAATTATTGCATTTCTAAGACAAATTTTAATAAAACGTTAATATGGTACTCCGTCATCAAAGAAGTGAGGCTAATTAAAACTACGCCTTAGCGTGTATATACACAATTATAACGCACCAAGTACAACGAAACTACACCTTGTCAGTCAAAACGTTATCAAAAATGTCAACAATATTTGCAAGTAAAAATGCCGAAATTTCTTGTAAAATCAAACTAGAGTAGAAACCAATATTTTCAATAAAAATGTTTATAAAAACCGGCCTCACTTCGTTCTTCTCAAAGTTAAATCTTAGTTTTTTGATTGATATACCTATCCCTCAGAATTGCTTTAAAATGTAGATTTCTCCTCATCTACTAAAGGTATATTATGGTATACATCGATTCGTTTGTGAACCTAAGATTTGAAGGAATTATGGCCAGAAATGCATTTATACGATTATGAAATCCAATGATATTTTATGTAAATTACAAATATGTGACACTAATTAAATTATATACAAATTATGTTAACATTATCTAAATCTGTGTTTATCAGTGTTTGCCATTTGAAAAACTAAGAACGAAATACCTTGTAAAACTTTTACAAAGGCCTTTCATTTTCTTGTGATCAAAAGGAATCAATAAAATCCTATAAGCAGTACAATTAAGCCACTGACATGACATCTAGTGATCATCTTACCAATGAAAATAAATGATAATTAATAAATTTGTTTTAATTGTGTTGCCACTTTACTGTTACTCGTTCAGCGAAAGAAAGGTATGCATGAGAGCTCATACTATAATAAAAAATAATCTAGGTTTAAGACGGAATTGCTAGGGGAATCCCGCATAATAACTTTGAGATCAAAAATTATCAATTGTACTAAACCATCAATTTTACTAAAAGTGCTGCACCGGTAAAATTTACGAATTATATTTAGATGTTCAAAAAAATCACATTAATTGCATTGGACTCAATATTCTTATTTTCATGCACATAGTAATATAAACCAATTGATGAGATTATTTGTAGGTATATAAAAACATACCATAATAAATTACTAATGAGCGGAAATTATTGCGATTAATAGGTGTTCACCTTCAATCAACCTTTTTTTAATTGCATTCCATCCAGGGTGCACTTACCATGGTCACAGGCGGACTGAGTTCAATCAGTATCAATTATATATCCCCGACTAAAAGTTTAAAAATTAGTACAAAATCACAATGTTTTAATTAATAGTTAAATGTATTAAAATATTCATTATTCCATTACCTATTTACAACTATATGTATATAAAATTAAGGAATAGACTGCCTATGACTTACGTTTGTTAAGATCATAAACCATAGTGTTACTCAGCAGTCTGGTACATCTGTTGAGGTGACAAGGTTCCATCCACTATTGTTCCAGATCATTTTCTGACCCATTGTCCAAGCCAGAAACTAGTCGCACAACCAAATACCACAACAAGACCCTAAGGCTGGTTAGTATAGTGTCATACATACACTGCCATGTCGTTGGGATGTGTAAATGTGGGTGAGTGGTACTCACTGGTAATTCGTCCACATTCGTAAAGAAGCATCACCGGCATCCAGAAAGTTAAAGCTGCAGCATGACCTCACTCTCTCCAACCACTCTTGTAATATTGGTTACTCATACATTTAAAACATGTTTCACATCTACCTTTAAACAACCAATTCTGGTATGTATATATATATATAACCTGAATCTCTGAAATGGCTCCAACAATTTAATATAATTTAGTATGCAGGGGGTTTTGGGGGCGATTAATTGATCTAGCTAGGTTTAGGTTAGGCAAAGCTCAGTCATCCAGGTACTTTCTTTTATGTACAGTTTAACTGCAACTGTGAATCAAATAGATTCAATGATGATAATTACAAAAATCTGATATGCATAGGACAGGCTTTAAGTAGACCAATGTGAGCTAGCCAGAGTGCATGGATAGATAATGACCAACTCAGTGTCAATCATACCCAGAAAGGGCACTAAAATTTTTAAGAAAAAATGAAAATTAATCATTTAAGACTGTAAAAATTAAACCCTTCTGAGTACACACTACACTTTGACAATATTGTTTCACCGATTACTATCTTTTGTGTAGTTTTATTGATTTCAACAATTTACATTCTCCCTTATGTTATGTTATGTGTGTTATGTTAAAATTTAAACAACTGAATAATAATTTACATGTACTACTTGTGTTTTTTTTTATTATTAAGGAATATAGTTAAGGAAATACAATGAAACAATTTTTTTTAAGTATTTTTGTAACCTGTTAATACATTACACTAACAAACAATATTACATTGAACTAGACACTTTCCTCAACATTATGAGGACAACTTCTCTGAACTAATGTAACTTCTTAACACCTCCATATTTTTCAGATTAGTCTGAATTTGCAATTGGACATTGACACATTCAACTACATAGTTAATTGCATTCTGAAATATACTTTGAGCTTTATGCATATTTTGAGGAACTAAAACGCCAAACCAGCGGAGTGGATTTACTGTATCTTCTGCTTCGTTTTCTACAACCTTTAATTGCGTAACTCCATCTTCTTCAGCAGTTTCACACACTGTAGATGCTGAGAAATCTGAGCTACTCTCTGTAGGTAATCGCGCAGTACTCACCGAACTCTGTCCCATGATATATCGTGACTTAGCTAAATGTATACTCCCATTATTGATGCTGGATTCAATGTTTAATTCGCAACGCATTTTTTCTTCCATTAAGTGCAATTGCTTCAAAACAATTTTGTCCAATAATTCACAAGCAACAGCTTTTAAAGGTAAATCTGAATAAAAAAGAAGGGATATTTGTTTACGCTAAACCGTTAACCGTAAAATGTAACACTAGCATAGCTTTTTTAAATGATAACACTTATATAGAAACAAAAACAGAATTTAATACCGTAAAATTTACCTTGCTCCTGTTTATTCATTTTGAATTAAAACTTTATTTACAATTAATCAGATTTTCAAAGTATATTGCTGTATATTGTCAGTTTTTTATGTCATTGAGTGACCTAACAACTGACAACAATCACATGATCGACAACAATCGACGTAGAGCAACACAGGCCACCCGTAGTTGCTCTATGCATGTTCGATAAATTCTTCGTGTCTTTTATCTTCTTTTAACTTGTTCTGTGTCATTGCTAGTAATTAAAAATATATTAATTTTCGTTATTATTTTTATCTTACATTTTATGATCCTCTACATTTTCACCTCGTGTCTTGCTTATTACTTGACATCAGGACACATGATATGTCTGGACTTACAGGAAAATATTTTGGTACCGTGATATGAATAGAAATATATTTTGGTACCAGATTCAATTCTATTTTAAAAGATGACCTAATACAACCCTACAGAATCATTCGGTCAAAGACCTAATACCAGTCAACTAACACGATATCCTGGATTTTTTTTCTACATACCTGCACTAAGTACTTATCTTCGGAATGATGCTTCAAAACATGAGTGCACATATCAGGCTAAGATATCAAAACTTTGAAGTTGAGTGGAGCTTGTGAAGGTTCTACTCCCTGCCCGGCTGTGTTGCGAGTCTTCCGTCATTAGAAGACGCACAGCTACCCGTTGGTCACCGTCAAAAACCTTAGACTCGATCATCCTCTTCTTTTTATGGAATAGGGAGCAAACGAGCAGACGGGTCACCTGATGGAAAGCAACTACCGCCGCCCATGAACGCCTTCAACTCAGGAGTCACAAGCGTGTTGGACGGAGGACTTACTTACTTACTTGGAAGGAGTACGCTCTTTTCTAGAAGGTTTGAAGGTCGTATCGGTCCGAAAATACCTGAGCCAATAACTTGTTCCACAGAATTTATAAAAATCTTTACACAGTTTATAGGAACTCCGTCATATCCCTACCTGGGTAAAATCAAGAAAATGTAGTTATAATTAACAAAAACATAGTCATCAACACCAACCGTTTTAAATCGAAGAAAAATGGTTTATTTCGATTTAAAAAACGGATTTGTAATTAATGAAATGATGAAATGATATTTATTTCTGTATGTAAATCTTTGCAGATATTTTTACAAGTCGGACTTTATAGCTAGAAGGAGCCGGCATTTCCTAAGACTCACTCTGGGAAGAAACACCGAAACAAACCACAAAGGTGTATTTTTTTTTTAAGTCCGTAAACAAAGTTAAATAAAACTGTGCGAGTACAGTATAGGGTCTTGATAGGCCTTTTGAGGAAAGGATCATAGTTTTGAGTCAACCTGTCCATACAGACGACATACAGGCTCCAGCCATCGTGTAGCCTTTTAACTGTGTGTGTAACCGTGTGTAACTTTTTATATGATGTTGGTCAAGATCAACGACCCGAAGCATGACACTACCGCCAGCAGGACATTTGGGTAGGCCGGGGAAACACTCAAAACCACCAGAAAGATAATAAAAAATGAATTAACATGACAAGCCTACACTGTACTCACATTTACATACTTACACAAAAAATAAAAAAATACTATACAGTTCAAAGTCAACGAAAAATAAAATACGAAAACAAAATACGAAATACACCAAAAAAATAATAATTAAATGTCCATCACTTTCAAACTTAACAACAAAGATGTCTACGTAAATGTGGGAGTGAGCAGCATCAATCCCAAGCAAATTTGTCGTCTAAATAATCTGTAATAGTGTAGTAAGCCTTTTCACATAGTTTTAGCTTTACTAAAGACTTAAATTTATTAATACTTAATTCATGGAATTTGCTTGGCACTTTATTGTAAAATCGCACACCCTGACAACGAAAAGACTTGCTTACTTTTTGTAGTCCAGTGGTTGGTAACACGAGTTTATCTTTATTTCTAGTGTTTATTTTATGCATGTCGCTAAACTTTGTGAATAAATGATTATTTTTCTTTACATACACTAAATTTTTATATATATATTGAGATGCCACTGTCATGATACCAATTTCTTTAAACTTATCCCTCAGTGACTGCCTATAACTAAGATTATAAATTGCACGAATAGCTCTCTTTTGCAACACAAAGATACTTTGAATGTCAGCAGCATTTCCCCACAACAAAATACCGTATGACATTACACTATGAAAATAGCTAAAATACACCAGTCTAGCTGTTTCTACATCGGTTAATTGACGAATTTTGTAAACCGCGTATGCTGCAGAGCTGAGTCTATTCGACAATCCGTCAATGTGTGGGCCCCATTGCAATTTAGAGTCTAGTGTTATACCTAAAAACTTGGTGGTGTCCACAAGATCCAACTCCTTTCCATTTATTAGAACATTGGTCTTTACCTGTTTAACATTAGGTGTTTAACATCAATTTTTAAACATTTAATTTAAAACTAGCCTTATATCTATAGTTTAACCCCATTTATTCCCTCCCACAGGGTTTTTATTTGGGTGTTTATTGATTTTAGTGTCAAAATAGCCATGAATGGTCATCATCAACAGCCTATAACAGTCCACTGCTGGACATAGGCCTCTCTTTAGAAAGGAGGTTTTGGCCTTTTATACCACGTTGGCCAGACGGGATGGTATAGACTATACCATCCCGTCTGGCCAACGTGGTATAGTAGGCCAAAACCTCTTTCCTAGAATTAGAATAGAATCCTCCGTAGAATTTTTAAATTTTGCAACACATTTAGTCATTTTAATAGTTAAAAAAAAAATTGAGGGATTCGAGATTCCGTTCTAGCAACAGATTTTAAAATAATAATAATAATATCTCACACACGGCCGTCTGATCCCAAACTAGGCAGAGCCTGTACTATGGTAACCAGACCGCTGATAAGACTGCGTGTTCACCTCTATAGCATCAGCATTTCACCGAGAGAATACTGGGACCACTGTGGAGTAGAATTAGAACAGCTCTACTCCATCACTGCTTTACTGTGTAGAAACGGACTCCCCATAATAATAATAATATCTCACACACGGCCGTCTGATCCCAAACTAGGCAGAGCCTGTACTATGGTAACCAGACCGCTGATAAACATACTTATATATTTTTAAATAAATACATATTATAGATAAATTACACAAAGACACAGAACAAATGACCGTGCTCATCACACAATATTTGTCCTGGGTGGGAATCGAACCCACGACCCCCGGCTTAGCAGTCAGAGTCACTAACCACTAGACCAACAGGCCCGTCAAATAATGTAATAATAATAATAATTTCATAATAATGTACGTCTGTGTACGCCTAGTTAAACACACTTGCCACGACTTGGCAAACGTTCACAAGCTCCAAACCTTTACAAACGCTTGGATGCTATTTACACGCTTGCGAGTGTACAAGTGACTTAGTGTGTTCCGGACAGGGAAACAGCAGACCTGGTCGTTGAAGTTATATCGGATATTGTGTAAAATATAAACAGCGACACTAAAAGAAAAAAGAAATCTCTACGCTTACTAATCAACTAAACTGCTCAACTAGTAGAGTATTGAGACTTGATATTGATTCCCGACTGTATTATCAAGTTGAGCAGTGGTGTTTAAGCACGAACCAACATGTAAATACGTCACAAACACTTGGCGCAAGCTTCCTTGTATCTGTGTTCAAAAACCAACACTAGCCCCTATGTACGATAAGCTCAGGTAAGCCAAGCCAAACATGCCGTTTACACGCTTGTGATTGTGGACACTTGTTTTGTAGAGGCTTGCCAAGTGTGTAAACCGATATTAAGATTTATCAAGGCTTCCAAAGCGTTTTAAAAAGGCCTCTTTTTTAACTGTCATATTTGGCAACACTGTCATGTTATCGATGAACGACGCCATTTTATTTTTCTCGTCAAGAGCGTATGGGCATTAATTTCGGATCTGGAAATATTAATTTGTGTTAAACTGAAAATACACGCCATTTAAAAGTTATAATTAGAAACTGTCTCTATATAATATCAGACGATGTCGGATAAGAAACGTTTGCTGAATGATTTGAGAGTAATAGACTTACGTGCAGAGTTAGAAAAGCGCAATTTAGACAAAAGCGGCGTTCGCGGTGTGCTCATACAACGTTTATCGAAGGTAGCATGACGTGTTATTAAATTATCTATTCGTTATTATATCTAACGTAATGTTTACACGTATTTCTGATTTTTAGCATTTAGAAGAGGAAGGGGCACGACCCAGCAACTTTTAAGTTTGACTTAGCTACTGTTGAACCTAAAACACCCGCTAAAAGGACGAGACGGTCTGAAAGCACGGCTGAGCAGGAGTTGGAAGAGACTCCGGCTATGGAGGATATGATTGTTCAAGATGATGCTGGTGAAGAAGAAGAATCTGAACATACCGAAAAAAAAGAAAAAGTTACTGTTAAAACTCCAGCTGAGGTTAACATGGATGTGGATGAAACTGAAAAGGTTAATAGGAAGAGAGAGATAAAAGACGAAACTGAGGCAGTTGAGCCAAAAAAAAACTTGTCTTGATAAAGAAACAAGAAATGAAGAAGACCCTAAGATAGAGAATAATATTGATGCAGAGGATAGTATCAACTTGGATATTGGTGATGATGAATTGCTTAATGAGGAGGTACGTTTTTATTTCTTCAGTGTTACGGTTAAATTGCCTATGGGCATATCAAAAGTCACCAATGGCTTCATGATGGAAATAGATTAGAAGAATTTTGAATGATTTTATTAAAAATTGTTTAATGTAGAATATCTGGTTATAAAAGTGTTACATTTATTATAAGTATTTTATTCTATTAATTGTCAAATTGTATCTAACATATCTATGGATACCATGGCAATAATTTTAAGGACTAAAGTATCTCAACTCTTGCTTCTATAATATATTAATAGCAAAGTACTGGAATCCTGCCAAGAATGTTTATACTCGCTATGTATTTAAATACTGTGATTTACTAACATCTATTTATCTTTTGCAGGCAGACAACAATACTAAAGTTATTAAGAAAGGTAAGCTTTGCAATGACTACTAAATATATATATATATATCTATATAATAATAAAATTATTTAAAAACAACTAAATTTAACTAAAATCAAAATTAATTGTTAATTTTTTATGTTTGAGATGCAATATGTTCTGAAATGTAAAATCTTAGTGAGACTTCATTACATCAATTACTTTTATTTCAATTTTGTGAATCAGTATAAAATTCCCTTGTTGATGGTGTCACTGATGCAGTATAGAGATGTTCTTGAGAACAGGTGATGATGCTGTATTAGCATTAAAATTGACACGACAATATTTGGGGTTGATGCCACACTTCTCATGGTGCCATGGTTCATTTTCAAACCAAGACTAATATTGTGTGAATATACAAGAGTGGAAAGTTCTGTAGTCAAGAAGCAAAAACCCTGAGACCTGTAAGCACCCCATGTGAGAAAGCTGTTACCAAAGCTTACAGAGAGAAGACAACAGACATTTGTTAATTGCATTGGAGGATCACCTTGAAAAGCTCACAATAAGGTGGCTTCCTTTTGGTGTTAATGTTATCTAAGTGACAGGGCATTTCCTGTAACCACAGAGCTTCAATGTCCTACAGTTATATTTACTTTACTATGGACATAGATACTATGCTACGTCATATCCAGATGGTGGTGCTAATGTCGAATCAAGTTTTCAGGTCAGGAATATAGGTATAAACAACATGCAAGTATGAAAAAAACATGCAAAATCTAGCCACACATCGTGTCAAGACCCTGAACAGGCAGAGTGGGCCGCTCCCGAGTATCGGCGAGCGACCTGCGCTGACTCATCTGATAATGCGACTGACTTAGATGAGGCGGTTCGGGAGGACGACGAGCCGGCAGAGCCAGCGAGCGCCAATTCTGCGCCAGCCGCTCCAGCGACCAACGGTGACGACGTGCCTGCCGACAACGAACATCAAGTAAACTCCGAAGCCCCCGCCACTAGGTTGGTGACCGTCGAACGACGACGACGACGCCCGCGCATCTATATCTACTTCGATAATTTCGACATTCGATAATCTTTTCGTAATCACTACAAAGTTTTGCACCACTTGATTTGGACTTCTGGCGCTCGAATGGATTGGACGATCGTCATGCCTAAACATGAGACACATGGACATCATCCTTCCCAGTGGTCAACATTTGAACGACACAACTGTTAGAAGACTGTTAGAAGATCGACGTGCATGGAATCCTCTCTGCTACAAGTACGTCGTGGGTCTTCAACTCCAGTACAATTTGCAGCTCTTCCTGTCCTGCTGAAATGTGGTGGACTACTGGTGCAAAACTTTGTAGATGATCAGCGTTACAAACGATTTTACTAAAATCCTTGTATAAGTCGTCAAAACTCGCGAAATTTACGGACTGTGCTCAAATTCTTGTTTAAATTTCGTTCTTAAATAAGTATTTAAAACATTTTTTACATTTCATTATTAAATAATTGATCTTTGCTTTTGCAGCAATGAGGGTGAGAAAGCTGACAAGGAACAAAAAGGTATGTATACAAAGTCAATGCATAGAGAATTGTTTTTTTTTTTCACTACTAATGACTAATGACTTCAGTACTAATGTAAAGTAAATGTACATTACCCATCCCTTGAAAATACTTCGGGCTTAATCTACATATAAAGCACATGTAATGGTTGTTTCATCATCCAGTAAAATAGCATAAACCATAAACAAACACAGGCATTGCTCAGGCTGAAAACATTCCTATTATGCTTAGGTTTATGTAAAAATATTACCAAACTGCCTGGTATGGGGTTATTATATAAACTATAATTATGACTGTTAATGTAAGTTAATAGTAACCTTTTACACTTAATATTCCCACAGATGAGAAAGAAAAGGAAAATGATAGTGAAAAGAAGGATAAAAAAGATGACAATAAAGAAGGTGGTGCAAGAAATCTTTGGGTCAGTGGTTTGTCTGGTGACACTCGTGCTAAAGATCTGAAGCAACTGTGCAGCAAACATGGAAAGGTTAATTTTCTTACATAACTATCCCAAAATTTACTTGACATTGTAATTGATACTGCAACTTTATTCTCTCATTCATAGCAAAGTGCTACCCGAATATTCCTGCTTTTGGTCTTGAAGTCTTTTACAAGCTTTGAATATACTTTTTGTTTTTCAGGTGATTGGAGCGAAAGTAGTAACTAATGCTAGAACTCCAGGGTCCCGTTGCTATGGTTATGTGACAATGGCAAGTGCTCAAGATGCCGAAAATTGTATTAAAAATTTACATAGAACTGGTAAGTTATTTCATTCATTTATTTATCTTCATTTATTTTTACACTACTTTCGTACAATAGCCGTCTATTATTTTTGTACGTATTTTAGAATTGCATGGTCGTATGATCTCGGTAGAAAAGGCAAAATCGGAATCAGAATCATCTTCGCGTCGTCAACCTCTTGCCCGTTCTGAGCGGAGGCCAAGTAAGGAACGCAAAGAGGAACTAAATGAGAGTGAGGTATGTGAAATAACCAACATATGTTACTAAGGAAAACCTGCATTTGATAAGATGAAGTTTGATTCATTCTGGTAAAATATTTTTTCAAGGAACCCAAGGAAGGTGCAGAAAAAGTAGCTGAGCCAAAACCTAAAAAAGATGGAGAAGTATCGGGTGCGGAAAGCAATAGATCTACATCTCGAACACGTGAGAAGTCGCATCGTTCTGACAAAGTACAGCACAATTATATCATTATTAAATACTACTAAACTAACAAATACCTGTCTGTCCGATTTGACGCGCTAATTAAATAACCCGATATTGTCCGCCACTTACAAACATTCACAAGAGAATTTAGGAACAAATGATACCATTTGTGCCGATTGGAGGTCTGAGATTTTTAAATGTCTAATAACAGGAAGAGAAAAGCTTAATCGTTTCACAAAATGTGAATGCGTTTGTTCCTGTAAAATAAAACGTATATATTGATGTGATTACATACATATACTATTGTGTTACAGGACCGGCCTAGACGTAGCACAAGAAGTCGTGAACGGCGACGATCGCCCCGGGAAGTCCTGTCGTTTTCTAAAATCTGGGTGAGCGCTAACAATTTCATTTTATCTCTTAATATACTAATACTGACTGAGTACTGTGATTCTGATGAGACAGTACAGACGTACAGTCGTCTATACTCATCGTAGGTCGGTTTGAAGTACACGAACGCGTTGTTTATAGAAGGAGCGCGACGTGGCCCGCGCTCGCGAGCGCTCCCGCGCGGCGCGCGAGGAGGAGCGCCGCCGCCGCGCCGCAGAGGACGCGCTGCGCGAGCGGGAGCGGCGCCAGCGGCAGGAGAAGCATCGCCTCGCTCTCGAGCGGGAGAAACTGCGTGCCGAGAGGTACACACCACCGCACCTCACGAGTCCATTCCTTTGTTGTTTCGATGCATGTAATAAATTTGGACGATAAATGTTGGTGAAAAGAAAGTTTCTGTGTAACAACATGCCGCTTGTGGTTTGCGACAATGTAATAGTGCCCTCTTATACATACACTTAGTATTTGATTTTAACGCATAGTGATACTTTTACTTAGGGAGAAAATAGAACGCGAGAAGAACGAGCTGCTTCGGCTGGAGCGCGAACGTCACAGATTAGAGAGGGAGAAGTTGGAATTGGAGAGACTGGAATTGAAGCGTGCTCAATTAAGGTCCGTTTTTATTGATTCTTTCTGATATTGATTGATTTAGGGTGGATTTTTAACTTCTTTAACTTGGTCGCAGTTAAACTGTAAATGCACTTCACTATAGACTTAACTCTCTCTATATTTATTTATGACTTAAATCATCCTTACAGACGAAATCCAAAAATACAAACTGATTAAACCTACGAGTAACAAATTTTACCAAGTGAATTTAATGATATGTCACTAGGTGGTTAAGAAAAAGAAATATATAATTTAAGAGGATAAAAAAAATATGCCTTTCACACTTATGTAATAAACCTCAACCGTACAGACTGGAAGAGGAGCGTCGCAAGCGCGGCTACGAGAGCAGCACGTACCGCAAGGCGGGCAGCCCGCCGCCCGAGCCCGCCTACGAGCGCGACGCGCGCCACAAGCGGCCGCCGCCGCCGCCCATGGTACTGCGACCTGCTGGACCACTACATAATCCACCGCGCTAGCTTAGTTTAACTTTCACTGCTCTGAGATCGATCTCGAGTTTCCCACATATATATATATATATATATATATAGCCCCTTATACCAAAGTAAGAGATTACACAGGTTCATTTTTATGTTACATGATTTTAGTTACACTATGTCTCTTAATTCGGTGTGCCTTTTGGCATAGGCCTCCTCCAACGATTTCCATTGTTGTCTGTCCTGAGCAACCCTTCTCCACAATGGTCCCACTGTCAACCTGATCTCATCTTCCCATCTTATGTTTTGCCTTCCCCGGCTTCTGCGTCCATCCCTTGGGTACCATTCTGTAACAGCTTTGCTCCATTTCCCTTTATTTTCCCGCATCATGTGACCTACCCATCTCCATTTCTGCTGATCGATTCGATTCAATACGTCGGTGAGTTTAGTTTTTAGACGCAGGTCCATATTTCTCACTTTATCCTGTCGTTTACATCCTGTCATGCTCCTTTCCATTGCTCTTTGGGCTATGGCAAGCTTTTCCCTTAATATTTTAGTAAGGGCCCATGTTTCGCAGCCGTATGTTAAGCATGGTAGGATACATGAGTTGAAGGTCTTTCTCTTCAGTGACATGCTCAGGTCCTTTGACTTCATTATTTCCTTGAGCGACCAGTATTTCCTCCATCCAGTAGCGATCCTGAAGTTGATTTCTTTTGTCATTTGATCTTTGGTTGAGATGACTTGACCCAAATAAGTATAATCTTCCACATACTCCAATAGTTCGTTATTAATGCTGATGTTGGTTTTTCGGGAGTTTGTCATTAATTTTGTCTTAGTAGTGTTCAATTTTAGTCCGACTTTTATACTTTCTTCTCTTAGATTTTGTATCATATATTCTAGCTTTTTGGGGCATTCTTCTAGTAGCACTAGGTCGTCGGCGAATCTTAGATGGTGCATTCTAGCTCCGTTTATACTAATGCCATATTCTTCCCAGTTTAGTTTACGGAATAAATTTTCCAGTACTGCGGAAAACAATTTTGGGGAAAGTGGGTCCCCTTGTCTCACACCTCTTTGTATTTGAAATTCACCTCCCAATGTCTCTAGCCGAATCCTAGCTTTGATATTGGAGTATATGCATTTTATTATTTTGATATATATGGTTGGTATTCCTTGGTGTTCTAGGCTTTCCCAAATATACTCATGACTCAAGGTATCAAAGGCCTTGGCGTAGTCTATAAAGGCTATGAATATATCCTTATTGTACTCGTTGTATTTCTCAAGTATTTGTTTAACAGTATGTATATGGTCAATGGTTGAAAATCCCTTTCTAAATCCTGCCTGCTCGACTGGTTGTTGTTCGTCTAATTTAAGGCTGATTCTGTCTAGTATTATCTTTGAGAAGACTTTGTATACATTGGATGTCAGACAAATAGGTCTATAGTTTTCTATGTCTTCTTTGTCTCCTTTCTTATGTAATAAGATGATATGAGATTCTGACCATTGCCTAGGAATATTGCCAGTTAGTAGAATGTCGTTAAAGATTCTTGTAAGAATGGGCACCAATTCTTCTATAGTTCCTTTCAACAGTTCATTCGTTATTTTGTCTGGGCCAGGAGATTTATCCATCTTTTGGCTATTGATTGCCTTTTCGACTTCGCATGTTAGAATTTCAGGTGTAGGGTCAAAATTCGATTCATATGGTATTTTGGTCTCGTTGTGATCATTTGATGCATCCTCTTCTTGTTTAGTATACAGTTGTCGATAGAAGCTTGTGGCTCGATCTTTGATATCTTGGCGTATCGAGGTGACGTTGTTGGTCTTTCTTTTTATTTTAGGTATCCACTCTTTGCCAGATTCTCGCAATTCCTTCAAAGCTTTCTTCACACCTCCCGTCTTTTTAATGTGGTATTCTAGAGTCATCAATCTCTTGACTTTACGATCCTTTCTTATGTTTTCTCTTATTTTTTTACTAATATCAGTGATAAGTATTATGTTGTCTTTTTTTGTTCCTTTTTGGATTAGTTCTTTTCTTTCGTTGATTAATTGCACTGTCTGTGCGCTTAGTTGATATTTGTTTTTAGGACTGTTTTCTTTAGAGAAACTGCTTTGTAGTTCCCTTTCTAGGATGTTATATTTCTGAATTGTGTTCATATTATTATTTGTGATTTGTTCATTTACTTTCTTGAGAGGCTTTGTGTTTTCTAAGTTGAGTTGTGCTTGCTTTTCGTTTTTATGGCTTTTTATGTGGCTGCGAGGGGTTTTTGTTCGACACTTTCTAAGGGAACATCTCACCATTCGGTGATTTGTGTTAAAATTAAGTTTGCTAATAACCGTAGTATCTGTAAACGCTTTAGGGTGATTGCTTATTATGTAATCAATTTCATTTTTATATGTACCATCTGGGGATACCCAAGTCCATTTATTGTTGTGGTGCTTCTTAAAGTTCGTATTGAGGATGAATAGATTGTGTTCCATTAAGAATTCAACCAGCTTTTGGCCGTTTCGACTTCTCTTACCGTGCCCGAACTTGCCAAGTACATATTCGTTATTGTTTTTCCTTTCTCCGACTTGTGCATTGAAGTCGCCCATTAGGACTATATGTTTATCCGCATTATTTTTTATGGCCACTGACAACTCATAATAGAATGCTTCGAGTACTGTTGGTTCTGCTTGCTCTGTTGGTGCATATGCTTGGATGATGGACCATGGTTTTCTGTATCCTGGGATTTTTATGTTCAATATCGCTAATCTATCTGATACTCCTGTAAGTTCTTGTATGTCCTTCTTAAGTGACTGTTTAATTAGAAATCCTACTCCCCTATGGCCTGCAATTTCACCTTTGTGATACAATATGTAGTTACTACGTTCTTCAATTTTTTCACCCAATCTCCGCATTTCGCTTACGCCAAGAATGTCATATTTTACGTCGTTTAACGACTTTTCTAATTCTAATAGACTTTCGGGTGTTCTGAGGGTTCTCGTGTTGAGGGTTGCAATATAAAATACTTCGCATCTTTTGGATTTAGGATGGTCGTCTTGTACTCTTTTGGAGTTTTGATTTGCTTTAAATTTTTTATTATTTTTTATTTTAGCTGGAGGGTGGTGGTCTTCATCCCCGCGCTGACCAGGCGTATTGGGGAAGGGCTTCCGGTTGTTTAGTTTTTTGGACTCAAATCTTGAGTAGAACAAGAGTTAAATCTTGATCTCGACATGTTGTAAACTTTGACTCGTCCCTCTTTGGTTTTACTAGTTGTTTGCTGTTTGCGTGGTTGCACACCTGGTGAGGTTGAATCAGAGTCCCTTTTCCTCTTTTCTTTGCTTTTGTTTTCTTTTACCACTAGTTTGTCATATTTAATGAAAGCTATGTTGCCCTTTTTCCTTTCTTCCTCCAATTTGGGCATAAGTTGCTTTCTTTTCTCTTGGACGTCTTTGGGATAATCTTCACTGACATACACATTAGTGGGTAGGTGTTTTTTATTTTTAAAAATTATTTGCTTCTTCCATTTAGAATTAAGTTGAGCTAGGACGGGGCGCGTTTTATTGCCCTTCTTTCCTAGTCGGTAAGCAAGAGTGATTTCATGACATTCTAAGTTCACTCCTGCATCTTCCATTAACTCTTTGATGTTTTGCACTAATTCACATTCACCCCCTTCCTTCTCTTGCAATCCATACAATACAATATTCTTCTCGCGTTTTTCACGTTCCAAAGACTGCACTTTAACCTCCAAGTAGTCGACGCGAGTTTTTAATAAGGAGTTTTCTTCGAGAAGATGATTAATTTTTTCGTCTATTGCATCCATAACACTTTTCGTAACATTTTTTGTTAAGGTTTGGGTTTGTTGGTTCAGTTTTTCGTCGAGTTTGTCTAACAGTAATTTCATATCCATGTTTTAAATGTGAGGTGATTTGTATCTGAGTGTAACGTAAGTTGACGTTTTCGAACGCAACTCAATCTGTAGGAATTTCGTTTGTATACTGGCAACACTAGTCAGTTCTTGATCCTGACGTTTCCTTTTTTTTTAGTCTGTTAGGTTGGCACCGAAATTTTAGGTTATGTTGCACTGATTTGATGTTTTTCACTACAAAGTGGAGTGATCTAGCTGTGATTTGTTATTATTTTCACTTTATGAACACTTTTTCATGTTTTATGCACTAATTCACTTTGGTAGGGATATTTATTACGACTTTTTAGATTGAATTTAAGCTGAGCTCACTAGTTGACGTTTAACCTGTTTGACGCGTAAACCGGAAGCAGGAAGAGTTTCCCACATAAAAATATTAAAAGAAAAATTAGTGTAATGTAATGTATCTTATAAACTAAAGGAAAATGTTAATTACTTTCAATCAAATTTATGGTGCAATAAATATTTATTGCACTCGTTAGAAAATTAGTATATACCTAATCTCTAACACGATCTCGAACAGTGAACTGATTACGAATACTATGATTTCAGTCATCTAACCGTGGACAGTTCGAAGCACCGCCGCCCCCACGCTTCGAAATGACTGCCAGCTATGACCGCGGCACGGACAAGCGTGACCGGGACCGTGACTACAAGCGTGACTACCCACCACGACATGTTTCATGTATGCAATTCATGTAAATTTGACAAAAACATTTTTTTGAAAATAATGTGTTATGACAGATTAATAATACGGAGTCACACAATCCCTTTTCATCCCGTGGGTGTCGTAAGAGCCGACTAACGGAACAAAACTTGGCACCACCCCTTTACCAACCCCTCCGACCAGCATGGTATAGTAAGCCAAAACCTCCTTTCGAAGGAGAGGGCTATGTCCAGCAGTGGACTATTAAAGGCTGTTCATAATAATAATAACCGGAAAGAAGAGAGCTTAATGACAGTCTCAGTTTTTTCCGCACTGTCATACCATGTTATCAATTAATGTTTAGAACAGTTTGATAATCACATGATGCTTTTTAGTTTAAAATAAAAACTTATTTACATGTCTCAAAGTATTGTAATTGTTACAGCTGGCAATATGAAATACTCTACTAACGGTGGAGCTAATGAAGATTCACGGCAGCCAATGCCACCCGGCACAAGACCAAAGGAGCCTAGGTACTTGAAAAACAATATTAAGGAATAGCAATGTGAATAGGCATTTTCAAGTACAATATATGCTTTTATTAAATTTCATATATTAAAAAACATCATTGACATTTAGTTATTAGTAATATTTACAGTATTAATAAAAGTGTATTTACAGTCGATCGTACGAGTCCCGGGATACCCGTTCGTATCGTCCATCTCCCCCTGGAAAGCCGGAGCCGCGCAGCTGGAACGCATCCAGCCGCTATCCAGATGCTGCGGCGGCAACCAAAGGTAAAGCGAACTAATTTTCCTTTCCTATAGCTCGAACATAAAATATTAAATATGTAATTCTGGCATACTGTTGCAAAACTAATTTTAACTGTTTAAAAGCTACGGTTTGTTTCGATTTCCAGGTGTTAGGCATTTCTTCAGTACTTTTTGAAAAGTGCGACGCAAAGACCTTGCCTTTTTATGCATTCAATATAGTACAAAACAGAATTAAAGAAAATTTAGTTTTAGCTTATAACTTAGTAATTATTGTATTTTAGTATTAATAAATAGTAACGAAAATCTATTACTGCTTAACTTGTATAAGTAAAGTACTATACCATGTGATAATTGTATTAATGTGTTACTCTTGTACAATAACCAATCCAGCGCTCATAACTATAAAACGAGTGTCGGAAGTAGAAAAGACCAAAGAAAGACAATCCAACATGAATTGCAGTTTTTAACCAAATCACTGACAGTGTTAACAAGAACAAGCCATCCTAATCATCATCCTTATCGCCAGCGACTGATTTGGTTAATTGCTTTTTAACTTTGTTTATGCACTAAAATAAAAAAGACACCTCTGTGGTTTGTTTCGGTGTTTCTTCCCAGAATGAGTCTTAGGAAATGCCGGCTCCATCTAGCTGTAAAATCCGACTTGTAAGAATATCTGAAAAGATTTACTTACAGAAATAAATAATCATTTATTAATGTGTAGGTGGTAACACCGGTGGAGGTGGTAACGAGACATGGTCGTCGAGCGGAGAGACGCGCTACGGCTACGAGCAGCGCTACGCGCCGCAGTACCAGCCGCCACCGCCCGGCGCGCCCTACCCGGACCGCTACGCGCCGCCCCCGAGGGACTACCCGCGCAAGTACTAGTACGTTCTCTACTGATCACCTTCATTACACGCATACGACAGCTCTCTCTACTTATATTTCCCAGCCTCTACTCCACATGGGCACCGCTTTATCGCAAATGTAATTTTAAATATTATATAAGGCACATATATCACTTTTTACTTTTAAAAGAAGTAATACATAATGATTAATCTTGTTTCAGGTGACCGTCAGTAGGTGTGGATTACATTTATTTTTGAAGTATGCGTGTTGAATGCAATTATTTTACTGTCGTAAAATTACTTACTGAGCTCTTTGGGATAGTATCTATCTCTTTTAACTGCAATAATTTTAAGATACCAGAAGGTCTTGACATAAAGGTAAAGGGATATAAGCGCACGGCGCTCATTCAAAACCCACAAATTATTTTATTATTATTACAGTCTTAGCAAATGAGATCTAAATTTTAGCCTTATGTATACTTAAAATAGCCCGATGTTCGGCGAATTATATTGTGTATATTATAATGGACTAAATGTTGTTAAAACGCTTCACCAGGGTGGAAACATAATTATACATTGCATATTATTTTCTTAGTTAGAACAATGTGGTGGTCTTAGAGAATTTATAGTTTGCACTTTTAGTTTTGTTTACTGACAATCTCATATTTTTTCTATAATAGTTTCATATATATTATGGCTGACAGTGTAATCAGTTAGGCAGTTTTCCATTCAATTTGGGAATTGTTATTATTTTAATATTATATTCAGTTATTTAAATTAAGCAATAATAATGATATTGTTTTACACAAACAGTCTCAAGGCCAATAATCATGAAACTGCGTCCTGGAGCCACTATTGGTTCTGTCCTCGACATAATATACAATCTAAGAGCAAATGTCATGTAACTGTCATAAATATACTAAATTGGTGAAAAAAATAATTGAATAAAACAATACAAACATCAAGCTCATTTCAATTCCATTAATTTAAAAATGACCTAGTTTACTGTAAAAGTAGACGAAAGTGTGCACAATATAGTTGGTATTTCTTAAAATAGCTTCTTAAAAAACTTTCAATAAGAATCCAACTCATTTAGAACAACACACTATAAGGATGGCATGACAGGATAAAAACTAATTATAAATAATAAAACTACAACATTTATGACTAATTATGAAAATAATAACCTCAGACATACTCACTGTCTGATCCCAAACTAGGCAGAGCCTGTACGTTCTATGGTCACCAGACTGCTGATAAACATACATAATTATAGATTTCTAAAAACATAGATTATTATAGATAAATTACATATTAAAAATAATATCAAATTTGTAAATATATTTCTATTTGGGGAGAATCCGGACCCATGTGATTTCAAGGTCCCCCTAATCGACGCTACGCCTAATCAGCCACAGCTTCCTCCCGACACATCCATAATCTAGCGCCTCAGTAGACCAGGCCCAGTAGTGCTATTCTCTAAGGAAACAGCGCTGCCACAGTGTCGAACTACAAACTAAGTTCAATTGAAATTTGACGCTACAGCGCTGTCACAGAATCGAATATCAAACTAAGTTAGTTTGCTGTGGCATCGCTGTACGCAAGGCTGTTAGCCTTAGAAAATAGCACTGCAGTTTTTTTAGCTCGTGTTACATTTATTCATTTATCACTACCTGGCAGTAAAGCAACCCTTTATAATGAGGTTTAGGTTATCCTCTGATTTTATGAAATTGTTGAAGAATAAGACAAACATGTGCCGATAAACTCATTGCTGCATGCTAGTGACATGAAAGTCGAGTTAAAATTATCATGTTCTTGACCAAAATACACTGACTGTCTTGAGAAAAATATCAATCCTAACATTTGTACAAAGTTACGATAAGTAAAACGATAACGTACTGGATATTTTTATGTAAAATATAGCATATGATATATTATTATAAGTAATATAATAAATAATTCCAAAGCTTTTGTTGTATTTTATTTAAAGAAAAAACACCAGATTATTATAATAAACTTCATCAGCAAGATGGATATTTTATTTTTATAAAATGAGATTATACACTGGTAACACGGGCCAACAATAAATAAAATTACAATAGTTGTTCGCGTCGAGCTTAGATTGATGTTGCTGGAAATTATATTTAAGTAGCTAGATACTGCTCAAATATTTGTAACAAGGTAATTGACAAATATATGACTGTTTATCTGGTCGGTTTTCATATGGTACCATAAACCAGTGTGTAGGCGAGGTGTGTAGTATGTTATACGGATGGTCCGGGTGACACTGTATTGTTAATCCTTCACCACACGGAATAGAAGTTTTTTTGTGTTTTGCAGATACATTTTTATTATTTATGTAACAGTCAACCTATAAGAGACATAACAAAGGAACAGCAAGGCGAGAGGGAAAGTGAAACAAGCTCAAAATTAATATGATACTACAACAAAGTCTCTTCATCAAAATTAAATTGAGATTGTTGAGAAAAACAGTAATCTTAAAATAATCCAAAGCCCATTTAATGCTTTAAACTAAAAACTAATTCAAAATATGTATTAAAAAACAATTTGTACTTATATTTATTTTGGATTGAAATATTGAATGTAGGCGAAATTAACTGCAATCATCAACAGCCATTATTAGTCCACAGCTGGACATAGTCCTCTCCTTGGAAAGGAGGGTTTGGCCTACTAATAGTCCAAATCCTCCTTTCTCGTTCGTAATAATAATAGTCAACTAAAGATTTCTGTGAAATAAACCTTAACTTTTAACTTGATTTGAAAAATGTATTTTTAACCACAAGATAGTATGTGATGCAAGAGTAAGGACCAATATTCAACACTCGTGATTACTTTAGGCTTACTGTTTCCTATTCTATATCTACTGCTTTGTAAACACAGACAAGTTAGTATAGTAAAGCACACCACCACCTCTTATAATTTATGAAATAAATAAAGCAGCTTCACACTTGTGCCTGTAAACAGTTAATATTTTCAACAAATAATCTTGTTTGTGTTGGAATATAATTGTCATTCTGTAAGAATGGTGAGTGTGGATAACTCCAGCCATTTCGATCTTTGTTAGGATTTTCGGGGATTGTATCTTCAAGTGCTTTGAGAGCATTTATAGCATCCTGTTGTCCTTGCACTGCAGCAAGTCGTAACAATCGGGTTGCAGTTTCTTGGTCAATTTTGAGCCCTCCCCGACCTTGACCATAAAATACACCCAGGTTATATAGAGCACCTGGGTGTTTTAAAGCAGCAGCTGATCTATAAAACTCCATTGCCTGTAAAAAGAAACTAATCAAATATATGGATTTTACACTACTAGGGTTGTTATTAACCTATATAATACTGTATTTGACTGCCAAGTCAAATCAATTCCTTTTTATAAAATGCCTGAATAGTGCAGTCTATAGATAATTGTGTGAAAGAGGAAGTTTTGAGGTCATACCTAACAACTAACAAACATTCACTAAATATTTTGTTTAACAATTAATAAATAAAATTATACTTGAAAACAGTACCAATATAGGTAGCCCATTAATTATTCATCGTAGGCCCAATAATTTAGATACAAGTTATAGTGTTTTATATGTAATTTTTAATGCAACACAGAACTACTCTATATAAGAAAGGTTGACATACCAAGATTCTAAATGCCCAATAATCTGTAAGATGTCAATTATAATATCATTCCAAAAATTATATTCTAACATCAGTAACCATTTCTTGCGCATCGTTAGGTATAGCGTACTGTCCTGTGGAGGCATTCTCCACAACATAGCTTAGATTTTACTCATGAATTACAGTAATGAAGTAATATCGTAAAAATCATTGTTTTTTTTTTAAATCAGCCTAGGTTTTAGCTTAGCCTTGAGTTTAAAGTATTTCTTCCTTTTAATGCTAATAAGGAAGAAGGAATGGGCAAGAATTACTAAAATCCTGCTCAATGAATGATTAAATTACTCTTATTTACTATGTAACACACACCATTTTTTCATTGGTTGATACTCCCAAGCCATTCTCATAACAGAGGCCTAAATTGTACATAGCTGGTGCATGGTTGCGATTTGCAGCAGATCTGTGAAAAAAATAAGAATGGGAATGATGAGGAACATTCTTATATTTTTTGTACTATATATAGGTACAAAGAAAACTTTTTATACACTTAGCAATGAGCCATTAAATGTTCATTGACCTAGCACAATCACTGTTTTAAAATTATATGTTTACTAGATTATTAAACTTACATAACATGAAGAAATATGACATCTGAAAGCATTGTGAGAAAGAATGGTTCTGCTGAATTGTGTCTCTGGTAGAGACAATTCAGTACAGTCCCAAGATAGTACTAATTGCAGAAGATTATTTTAATATTGACTACATTTTTATTTATTTAATTTTTCAAAACTAAATATCTTAAAGAAGATAATTGCATTCTAAAATTTAAAAAGCTTGTATTATGCATACTTTTTTATTCGCTTACTCTTTCCTCTTGCTTACAGCCGACTTTTATATCAGGCCGTTTGCGGGCTTTGTTTGGTGGTACAGTCTTAATGGAACTAGTTAGTTATTAAAAATAAGCAATAAAAAGCGGCAGATTACTGTGCTATTGTCGCAGAGTTAACGTCAACTGACAGCCATGTTAAATGACAGAAATCCGCTTATTGGCTCGGATGGACTTAAGTACCTAACCACAATTGAAAAAAAATGTCTAATAGATCTATCTTATTCTGGTAAAATATTTTGACTAAAGGTTTTTCATCTCAAAACCCTTGCGGTTTTATACACAAATGAGGGAATCGTTTCAAAGTTTGTTTTTTACCCTTTCTTTTGATATCAAAATCTTGAAAATTCTCGGAATTGGATTTATCGAAATTCAAGTTAAGCAATTCAATTAAGGGACTCAATTAACACTCACTGTAATATATATATATATATTTATTAATAAGTAGTGTAGGATCATATTCATATTTAAATATATATTTAAGTTATGTATGAATAATAAAATAATGTAAGGATTTTATTTTCTATCTTCAACCATTACAAATGTGTAAATGATTCTGCAAACAAAACTACCGCTACCACCACTACAACAAAGCAATTCTTTAGTTGCAAATGTCACACTAGAGACACCAGTTTATTTAATAATTTTGTTAAGCTATTTTATCAAAATTATTAAAAAACTGTTTTTTGGCTAGGCTACATTAGGGGTTGTAGCCTAACCAAGCCACCAAGCCGAAATAATGCCACCCAGAGTTTGGCCGCGGGGTGGGACGGGGACGTGTTTTCCCCTCCATCTGCTATAGTGTTCAACCAAAAGGAGGCGACGTCCGCGTCTGGTGTACGTCGCCTAAATAGAAAACTCACTGAAGGTGGTGTTTTAGTTGGTCCGATTCCAACATACTACCCCTGCACAATCACCAGTGGGGTGACGGCCCAAGGGGGTTGCTACACATAAAAAATGATGGTAGTTTTTGATTTTTCAAGTTATAAATAAAACTGTTTACTTAGCGATTTATATATAGACACATAGCTTATTAAAGTTGTAAAGGCTAATAGACTGCTGATACTTGATATCTATTGCAAGCCACTTAAGGTACCATACAGTTTGCATTGGACGATACTTACCTTAGCAAATTTAGCCCGTCTTGATACTGTCCATTTTCAATGGCTGCAAGACCAAGTTTATTCTCAATAGAGTTTAAGACCTCTCCCAAGTCATCAGTAGAGCTATCTTGACTTGTGCTACTTCCAGATTGTGCAGATTTTTCATTTTTACATCCAGACTCAGTATGATAAGACTCATTTGATACTAAATGCACTCTAGGAGCAAAGTCTGACACAACTATACTGATTTTAGGTGCAGATGTTAAGTAAAAATTATTCTTCTCTCCACTACTTATGTGTGGCTTTAAAGAGGTAATTATATCATTCACTGTAAGACATTTGCTCTGATTGACTCTCAAATGATGTTTTAACTTTAAGTGAATTATCTGACTAGTATACCATCCCAGAACAAGTGCGCCACTCTAAAATTCGAAAAACATAATAATTAATAGTAAACAAAAAACGCGAACAAATAAGTAATAAGTGTACAGATATATTAAAATCTATGTTACGATATAAATAAACCAGCTAATACAAACATACCCATGTGATGGCATCCATCCAACTTTTGTTCAGATAATCGAAGTTCCATTTCTTCCTGTTCGGGCCACTATCGTTTTCAAAAGAAGTGCAATTTCTTGAAAACCATTTACAGCAAGGTTGCTTATTTTTTTCTTCACTGAAATTTCCTGGTGCACTGTTTACAACGGTAGTGCTACATCTATCAAAATGGCTAGCACTTCTTTCGAAAGTATCCCTGATACGACGCGTTACATATTTCCACATGATTGTTTATTGGTTTGACGCTCGGGAGATAAACTGTTTTTAACTGATTTCCATTGCGAGATGGTTACCTAAAGGCTACACTACAACTAGAATTTACTCTAGTTCTATGAAAGTAAATATACCAACTCAATTTTGAAACAACATTACGATACCACAGCAGTCCTTGACTTCAGACTTAAATACATTACCTATGTCCGCAGACATTGATATAATACTTACATAGATGAGTAATTACCGCCTAAAATCGTTGCTACTGCACATCTGTCCACAGGCATATGCGTAGCAAACGTCAATTCAGTGTTCAATGTGGCGTCAACCGAGTTGAACATAGCGACACATGACAGTAACAATCGCCAAAATGGGTAAATGCGTAGTGAAAGAATGCGATTCAAGGTCACAAAACCATAATAAATCATGCGGAATTACTTATCACGTGTAAGTTTATGGTTTTTGTATTGATAATATCGTAAATAAGGCAATAATTGAAATAAAACATTGATAATTGTAATTTAGAATCAGTGTTACCATTAAAAAAACATTTTTGTTTTCCCACATTAGTAGGAGAATTTATAATTTATGAAATAATATGCTTTATACTGTTTTTAAACATTTTGTCAATAATAATAAAATATAGGAAGAACGGTAGTTGTTAGGGCTGAATCGATCACTTTTTTTAGGGGCCCGTTGAACGTTCACCTTCTGCCAAGCTCGCAGTGCTGGAGACTTTTGTATAAAATAATTAATTAATTCATTCATTCATTTTTCTTAATTAATTATCAAATATAAATAACAATTGTACAAAAAAAAAAAAAAAAAGTAAATAAATATAAATACAATACAAAAAAATATAAATATGTATATTTTTTATATTTATTTTTTTCTTTGTATTTAAAAATATTAAAAGAATTTGCAATACACCCTGGGGATTATTTATTATCAGTACAAGTTGATCATTCACTTTTACTATTAAATGCCATTATTTATACATAGGTAAAAATAAGATTGTATCATGAAAGTAAAATATTCACACAAACTTATAAAAAAGAGTCTAAAAGACAATTGTATACAAAACTGATGCTTCATAGCGGAGTTTGATTTTACACTGAATATAAACCCTTTTAACCAAATATTTCTAGTTATTTTATTATTTATACCTATTCCATTCAATTCGAAATATATCATTTAAAATATTTAAATTAATTTATTTTATTACAAAATTGTTTAAAAAAAAATTGTTTCTTGGTTGTTATGGGTAAAATTTCATACGGTAGTCAACACTGGCCCCACCATCGTAAAGTTATGTCTTTGTCTTTGTCTAATCCGAGCGATGGTATTGTTCTTGTCTCGCGTGTAAATGAGACAAAAATATGTTTACTTTCAAATGTTTAGCGGTATCAAAGCTACGTCGTCAAAGTTCAAAAGTGGTTACACTTTTTTCGACGTGTGATAATGAGGTTTGCTTCTCTAGTGTTGTTTAACTCAATGTCCGCAGAGCAAAAATATACAAAATGTCAATGCTTAATGCCTACTGTCAAAGTCAAATCCAGTCAAATCTAACTTCAACCCTTTTTCGTAATACCAATAGAGAAAAAGTGTTTCTAATTCCACGCGAACGAAGTCGCGGATACCAGCTAGTATTAAATAAAAAGATAAAAATATGCACACTGTCAAAATATTATATTTAAAAAATACAGTCGAATTGAGAACCTCCTCCTTTTTTTGAAGTCGGTTAAAAAAATAATGTGTAATGTATTCTATCTCATTCTCTCGCCGACTTAACCCTATACATTTATGTGTTTGTTTCTTTATCGTGGCGCATTTTCGTTTCATCGCGTTTCAAATCACAGAAGATATATAGATAGAAGAATCCAAGGAAGTTTCACTTAAAAATTGGGTGGTTAGTAAAAGTAATAAATTAATTAAAATAGTATAACTTGCTGTAGTACAGTAAAGTATAGTAGAATCGAAACACAAACAATAAATCACGATACTAAAAGACTTGTGGCGTTGCACATCACTACGCGTATTGCATATCACTACGCCTGTATTGCCTGTTACATCACTCTCCGACGCGAAGACGTAGTTCCGCTACCGCGGGACGCTCTCTTGGACAGACGGTCAAAATAGTTTGGAACGCAAAGACATGTCTCGTCCGATACCGTAGTTAATAAGTGAACTGTGTTGATGTCTGTAAATTCGCCATCGTGAATAATGAATATTATAAGGAATAGATATAAAAATCAAGTGTTTTCTTTTGGAGGGGCGCTGGGTTCCGGCATAGATTTGGTTACGATGGCATCTCCACTACGAGGCGAAAGTACGCCATTGTCGTGAAGCAGCTTCGATAGGGGAGCAATTTGATTGGGTGGGCATATGGCGTACATGTGTCGTTAATTTTCTAATGTAAAGGAAATCTCGAGCCTACGTTCCGCAGGTGTTGCGGAGATGAATCTTTCGAAAAGCATATCGGCAAATCGCATGGCTATGGAAGATGGAGAAATTTGGAAAACGAATCGCACAAGAAATTCGTGCGCCCGCTCATTTTTCGGCCGAAAGTTGTATGCAGTCACCATCTCTTTGGGCAACACGCCACGAATTAACAGGCATATTACATGGGATGCGGCAGCTCTTGCGTTGAGATTTAGCTTCCTGATTTCGCACAGATCTTTTATCATAACGTCCAGGAGATCGTTGGAGCTCGTGTCGAGTGTGATGCGTCTATCGGAAAACCATGCGTTGAAGGCAGCAACGCTTGACCCCCAGCTGTGAGCTCTGAGTACACGTGCATGCAAGTCCATAATGGTTCTGAGGCTGATCGCCTGTCTGAGTGTTGGGTATAACTTCATCATAGGGTAATTTTCGGTGAAGCCGATTGCGACTTTGACTCTTCGCTCGGCTTCAGGAGATGTAAGGAAGGCGTGCGTTCCTATGGTTCTCACACTGATCTTTCTCATGTTATGAGGTGAATCTGCTATCCCAGTCGGAGTGCAGCTGGGTCCGAAGGTTATATTTATGGTCTCACTGTGTTGTATCATTATATACTTAGAGAAGGAGTCTTCAAGGAACAGATTGTACTCACAATGATTGTTGCCTCTCAGTATCCTCATCATACTAATCAAGCAGTCATCGCACGTCCCCTCGCTGATCCACATCACAACGTTCATGATCAACGTATTCATGGAGACGAAATTGCCATCTAACGCGAAGCGGGAGATAAGCGAAACAGAATAGAACAAGGATCTAAGTCCAATTCCAAACTTGATCCTCTTACGTATTCTTTCGCACATCGCTAGAACTAAATATTGTCCTATGGTAGTATACTTAATCGGAGCTCTTCTTACGTCATATATTGGAGGGAGTTGATCGCGTACATAGGCGGGATCGTTCAATACTTTCTCAATTTCTTCGATATCATCAATGAAGTTGGGAAGCCAACGATCTTTAGCTGATTTCTTTGTACATATGTCTTCAACTAGTTTGCCAACCATTACCGTTTCGTGAACGAATTGCGCAATAGCTCGCATTCCGAATGTGTCCGCGTATTGCAGAGGCATGCTGACATAACCGCCTCTTTTTAAACATACGCGTGCGGCACTGATATCTTGCATAAGCGTGATATTGACTGTCCTCTGAATGTTCATGTCTTTTAGGGGCACGATAACCGTCGTTGTGAGGTGAGGGCTGCTCAATTCGAACAACGCTAATCCGAACTTACATTCATCTGTAAGCTCGGTGAATCCACACCATTCAGTAAGTCGCAATTCTTCTACCTGTATCTCGCTAGCGCGCGAATACGTGTTTGCCTTCTGAATGTTTTCCTGAGTCAGCGCACCCACTGAAGCGAGTTCGCGAGTCAGGATTCGGTTCGTTAATGATGCGTTCATTTTAAGTCCCTGTCTCTTATCTTTTCCGTTTGAGCAAAACTTCTTCATTTCGCCAGAATGAAGGCCTTCACAAGTAGTGTCGTATCAATACTCGTAATCCAGCGTAACCTCGACGGGGAAGCCTCGCCCGTATCTGACTCGAGCGTATAGAAAATTTGTATTTGACCAGCTACATAACCTGAGTCATCCCGGTGCAAACGCTACCGCGCGTCTCGTGGCTGAACGCTATGTTTGGCCCGGCGTGCAACGAGACTGCCGTGCATGGGCGCGCCAATGTCTGCCCTGTCAGCGCAGTAAAGTCACGCGCCATGTCAATGCACCGCTCGCTAACTTTACCACGCCTACCGGGCGACTCAGGCACGTTCATATCGACATTATTGGACCTCTTCCCATCTCGGAAGGCTATAGCTACTGCCTCACTGCAATAGATAGGTTTTCGAGATGGCCGGAAGTCTGGCCCATGAAAACAATAACCGCTGAAGAGGTTGCCCTCAGGTTCGTGTGCGGCTGGGTATCACGTTACGGTGTCCCATGCACTATTACCACTGATCAAGGTCGCCAGTTTGAGTCCGCACTTTTTAAACAACTCCTGGAGCTTTGCGCGATCAAACGCACACGGACAACCAGCTATCATCCCCAGTGCAACGGCATGATAGAGCGGTTACATCGACAGCTCAAGGCCGCTCTTATGTGCCATGATGAGGACTGGTATCGGGCACTACCGATGGTTCTGTTAGGAATCAGGTCAGCTTTCAAAGAGGACCTTAAATGCACTTCGGCGGATCTCTTATATGGGGAGTCGCTGCGATTACCTGGGGAACTCCTCGTACCCAGCTCTTCCCATTCAGAACCGACAGAAGATTTTGTTGGCCAGCTACGTCGCAAGATGGCCGACATTCGACCAGTTTCGGCTTCACGTCATTGCTCTCCAGCGTCCTTCATCTTTAAGGACCTAGCAACGGCTACGCAAGTGTTCTTGCGTAATGACACCGTACGGAGAGCGTTACAGCCACCCTACACCGGTCCTCATAAAGTGGTCAGTCATAAAGACAAAACTCTCGTCATTGTGGTCGCAGGCAAATTGGTCGAGGTTAGTGTTGACCGCACCAAGCCTGCATACATCTTCTCAGACCCCGACCCAAGCACTTCCACCTCTCGACCCCCTACAGTAGTCCCAGGAGCTGCTGCGTCCCCTCAGACGCCTCTTGTAAACCAGCCTAGTCGCGCTCCCCCGGATATCCAAATATTGAACCCTTCTGGCATTCCTGTCCGACAACCCTTTACCACCAGGTCAGGCCGAACGGTAAAATTTAAATTTCCTCATAATGTTTGACAAGTTCTAACTTTAGATGTAACTTGGATGTAATTAATTATAAGTTTCTATTTTTTTTTAAAACATTGTTTATACATTATATAGTATATTATACACTATTCGTATATTATATTATACAGTAGCAACTAGCCAAATATTGTTTAACATCCTAATTTACCAAATTTTGTAAAAAAAAAATGATTTTGCTCGTGGCCATTGGCCTATTTTTCTCCGTAGAGGGGTGGTGTGGCGTTGCACATCACTACGCGTATTGCATATCACTACGCCTGTATTGCCTGTTACATCACTCTCCGACGCGATGACGTAGTTCCGCTACCGCGGGACGCTCTCTTGGACAGACGGTCAAAATAGTTTGGAACGCAAAGACATGTCTCGTCCGATACCGTAGTTAATAAGTGAACTGTGTTGATGTCTGTAAATTCGCCATCGTGAATAATGAATATTATAAGGAATAGATATAAAAATCAAGTGTTTTCTTTTGGACTTTAACAAACCAAAGACTAATACACCTCTTTAATAAAAATAAAACGTTTTCCAAACTGAATACCTTTGATAATAAATAAAATGATGCAGATGTTTACTTCTGTTGAATAGATGCCCGATGATAATATGATACGAATAGATAGAGAGATGGATGCCCGATAGTTCCCTCTGTCTCTGTTTCGCTAAGCTGCGATTCCGTATTTCAAAATCTTTACATAGTATAATATAAAGTCTCTTTCTCTTGTGCGCTTAGATCTTTTAAACTAAGTAAAGGTTTTAAAAACGGTTTTCATCAATAGAGAGAGAGTGATTCAAGAGAAAGGATTATATGCATATACATGCAAGATGCATGTATATGCATATAATCCTAATAGGAGAAAATCCTAGAATTTCAAAGATTTCTTGTAAAAAACATGGTTTTGGGCGTTTACATTGTAAACGTTAACTAATCCTTACGAGATAGACCAAAATAATGTACTACGGAATTGAATATCTTAAAAAAAAAACAAAAATGTCTGCGATGTATATATATATATTTCCTAAGGATAACCCACAGTAACAATTTTTATCTTTTAAATATTACAAAAAAATAGTGGGTCGTAAGTAACGAAGCTATTTTAAACAATGCGTTATTATTCCTTATCCAATTAAATACGTTAGATACATTTAATTAAAATGAATATTTTATAAATAATAATATAAGGGGTTTAAAATGCGGGGGCAAAGCGGCCGCTTCGGGCCGTACGCCTGTCGCGGCATACATTTCATATAAAGATTGTTGAAAGGAGACGGCAAACCAAACTAGTACAGCCTACTTGGTGATTGTCGTTGACTAGAAGACTCATGTGTGACAAGACAGTGTAGCCTAGTAACGTTTTTGTTTAATTTTACTAGTCAAAAACTAAAATAAAATACAATCGAGTCCTATACTAAAACAATAGGGAATATGCATGTATTTTTTTTATTTTTTTTAAACGATTCTACTAGTTATTACATTACCAAAAATAAATATAACACATCGGTAATATAAACCGTTAAGCAAAAAAAAAAATTATTAATATCACTATCATTTTGGGGCAATTTGAACACGTCCATTTTGGCGCGCTTTTTTTGTGACGTCAGATTACACTTTCAGACGAATTCGATGTCAACAACGGAGTGAAGTTCACAAAGTTTGTGAAAGTTAAAAAAGTGAGTGATATAAATTAACTTATTACCATGGAAAAGCCAATAAAAACGTATTATAAATATTGTGCCGTTCCTTTGTGCCAAAATAATATGAAAACTGCACCTGACAAAGTATATTCAGTCATTGTGTTGAGTCTTTCTACACGGGAATTTAATAATTTAACACTGAAAACGTATTAGTTATTAACTTAAAATGAAACAAATAATCACCAGAAACCAAATATTACATATATACACAACTTGTTGACACTGTTTTAGAAATTTGCGAGGGAATCTTAAAAAAGCCAATTTTTGATGATTAAATTTCACTATTAAATTATAATAAATTTCAAAAATGTATGGGTACCTTTTTTTAGCAATAAAAATTACAAATAAAAATATTTTTTCCATTTTGGTGTCACGTGCATATTTCCTATTTCGGGCTTTTGTTGTAAATTAGCATTTTATCGAGGCTTTCCATATTAGTGCAACCATAAGAAAGATGACCTGTGGCACGGTACTATTATAATACAGTAGTGTAACTCGGCCGCATGATAGAAATAAATGCCTACAGCCGCGCGGTACGTAAACATGCGTTAGGGCTGCCCGTCTCCAGCATTTTAATTATATTTGCCTACTTTCTGTTTCTATTTAGATTTGTGATTGTAAATATCCTTTTTATATAAATAAATGAAATACTTTGTATATTGAATAGGAAGTGTTCAATAAAAATGCATGTTGTTTTTTGATTGGTAGATTTAATTATTTTATTTTCTTTCTGCATTGGAGGAGTTTTTAGTGGTATATGTTGTTATAGTAGCAGCAGAAACACTTTGTGAAAATTTCGAAAACTATCTAATGACAAACAGACGGTAAAAAAAAAATTCTAGTATTATTCATACACACAGATAATAAACAAATATTATTAAAAATAAAATACCACGTCTTTACTTTGAATTATGCAAAGTAACAAAACACACATGCACCGAAGTTTTAACACAAGCGTAAGTAGATAGGTACCTACCGTATCATGATTCATTCAGAACCTTATATAACTACCTATTTCACTCGTCTCAATAACTTTCCGTTACTCTATTCGCTTTATTAATTAATCCAAACACCTTTTTTTTCGTAAGATAAAAGGAAATACTTATCCATAAAAAAGACACACATTATGTACCTACCTACTAGTAAGTAAAATTATTTTATAGTCTTACCTTTCAGAGTTTCCAGGTAATTTAAAAAAACCTTATGTCTGGATGCGTTATTGACGAATTCATACAACCAAAAACAGCACAATATTTCCTACTCGTCATATTAACTGATTTTTAGAGAAATAAAATCGCGCGGTTATTGTTAAAAAAAACAACACACCGTCCGTTCGACACTGCGGTACAGCCGTGACTGTCTGCGCCCCGAGCGCACCCCGAGATCGTGGCGCGTAGGTATAGCTCGCGTTTCGTCCGTTTGTATGAAGTTGGAGTACTGTATTATAATTGTACCGTGCCTGTGGTATACTCTGCACGGATGATACTACGCTGAGTGTTGTGGGTCCGATCTCCTCATGGGACGATACTTTGTGTGATCCACAAATTGTTGTTCTGAGCCTGGGTGTTCTTTTTGTCCGTTTCATGTATGTTTGTATAATGCGGGAGTTGTCCTTTAAAAATGAATGAAAAAATGAAAAAGCATAATAAATTACACCACACTGACACCACATAACACATTTATAGTATTAGTAGTATCTACATAGTGCGAAGCAGGGGCGGATCGCTAGTTTAAAATAAAAACATTATCTATAAATAAAAGTTTTACCTTTTTAATCACTTAAAATTAAATAAATAAATGTAGTATGATTCAACCAAAGAAAGAAATGAGACTCAGTGTATTAAAATTTTTATATTAATTATAAGTCTGACAAACTAATTTTTCATATGTCGTATATATTGGTTGAGGTTGAGGGTATAAATAAACTTACGTGTGAAAATCATGTTTGTTCAGAGGAGAGTAAACCTTTTTGCATTGAAAACAATGCTTCATTTTTGAATTTACAGCTTTTCATTCAAGAAAAGAGTTTATAGTTTGAGAAAATAAAAATAAAACTATTCCTTATTAATAGAGACCGGATTATATGCATATTTGCATATCGCAGTCCCCGACGAACACTATGGTAATCGCTATTACGATAGAATCGGGTTTATTAAATATTCGTTATCTACACACCCTATTACAATCATTGAGCTTTTTTTATGACCGGGCGATGAATACTTTTGGATTTATCCATTCAATAATGATCTTTATGTTTTTGTTCTACGTATAACATAAGTAAAAATTTACACGATCAATAACGCAAAAACCTATTACCAAATCTCAAAAGTCAACATTTTAGAGTAAGCGGCTATTACTATATTGTTCCAGGGGAAAAAGTACTAAAGTATATTCATATTTACCATGGAACAATATCATAATGAACGATTACTACAGCAACACCGATTTGTGATTACAGTCGAACACTATCGTAAAGTTAGTTTGCGTTAATTTTTTCCATAGCTTATTTCAGTAATGGACATTTTCACAATTTTCTTACTGATAAAGAAAATTTATGATAAAAATGTAGTAAAAATCTAGTGCAAAAAAATATTCCCTTATTTTTGATAAAATAATCTTCTTTTTAGTCTTGATAGTATTCAAGATATTCAGTTTTTATTTGCTCCTGTAAAATTGTCATTTTCCTATTACGATTTTGTTCGTCGGGGACTGCGAATTATGCTTTTTCTTATTTAAGCCATTCTCAACGGTAATAGCATATTTTACCTAAGATCTAGTTATGATGCATATTATCGGTACATTTACAATATTTTTCCGAGTGCAGTGCATTCACCCTGTGTTCCGAAATGCGATAAAAGCGATTCGACCCGGAACGCAGAGTCAGTAGCCGCGCGCATCTTTTGTTTTAACAGTTACGATAAAAATAAATAAATAATGTCATGTAATGTTACTGTACTTATTATCGCCAATCAAAAAATAATTTACTCATTGTATGCTGATTTTGAAATAAAAAAATGAAAACTGACTTTTCTCTTTTTTGGGGTTCCTAAAATTTATCATTTAATTTCGCATATTCTGCCAATTTAAGTGCATATTACAAGCATTTTCGATGCGTATTTGCATGCATATAACTAGCTTTTTATGTTGCATTTAATCCGGTCTCTACTTATTAATATTCCTCAGACAACCACAACGCCACCAGTGGCCCCAAACCCGACTCACAGTCACTGCCAGGCCTAATAAATGCGCAGAAGTACGCCTCACAGGCCTGGACGACTCAGTCACGGTGAATGAGCTAAGGATCGCCATGGTGGAGGCTGGGGGCTACTCCCTGGACTACGTGAAGGCCAGAGCAATACGCTTCGGCCCCAGTGGACAGGGTGTCAGTGGCCCCATCGCAGCGGCCCAAAAGTCGCCGAAGGACGAAGCCTCCTGGTTGGAGGTTTCGTGAAGGCGCAAGTACGACTACTGCAGGCACACGCGGAAAGGTGCTGCTGATATCGATTTTGAGATCGATTCAAATTGCAATCTTATGAATCGATTCACAAAAAATCAAGGTATAAAATGGGCTGGAGTGAAATACTGCTACGATCTGTTCACCACCCCGAGTTTCTTCGAGGCCAATTTGACCTTACCCTCTAAATGACCGCGAAACTTGACTTCGCTCGAGATGTCGATGCCTAGGATTCCGACACTGGCTGAGGCAGTTATGAAGGTGCTCTCGAACCGAGGCGATATGACAAACGGTATCTTTTTTGCAGTGAATTCGCAAACATGTGTCTTTTTTGGATTAAAATGGACTAGATTCTGTCGACCCCAACCTGAAACCGCTAAGGAAGTTTCAATTTCAGACACAAGTTTGATTCGACTCTCGATGACGTTTTCCCGAGAAACATTGGGGCGGCCGGTATAAAAGGCAGCTCCCGTGCTATCATCTGCATAACAATGGATCGCACTACTAGTTCGCAACATATCATTGATATGCAGAAGAAACAGTATAGGTGATATCAGACAGCCTTGTATGACACCAGCATTTAGTGACTTCAAGTCGGAGCATGCACCGTTGATAACAACTTTAATGCTTTTGCCTGCAAAGAAACTGGTGACCCAGTTACATAATTTCTCGGGAAGTCCATACGAAGGGAGCATTGAGAGAAGCGCTTTAAACCACGCTTGATCGAAGACCTTCGCTATGTTCAAGCTTACCGCACAAGCCTCTCCCTTGGTCTCGTTCGCCTGTGCCCATCGGTGTGTTAGATCAACGAGAAGATCACCAGCTAAGTGACCCCGGCCAAAACCATATTGTCGGTCCTTGAGTAGCTGGTGATTTTCTAAGTACCGGAGGAGCTAGCAGTTGATTACAGATTCCATAATCTTGGAGATGAGGGTTATGGCTTTGTAGTTGAACGGATCAGAGCGGTCACCTTTTTTAGGGATCGGGTGCACAAACACTACTAAAAGAATGCTTTAGACACTGATTTCTGTGTGAACCGGATTTCCGGCATACAGTTCTGGCACCGCGATATGGTCAGCGGTACGTTGCCCCCGTCATCCATGCCTGCATTATATTGTTAACTTTTTTAATGACAACCAATCTCTTATCTATACTAATATTATAAATCTGAAGATTTTCATTTTTTGTTTATTTGTTTGGTTGAACGCGCTAATCTTAGGAACTACTGGTTTGAATCGAAAAATTATTTTAGTGTTGGACCACGCTACGACCTAGTAGTCAAGTATCAACAAAAATGTAGCAAAAACAGAGAAAAATTATTTCTTTTGAGAGAGTGATGTGATGGATGGTTATAAGATTTAAACTGTTTATAAAGTGAATCATCATAACTTTTTAATGTAATTATTAGATTCTTAGAACTTTGCTAAAAGTATATAAATTCTTCACAAAAACTTGTAACAACTGCAATAACTAAACTATACGTTTCCTAAGCTTCATATGCATCTATACATACATACAAATAAATAAAATTGGAGTGTCTGTTTGTAATATTAAAATAACCGCTTTTTACTAAATGCATATGTATGTTTACACGGTACATATGCCAAAATATATTTTTTTACAATTTTTGTCTGTCTGTCTGTCTGTTTGTTCCGGGTAATCTCTGGAACGGCTGGACCGATTTCGACGGGACTTTCACTGGCAGATAGCTGGAGTAACTTAGGCTACTATTTTTAAGACTAGCTTCACCCCGCGGCGTTGCCCGCGGTTATAACAACAAACGCGGGTAACACCGCGGGTCTCAGGTAGTAAAATATAAATTACATAAAAAATTAAAAAACATGTTTAAGTCGCTATATAGGAATGAGCTCAATAACTCACTTACTAATGTATTTATCAGCTGAAAACAAACATTGTTTACTGCTAAGGGTGTAACTGTACAGATGAGACGAAGTAATCAAGGAACAAAATATTTTAAATAAATTAATTTAAGGAAAGAGACTAGTAATTTTGGTTCAAATCAATTATTATTATTTTTTTTTTTTGACAACTCCCGCATTAGGAATAAATCCTGTGTCGCGGGGGACTTTACAAACATACATGAAACGGACACAAAGAACACCCAGACTCAGAACAACAATTTGTGGATCACACAAAGTGTCGTCCCATGTGGGGTTTGAACCCACAACACTCGGCGTAGTAGGAAGCGGCGTGGCGACCGCTTACCGTTATGTAAAAAAGTAACTTAACTGCCATTAAGAACATCCTTGTTATTTAGAAACGTTGAGAGTAGAAAGGTTTACAAAGATAGCCATAAAAGTGTATTTATAAACTTTTAATATTATGGTACTTACGCGGCGTTAACTTATTGAGGTTGACAGCAATGGCAAGCTGTCATGGGTATCTACTTCAGTACAGTTTATATGGAAACTACAAACTGAATTACCTTTTGAACCCAAAGTTCTAAATAGCTGGTAATTAAAACTTTGTTTGTCGATTATATTATGATGTCGATACTTGATATTATTAGCAACAAAATAAATACAACAATAACGCCTACCAGGAGATACGCTAAGCGGTACAAAACACGCATACATTTTTGTTACATAAAAAGTTTAAAAAATATATTTCATAATGTAGCTTGTAGTGCCCAATGTTTGATGTCTAAGCATTTGATAAACAACAGTCTGTCAAATCTACTTGGTTACCAGCGGTTCCGCTCATCACCTTCAATGTCGCCGCAATCCAGAAAAGGCGCTCACAAGGCACATGATCTCCCGGTAGTCATATACTTCATTGGTATTATTTATGATAAAGTGAAAAACTGCTTTTCTGCTGCTGTGTCGAGTAGCATGGAGAACAGAGTAGCTTCAAAAGGGGCACTTAGTATTAACTCGTTGTAATGAACTTTTATAAAGGTATGAAAGCCTAGGTCATGTTTGAATTCGGGCTCCTTTAGTCTACATATTATTTGTGTTGAGTACATTTAACTAGCTGTAAATAATATTTTGGCATTTATCAAAACAGAAAAAATTGAATGTTGATTTTCGAGGTCGAAATATCGATTAACTGAATCGATTTAATGCTACATTTCGGTTAAAAATATTGATTTATTTGAACCGAGAAAAAGATTCTACAATTATTCGATTTCAGATCCCCATCCCTAATTTCATTGTCTGCGATTGTTTGTGTCGCGGCAAAATTAGAGAATAACAATCTCCACTACCGCCAGGAGTATAATTTGTGTTCAATGAATGTAAATATTGCATAGCAATGTGTGGTCGTACTGCATTGTAGGTACAAGTATTATTCCTGTGAAACTTTGTATTCCAGCGATCGCCGTGCCAGAATTCTTATAGATTTAACTTTTTAGGACCCTCTCTAAAGAACAAGTACAATGCGCCTGCAGTTACAAATCAAAAAATGCAAAGTATATAAAACCTCAGTGGTTGACTGAATATAATGCGGGAAAAGATTACACTCCATCCTGCAATATTGCCCCAACTGATGTGACACCAGTATTGATTTCTTCCACTAGATTTAAAAATGCAGCAGAAAGCACCAGAGTTATTAAACCAATGATGTGGGGAATAATACCACCCTGGCACAAGGTATAATATTCATAAGTGGTTACAACAAATACCTAATCGCTACCTACTAAAGTATTTCTGCAATTACAGGGAGATTACAAAACCCACAACTTAAGCACAAACAATTGTCGTTTAGAAAACATAAAGGAATCTAAACTATATAGTCCAATATTACGAAATGGAGGTAGATGCATAATTGTTGTAGAGGGCTTCTATGAGTGGCAAACCACTAATAAACTAACAAAAAATAAGCAACCTTATTATGTCTATTCACCACAGGATGTCAATGTTAAGGTATGTTCTATTTTAATCAATTTGAGACACCATTGCCCTCTGCCATCTAATCTCAAACTAGGTAGAGTAGAGCCTGTATTTTTGTAATCACATAAGTAACAGATATCTATTATAGTATATATACACACCCTACGCAATCTATTAACATGTGTATAGGTTATTTTCATATATACACACCTGGATATAGAACTGATCATGCTTATGTTACAATTATTTGTCTTGGGTGGGAATCAAAATCCACGATCTGTCTTATCAGTTGAAGAACAATATGCCTATTAAGTAATTAGTAAATATTGAAAGACAATTCTTACTTATTGTAGGTACTAACTGCAACATATGTTACAAGATATTAAGAAACCAACTATAAAAGCTTTATTTATACCCTTTGATTCATCATCAACAGTCCTAATAGTCCACTGCTGAACATAGGCCTCTCCTTAAAAAGTTGGTTTTGGCCTACTATACCACCCTTTGAGTAATTGCATCTAATACATGGTGCGTACCATCTGACATCCCACCTTGGTAATAAGTAATATTAGTGTTATATCCTGACAAAAATAAAAATATTTTGGAATTATTTGAAATAATTTATTAATAAAAATAACTTCATCAAGCTAGTTCACTTTAATGGAAGCTGGATACAAGATAGTATATATTTTTGAAAACAACCAAAGTTTTTTAAGCAAAGAGTATTTTTATTTATTTATTAAGGTTTACCAACAATTGTTTACATCAAAACTTGTAATACACGCATACTAAAGAAAAACAATTAACAATGTAACAATTACTCATAGGTAAACACCGCTTTTGTAGAAATTATACATACATTGAAGATAAAAATTATAGACTAAAACATTAATCTTAAACTATGTACACGCAGTTTACATTAAATTAAATTCGTTATTGACCAATATCCGGGAAACAAACAAGTGACTTTACTTTGGAAATTGATCCATAGTGTATGTCTAAATAAAACATCACTAAAACTGTTTATTATCTTGGACATTCTTGCATACGGAGTATTGGCGCCAAGAACTGTCCTTCTGAGGGGCGGACAAAGTGATGTGATGGAGACACGCGGAAGCCTAGCAGGTACACGAAACATGAAAAGAGCCAGTAACTTATGACTGTCTATTTTCTGGTTGAGAATTTTAAAGAAAAACAACATGACATTTAGGCTTCTACGTTTTGCAAGCGAAATCATGCCAAAGTGTGAAAGTCTACTATCGTAGGAGCGCTTAGTTTTTGAAATACCATTCGAGAAAGCAAGATGCCACAGAAATCGTTTTTGGATATGTTCAAGGCGTAAGGAGTGGACTGGTGTCACTAGAACAATATAAGTTGTTTAATGATTCATATACATACATACATATTCTGATTAATGTGCAAATGTTAAGTTGAAATCATATTCAAAAATTTCGCTGTGCTGGCTGTGTGACGATTAAATTTTTATTTTATTTATTTTGGATCGCCAACAAATGATACACAATCTTATTTAAGTACAAAAATAGAAATACATACCATGTGCTTATCCAATTATAGGCAATCAGAACTAACAGAGATTACTTTATAAAATGACAATAATATGAAATTGTAGTATAACAAAACTTCTGACGTAATAATCTGAGGTATCTATTTAAGAAAACAAGTCTTGTTTATAATAACAGACAACCTCACTTTCATACTACAAGCTCTAAAAAAAAAATACGTATGGTGATACTGAAGAAAAGCCTAAGCCAATGGTCAATTCCACAAAAAAAAAGGTCATCAAAGTTACCCACAAACAAAGAGAAAAGGGAATAAATAGAAATGGAGTATTTAGGTCACGGTGCAGCACATCGAGTGCAAGATCTGCTTAGTTTGAAACTTGATGGCGTTCAGTCGATGTTTGAAAATATTATTATTAAAAAAGCGCGCCCTCATTGTTTAAATCTAATAGGCTGCGCTTCCCTAGCTTCCTCTTGTGCACTTCCGTCCTTTGTCTCAAAATCCCTTCTACAGATAAAAGGAACGTGAAAAAAAATCCATTGGCGCCGTACGCTGCGAGACCATTTAAGTTTCATGTGAGGATAAATGCCCTGCCAGTGACTAAATAGAGCACAACCTTTTACACAAGCGGCTATATACCTACTTTGTAGGCAATAATTTCTTAACTAAAGATTTAAGCTTAAGGGTTCAATTTCGCTTTAGATCGTCGGTTCTCACAGATTCTCACAACACGTCTTTGAATCAAGTCAAAAGGCCTACAGTGCCATCCAGTAGCTCTCGTCCAAAATCGACAGCATTAACATGAGTTAAGGGAGATGGACTCGAATAATGATATTATGGGAGATGGACTCTTGGATTGTATAATAAAAGTCTTTGTCCCAGGTTGTAGTATCTACCGCTCCACTATATTGAGCAACTCCTTTTGCATACTATCAAAGCTTTCCTTTCTGTAATTTCGAAATTGGACGTCGCCGTCGTTGGAAATTAATACACCTAACATACTATCTTAGTGCAAACTTTTGCAATACAAAGCTAAAATTAGCAAATTTCTGGAGTGCATTTACTCTTCGTTTTGTTTGACCAAATTGTTGTGCTCATATAAAACAAGCTACCCAGAGCGGTGGCGAACATAAGTTTTAAATTTTTCGAGACCAAATTGCCTTTCATAAAGACATAAGGTGTGCTGACTCGTATCTGACTCGAAAAGCGTTAGCCTCTCGAAATGGACGAAATTGTCAGATATGGTAAAGGATATATGGAAATATCTAATGATATAAATTACCTATCTAATGTAAAACGCGGTAATCCTATGTGGATCGCCGCGTTTTACATTTTACCATGATTATATCTCGCCTCTCTGAGTAATGTTGGATACATTGTGGTGTTATTCAGTACAACTCCGGTAGGATACCAGTTTTATTGCCTGATGTAATTAAATAATTTTCAGGTAGATGAACCAGATACTTGGCAAGCTACATTTGATGAGAAACAGGGTTGGAAAGGAATAAACCTACTTCATATGGCAGGCTTGTACAATGTATGGCAGAATGAAGAAACAATAATATATTCATACTCTGTAATTACAATGGAATCCAATAATATTCTAAGTTGGTTACACCACAGAATGCCAGCTATATTAAATACTGACGAACAGATTGAAGTAAGTTTGTTATAATGTTGTTATTAGATATTATGACGATGTCGCATAAAAATATGCATCGCTTATTTTCCAGTTGTCGTGAAAATATATTGTTATTGTCTTTGGTTTTCAAATTTTCTAATGAGCCAAGATTTGAGCCGTCTCATTTGCCAAAAAAAAATTGTATTTGGAGTTAGGCCACCCTGATCTTTGAGAGCGCGATACATAAATTCTCAGACGTTATTCTAATCTGGAAATGTACTTTTTTAAAGATTTTTTTTAAAATTCAGTCGATCGGCAATGCAAAGCTTTTAAATAGATTACACGTTATTGGATTAAGTCGTACGTACCGTACTATTCTTGTCTAAGTTGAGACAACTTCAGGAACTTTATGCAACTCGTAAAATTCTCATTTTTAGGGTTCCGTACCTCAAAATAAAAAAAACGGAACCCTAATAGGATCACTTTGTGATCCGTCCGTCTGTCTATGAAGACCCTTGATCTCGGGAACACTGTCGAGTTAAAATTAAAACGATATAGTCAGGTCTATTTGAGTTTAACAGATATTTAGTGTATGACGTCGTGTAATTGTGTATGGTAAGTAAAAATTTGTACATTTAACCATTGGGGAATTATTCACGAAAAACTGTTTCATTGTTGTCCCAGTGGCACTTTTTTTATCCGGACGTAGAAGAAAAAAATTGTATCTAAAATTTGTGTATGACGTGAGGTAATTGTGTATCTTTAAACGAAATTTGTGCGTGAATAAACTGCGAAGATATTCAAGTTTCCGCTGCGACAACGATTCGCCATTTGCTAGATTTCATATAAAACGCTTTTCTAGAGCTGTAGATTTTTTCATAAGTTGTTTTGAATATAACCATTATATATATACACGGTGATTTTTTAGGCGTTTTGGAAACGAAACATTTTAATTTGGAATCATCTATAGTACCAATAAAAATGATTAAATCAATTGTAATGTTGTCTAACAAAAAGTTTAGTTTTAATATTCATTTTTACTCGATCGACTTGGAAAGTAGTAATGTACTGATCATTCATTCATTATCTTATATGAATGAAACACGTCCGTGGGCGTTTCGGCGGCCGCTGCGCACCGCTGACGCTAACAGCAGCTGATAAAAGTATACCTATAGGCGCGAGCTAGCGAGTACTTACGTAGATAGACTCCAATTTGTCCTTCATACTTTACACGGGCTTAGGACCGTCGGAAATACCTATTTTATTTAAACTTCTTTTCGATTATTAACCACGATTGTTCTTTTTACAACAAATCATTTTATCAACGGACTGTAGGTATAAATATTTCAGGCGTATTTAAAAAATCGGAGCTATCTACTGAATAATTAACTTACCTACATACCTATTAACAGTTTATTTACACTTCTCTGTATCGAAGCAACTGCTCAAAATGGAGTCCGCTGCGTTCAATACACAAACGTCCACGTTTAATGCAATTGTTTTTTAATTTTCTTAATGTGTCTCTATCACTTTTCACTTTATCAAAAGCGTCCACTATCGCAATGCGTAAATCATCACGGCTTTCATATTCTCGTGTATAAACAAGTCTTTTTATTTCCGACCATAGGAAAAAATCCAGGGGCGTTAAGTCCGGGCTTCTAGGTGGCCAAGGCACAGGCCCTCCTCGACCTATCCACCGATCACTAAACTCATTGTCCAGGTATGCACGCACTACACTCGCGTAATGAGCGGGACAGCCGTCGTGTTGGTAGTACATAACTCTCGAGTAAGCTAACGGCACATCGTCTACTAACTCAGATATTACTGTCCTTAACATCTCTAAGTACGAGTTGCCGGTTAGATGACCTTCAATATAAATAGGCCCTATTAATTGGTCGTTAATAATACGGCCCAAACGTTCACACTGAAACGAACCTGGTGATGGTTTTCTCGTATCAAGTGGGGGTTAATTAGAGCCCAGTAATGCTCATTGTGCACATTGTATAGTCCCACTCGAGTAAACAGTGACTCGTCCGTCCAGAGTATGTTGGCGTTTGTATTATTTAACAACCACTGGCAAAAGGCGATTCTTGCCGGTGCGTCAGAACATGATACGAAAATGATACGGATGTAATCCTTGTGTACGTAATATCTTCCATACGAAGTTTTGGCTAACATCGAATTCTCGTGCTGCCATCCTTGTGCTCCGCCGGGGATCGCGCTCGAAGTACTCAAGAACATCTTCTTCAAACTCATGCGAATAATAATTAAAACGTCCTTGACCTTGCGCACGAAATTGTCCGTGGTCGAGAAGACGTTGGGTTGCAGCCAAGATGGTAGGTGTGGAGGGAATTTGAGGGCTTTCAATTCCACGTAGCCGTAGTACATTTAAATGCTCCGGCTGGGAATACAAACGCCGAGCCTCTTCCAAGTTGTAGTTGGCAGTAGCGTACAGCTGTACCATTGCCAAGTATTCCACGTTTGAAAATTCGTACTGTCGACTCATTTTAGCGCTAATCAATGTAGCGTGCCGTCACGATGTTATGGTATTACTGACCGACTGAAAAGGAAGGACGCCTCACGATGACAGATGAGTACCGCGCATGCGCCTACGGGCAATGCCGTCATTGGTTGGACGACTCCGGCGCAACTCGGTAGCTTTGTTTTTATTGGCGAATACGATTTTATGTGACTCGATATTAAAACGCATAGTATTTCTATTTGTAGTATTTACCTACGTGTGATTGAATACCCCTACTACAGGTTCTTACTTTTTCTCTGTAAACGATATGAATATCGACTTTGATGAAAAAAAAAAAAAATATTTTATTAAATTAACGCTATATATAGCTTCTGTTATTGATAAATAATTCAAAATTTTCTTTTCCAAAACTCTTTCAAAATCACCGTGTATATTGTTGTAAAACTGATTAAAAAGAAAAACAATACCGGTCAGAAGATATAAACGAAGATCTAGTTTGTAAGCATTACCTTGTAAGCCTCTACAATGTTTTGCTAATTATCATTGATTTACTCTTAGTAATTAATGACCTATGGGATAATTTACTATGACTGGACCACTGTTTCATATGCAGTCTTATTGCACGAAAAGAAATGCGTAATAAAAGCTATTCCAATAATTAGTGCGTTAGTTCAACTATGCACATGTAAAATTTCATTTCATTCATCATCATCATCATCATCAACAGCCTATACAGTTCACTGCTAGACTTAGGCCTCTCCTTAGAAGGGAGGTTTTGGCCTACTATACCACCCTGGCCAGAAGGTTGATATAGAATTTGTTTCAATTTTTCCTTCTCTTTGCAGTGCTGTTTTCCTGCGTAGTTTAGTCGGCAATGACGAAGAATGTAAAACATGTTCCCTTTTTTATAAGCAAAGGAAGCTATCTAAAAATTTTGGTGTATGTAAATAATAAACCATTTTTGATAATATGTGCCTACAAATTTGTACGGAACTCTCGGTGGGCGAGTCCGACTCGTACTTGTTCGGTTTTTTTTTTGTTAAACTGTAGGGTAGTGTGTAAGAGATATTAATATTCACTAACGTCGTTAATATTTCAGGCTTGGCTTGATGTCGACAATGTTGGACCAGATATGGCGTTACTTTGGCTTAAACCAGTAAAAGTATTGTCATGGCACCCAGTTTCAACTAGTGTAAATAATTCTAAAAACAAATCTGACTATTGCAATAAAAGAGTAATAGAAGAAAAGAACAAATCTAAACAGAAAACTTTAAATTCTTGGTTTACAAAGGTTGAAAAACGGAAATCATCAGACGAAAATTATTCAGAATCTAAAAGAATTAAACAATAAAAATTACTTATAAAAATAAATAATTTTATTCGAATTTTAATCAATGAGTAGTATGATCCATGAGAATGACTCTTTTATTAATGTTATGTTTATAATATTAGACGACTAACGAACATTTTATAGTATCAAGCCAAAATATGGCACTCAGATGTTTTCAATTCTAAACTCTCTGAAATCTGCTTCACATCTTATCGTTCTGTGGTTCTTTAAGAAATCCGAAACAAAACTGCATACTTCATACTCCTCTGCAACAAAAATGTAATTGACTTATTATTGGAGTGTATACTCGTATATATTTAAGTAGCGATTAAAGCATTAAATATTAAAAAGTAAGTTTTCCTACATAAAAAAAATGATTCTAAGTTACTGATTAAATAAGTAACCAAGAGCATAAAAATTGCAGTAATTGAGAACATTTTGTTTTGTGTTCCAATCTTTGAAGAAACTTGCACACCAGGGAAGATTCATAATATTTATTAACCTTAACTAACCTAACCGCCCAAGTCAGATTTATCCGTCAAAAATTTATCACGTATATATACTACTAAAAACCCTTTGTATTTTATCTTCGATTTCTAAGCTTATTACGCTGTTTCATTTTTTAAATAGTAATTTTTCGAATAGATTGTCTATCAAACTTTTTATTTAGTCACATATGCAGTCTCCTGATAACTAGAAACATATAAAAAATAATAATTTTATTTAATAAAATTTAAATAAAAGTTAAATTGACTAATATTATCCATGAGAAAGTGTATTGACTGGTAGCGCTCATGTTGTATTTACCCAACAGTAGTGTAAGCTCCCACTTACTTACTTACATAACATTAATAAATACATGTCCAAATATAGTTATTTTACACATTGCCGGTGGATCAACAGGTACTCTATACAATACCTAGGAATTGTATACATTACCTAGGTAAAGTACATAATGAAAAATAATATTCATAATATTTCATACATTGCCTAGACGCCGTAGGTATTCTATACATTACCTAGGTATTGTATAGAATACCTGAATTATACAGATTGCCGGTAACACCTATAACACAATACGACGATGAAGAAATGGACACACTACCAGTCACTCCTATTTCACCCTAATAATTGTATAAGGAAAATATTTTTAAAACAAAATCAATACTTACGTTTTTTTATTAAAATTTTAATGAAAGCCATTGTCTCTTACCATAGAATAAATAAAAAGTTACCTAATAAGAAATGTCAACAATGACGAAATAAATGTGATTAATGACGTAAATTTGTCTTTTTTGTTTTATCTTAGATCCGGCTGCAGAATCAATGCACTCTTCGAGTATGTGCTAGAAACCCAGTTTTTACGCATATATGATTAGGAGATTATATATCTATCAGGTTGCCTATCAAAATGTGGTCGCTAGTATTTTTATTAATTTTTTGTTAATTGATTTTTGGGAAAACATTTCGTTCACTTGTTTTTGAAATAATATCGTCCACTTCACGGCAATATATATAGACTGAAAAATCACTAATGCCGTTGCGCACTCATCGGCAAAATCATACCTGTTTACACCTCGTCGCAGCCAGGTGTAAACAGGTATGATTTTGAGAGATTTATACGTTTATAACGTACGTTTATTATTTATATATCAAATTAAAGCTAATTTTTATCTGTTTATTATGTATATGGGCTATGACCGCTAAAAATAAATACTGTTTTTTTACTGATCCTTGAGTGGCTTATCAAATTTGGTAAAAATTATGTTTAATCATAAACTGTTGCTCTTGATTGCTTTATAATAATAGCAAATACAAATAGTAATATTAGGTATTAGTCGATATTATTGTAATACACAGCCCTCTTTGTCGTAGGTATTTATTTTCTGATTCGAGAGCTGGGCGCATGGGGCACGCCAATAAGTAAAAGCCGGGTGGTTAAAAGATTAAACATCTGTTTAAAGAAAGATATTACATACTATTTGGGTAACATATTTTTTATTTTATAAAAGACAACTCCCGCATTAGGAATATGTCCTGTGTCGCGGGGGACTTAACAAACATACTTGAAACGGACACAAAGAATACCCAGACTCAGAACAACAACTTGTGGATCACACAAAGTGTTGTCCCATGTTGGGATCGGACTTACAACACTCAGCGTAGAAGTGAGCGGCGGGACGACCCTTAAACCACTATGCCATCGCTGCAGCCATATTACAATAATAGATGTTAAATAAACTGATAATCTCACCTGGGTATTTGCTACATTGGTATATAAGCCTGATCAAATGCTTAGCTAAACTTTTAAACACTCCTTTGCCCTTAATGTGCCCTTTAATGTAGTAAGGTGTAAGTATCTTCACAACCCAGGGAGCTATGCGCTCCTTGCAACTCACAATAAATTCAGGTGTTTCCTCTAAAGGAGAAATAATTCCTTCATCATCACTGTCATATCCAAAATAATAGATAAACTTCTCTTTGATCTGAAAAATTAAACAATGATCACCAGGCGAAAAGAGTGTACTGTATCAAATGATGTAACATTGAAAATAAATAACCTTTTCAAGATGTTTTCTATTATTATCACCAATTTGGTCAAGCAACTCATATAATTTTTGCTTTAAAAAATATTCCTCACATAGCCACTTGCTTGAACTACTTTTTTTTGGTTTCTGGTTCTCTGGCTTCTGGGTTTGAACTGTAGTATCACCACTAGGGACTAGAAGGCCTGTTAACGATGCTAGTCTCTCATCAAGAGATTTTATTTGAGCTGCATGATTTTCAATCACAGCATCATGGGTAGCATTAATTTTACTTGTTTCCATTATAATATTTGTAACTTTTTTTGTGTGATCATCAAGGGTAGTATCTAATTTATCACATAATGCACCTTCAAATATGTCATCATCATTTTGATCACCTTGAAATAGTTTTTCTAATTGCATCATTAACTCATCAGGGTCTGATTCAACAGATGCTTGATAGTTTAGTTGTGGTGGTGTAGTAATAGTTGTAGTAGTATTAGGCTGGTTGATTATTTGTGCCACTGGTAATGCTTCATTTTTTGGTATCGATGACGAACAAGAAGTATTTATTGAAAGTGGTGCACAGTAATTGTCATTATGACCATTGGAATTGTCAGTAATAGCTAGTAAGTCTGGGTAGGTTTCATTCAAAGCAGGCTTTGGTGACATTGAGGTAATGTTTTTCCTTTTCCTCTTGTTCAGTCCACATTGGCAGTTGTTTTCTTTTATAGTGTTACAGGCTGTTTGTGTTTTTTTGTCATTTGGTGGTTGTTTATTTAAACATTCATATAACTTTCTGTTTAATTTGCCTTTTTTAGTATCATTCTTTAATTCATTGACCTTAAAACAAGATTTTAATTATTTTAGATACTACAATACATTTACATATTACAAGTACAGTTACACACACATTTGTATATTCAAAAGGCAATAATTACCACAGCAATTATGTTTTTCCTATACAATTGTATCACCATACATGATTGTGCTGCTTTAGTTTCTATAATTTTTGCACATCTCCAAATAGCACTTGGTAAATAAATGTTCTTGTTGACAAGTTTTTGATTCGTTTCATAATTTGTTGATAAAAGTTTTATTACATATTCCATGTAATGTTTACGGACCTAAAAGCAAAAACAGTATAAACTGTAAGCATTAGTCCAGGGCGGCAATAATTTAATAAGAAGAACACTATACTATGCCCTTCAAAGGTTGTTTAACATTGTTTTATTTAGTTATATTTTATTTTATTTACCTTTGAAATTAAAAGATGAGGCTCTAATCCAATATCCGGCAAAGCCATGAAAGTATCGTCATTTTCTCGCAACAATTGATCTATAAGATCCTGTTGTATATATTCTGTAGACATTCCGATTTATTATATCTCGATATGCTGCCAGTTCAGTTAACCTAATTAATATAATTTTAATACCGAAGCCGGTTGGCCTCCATAACATGCTCCTACCCACAAAATTAAAAACAAACAGTTAAAAGAATTTGACAACTTCTAATTGACGAAACCAAAGATAAAGATTATCTGTGGTCAAAAAAGAAGCTATCGAATAGCCAAGTACCTAAGGGGCTCAGACTATGCTCGGACTACACGAATAGACACTTAAAGATAAGGGTCACAATCGATTATTTTTATTTCGCCGAGATGATTTCATTCTCTGACGACCTTATAAGAAAGTCCACTTCTTTATTTAATTTATCAAATAATCAATCCAACCAATCAAAAATATTTTTATTGAAAACCTATACGATTATAAAGCGATTATAAATCAATGCTCAATGTTAGTCTATAATGCTCCAACGCCCATTGCGGGCAGGCGATAGGAGGGGTCCAGATGTCTTATTAATAGCAGTTCCCGGATCTCTCCTATGACTCCTATTACTGGTGCAGAGCGGCATACCGTGTGGTTTTAGTCGGTCCGATTCCGACACACCACCCCGCCCGACAAAACCCGGTGGGGTGATGACCCGAGAGGGCTTCCACACGTAAAAATAAAAATACTGTTAGTCGAGGGCCCAGATAAATCAGATGAGTAATCCTTGGTTCGTCGTAAGTATTGAAATGAAATATATATTTTTTTTTGCACGTAACTATTTTCTGATATTTTTACTAGTCAGAGTTTACAGCTAGAAGCCATCGCCATTTCCTAAGACTCACCCCGGAAAAAACGCCGAAACAGACCACAGAGGTGTCTCTTTTTTTTAAGTTTGTCTACAATGTTAAAAAGAACTATGTGATATTGTTCACAACACTCGTATTCTATTATATAAAAGTATTATTTAAACACTTTTGAAAGTTTCCATAAACAATTTTTTTGAAGTAGCATGCAGCGAGTACTATAGGTCAAAGACTGATGTGCGCTTTTCTTTTAAAATACAATTTCGCCTGAATTGGGTAAAAAAACGTACCGGAATTTAGGGGTGATTTTCCGTCATTGCTATTGCAATGGCTTGGAGGTTCATGACGAAACAATAAATTCTAAGTTAGCAGTTAAAAATTGCTAAAGGTCATCCTTATCATCATCTCAGCCAAAAGACGTGCACTGCAGGACATAGGCCTCCTCCAAGCTTCGCCACAACAAACAGTTCTGAGCTGCCCGAATCCAAAATCACATTAATGATCCACTACCGTCACCCGCATTATAATAACTATATATTTTGCGAAAACAGGATCTTTTTAAAATTACTTTCTTTATTTTATTATTACTACTATTACTAATAGCTGTACTACACCCAACGTCTATCAAAAATTTCATGATGATCGGTTGAGCCGTTAAGGCATGAAGCTTTACAAAGAATCAAACAACCTCACTTTCTTATATATAAGTTAGAGTAGAAAAAAAAAAGTGGCATTCATAAATTACGAGGACAGCGGTTCCCGTTTATTTAATTCTCATCGATAGCGTGACAGTTTCTTAATACTTTTTGGAGTAATATAATTTTGCGCCACAGATATATTTCTCAATCAATGAGGAAGATGTCTATATTTTGCGCCATCACTAGCCCGTCAAACTTTTGACATTAACAGTTTTATTATTTGTGGTTTGCCGCCTTGCGCATTCAGAAAAATATTTTTTGTTTCTGAATAATTTGTTGCCTTTATCATGGCTGATTCTACTGTAATGGATGTAAGCAAAATGAAAGTAGTCGACTTACGTAAAGAACTAAAAACTCGTGGGCTCTCGTATGCTGGCGACAAAGCTGAATTAATCACCAGGCTCCAAGCAGCGATTTCTCAAGATGAGCACGGCGACATTAATTTAGACTCTGATGAAATTGACTCAGATGGAGTGTTAGAAGATGAGGATGATAAAAGTCAAACTGATATATTAGATGATACTGCAGTTGATCCTTTGAATGAAGAGTTGGCGCTTTCTGATCAACCCGCTTCCAAAACCACTAATGAGACTAAACCCCAGCGTATACTGAAACGAAAGATTACAGCTACTAGTATAGAGCCTTCCAAAGAAACAGGTGAAACCAAACCAGCAGAAACCAAGGAAACTACTGCCAAAAAGATTGTATTACATAGAGCCATATCAATTTCATCTGCTCATTCAGAAAAAGCAGAGGAAAGTGAAACAAATAATCAAAAAGAGGGCAGTGAAGCCACTAACAACAAAATAAAAATAACTGCTGATGTAGATACTAAGACAAGACTGGAGCTAAGAGCTAAAAGATTCGGTTTACCAATAAAAATGAGTGAAGATGAAAGGAAAGAAGCAAGAAAACAGAGATTTGGACAAAGTAACTCTAATATAACTAAAAATATCACAGGGCCCCCTTCTGGTACATTAACTGAAAACATGGAAAAACTCAGAAAACGAGCAGAACGGTTCGGACAATCAGTGTCAAAGATAATGACTGATATTGAAAAAAAAGAACGTCTAGAAAAACGAAAAGCCAAGTTTGGAGGTTTAGCCTAAAATACCAGTTTAACTCTTAATGTAAATAAATTTCCATAAGATTGAAACTAGATACCTAGTTTCATTATTTTCTGACTAACAGCAGTTAGTCACCAATTTCAATTACTTTCTACTGATAAATGAAAGCCATTGCATTTGATTCTCTAAATTATCAAACCTGATCAGACATGATTATGTCAGAAGTAAGATAAGGTACATTGTAAGATTAAAGTTGACTTTAATAACATAAGAGCATAAATAAAAACATTTGACTTGTAAAACATTTTATTTAAAACATTCCTTAATTTGCTACAGAAAAAGGCAAGACCTTAAAATCTTCAGCTACTGTGTCTTCATCGAGATACACAGAAGTTTCTTCTCGTAAATTGTTAGAATCCTGAGGTATTGGTATTGCATACTCCATATAGGGTTCTTTGTATAATAATGCCCATCTCACTGCCACTTCTTTAATTAGTGTTTTTCTAAATGCCATACAATGCATGAACCTTAATTTCTCATACTTAATTCTGTTAAACCCTACATGTGCCAATGTATATCGCCAACATTTCATGATTTTGCTGTTTGCTCCAACATGTTTTGAATCTGGTGTAGTTATTATTAGTAGCCCACCAGGCTTTAATAATTTATAAGCCTTCTCACAAGCCACAATTCTTAATTCTGAAGTAGGTATATATTCTAAAAGAAAACAAAATGTAACAATTTCATATGAATTTTCTTCAATTTCTTGAACTACTGATGCTTCATTAACAATGTTATTTTGACCAATATTTACGTTTAAAAAATCACATTGTAAAACCGAAGTATTTGCAGGATACAAATCAATTGCAAAAACATCAAAAATATCATATATATTAAATGGATTATAGCAACTACCAACATCAATTAATTTTAATGGTATAGTGAAATTTTCATTGGTGTTTATTTCAGCATGTATTTTGTTTGCAATTATAGTTTCTTTCTCCATTGACTTTAAGTAGCTTTTTTTAATAAAATAGTCGTAGCAACAATCAACCACCCATTTAATTCGGGATGTAGCTTCACTAGATGAATTGTTATATTGACTTTCCCAATGTGTAGTTGCCAATTTTTCCATACATTGTGCATAACATAATAATGTATCTTTATTTTCACAGTGCTTTTGCCAAGCTGTTACAGCTCCTAGTTTAAAGGTCGATTTCCGTAGTGACAAATGAACATCTTTAATATAATCTGAGAGAAGTTTATGTTCTTCGTTCGCCATGGTAATTTATAAAAGTAAGATTTACTTATTTTGCTAAAAAACAAACATATTTGGTTATGGTTCACGTAGTAAGCTAATCGTTGGCTGATGATGCTGCATAGTATTCTTCATTTGCTTGTGCTTGAATAGTAAGAGAAACTTTTGTGTTTACAAATATCAGACCGCTTGGAATAAATATTACGAAAATATTTACTATGGCGACATGACACAAACAAATTGTAGTATTGTAGTGTTGAGCAAAATTATTGATTTATTAATTAATATTACAGTTACTTTCATTTGTTTTCGTTTATTTTACTTAAAAATGAACATTAACCAGGTCCCGGGCCAGGATCAGCTCTTAACATAGACCTAAAGTACAAACCTGCGAAGAATAGGTTATTTCAAGATAGAAAAATTTTGAATGTTACTAGATACTTCTCGCACTCTATTTATTTAAAATATAATTACAATAAATACATTAGTCTTGTACACACAGGTCTACAAATAGAAAGTAAAAATCAAAAGGTTTTAAATAATATCCATATTTAAATTATCCGTAGGTACGATTCATTTGAGGAAAAGTTTATCTATTAATAATCAGTTTAAACATTAAAAAAAAACGATTTTAACTATATTACTAATAATAATTTTCGAAAGTGAAAATATCGATAAATTTTTACTTTGCCTATTCTTCATTTGTCATAACATGACCATTTGACCATAGACATATAAGCATAGAGTGAACAAGAGCCTCAATCTTGTAATATAGGCAACGAGAGAGATGGATAATAGATATTATGATAGTTCTCTCTATTTCTTACTTTCGAGCTCCTTATGGTTACATGTGCATTCGCTGCCTTTATGCTGTTTTCTGTTTTAGTAGTCGATCGTTCGTTCGTAAACGTTGAAAAACACAGTCGCGGTACTCACGGTACTGGCAGGGGCGTACGTAAGTTTACAAAGGGGCGCAAGCGCAGAATTCTATAGAGCTGCTTAAGGTTGACATCTAGGATTTATATTACGTAATTGCCAATATTTTTTGCTTTCATTTTCTGATACCTAAGAAGATTGAGACTAGTGCGTGTACACAAAAGTTGCAGTGGAGATTACTCTACTCTACTCTACAGAATCTAAGCTACAATGGGTAATGCTAATACAATTGATAAATGATCGAGTAGACAATGACAGTGGCAAGTTAATATATATTTATGAAAATGTATATGTATATCATAAAAACAAAGATAGCTTTTTGAAAAGAAGTGATGTACATTCTATTATTGGCGTTGGCGTTTTGTACGGGTAGAATATAGTCATTTTTTTTTTGTAGAATATATTTAATTAGTCAAAGTATGCACCGTTGTTTGATCCCTTTACTAAAAAAACCATGGGGGTGAGAATCAATAAATTCTTTGAAGGCGGTTTGGTCTGCCGCATCGGAGTTGAATTTTTTCCTTGTAAGAAGTTATCCAAATTCCAGAAAAATGGTAGTCTGCTGGAGCAAGGTCTGGGGAGTACGGTGGATGTCGCAGACATTCCAATTGTAGCTCATCTAACTTAGCGGTTGCTTCTTGTGCAGTGTGTGGTCTTGCGTTGTCGTAAAGCAGCAGTAGCCTAGAGCGATTGACCAATCTCGGTTGTTTAGCAGCTTGGTTCTTCCTTCATGGTTTGCAGTTGCTGACAATAGATATCTGCCGTAATCATTTAGCCAGATTTTAGAAAGCTGGAGTGAACGACACCGGCGCTTTTCGTTTAGGGCAGGATTTGGGTGGGTCTCCAGGGTTCAGCCATTGCGACGAGCGCTTCCGATAATCGTACAGTATCCACTTTTCATCAGAAGTAATGATTCGATTTAAAATTCCTTCATTATTGTGTCGATTGAGCAAAGTAACACAGCAGTCGACGCGTGTTTGCAAGTTCGATTCACTCAATTCATGAGGTACTCATCGTTCAAGTTTTTTTATTTATGTTTGGGATTAATTAGGGTAGGCTATTTCTCAAGTAAAAATGTGGTGTGGGGCGGGCTAGTGTTTTTATTATAATTTTTTCTTTTTTTTAATGTGTCACTTCATTTTCTCTTTTATTCGATGTTTTTCTTAATCTTGTTTTCTCTTCATTGTCTTTTTACCTTTTAGTCCTTAATAACGTTATTTGCTCACTATTTGACCAAAACAGATATTGTTGCTATTGTGTGTTGATCTATGGCTTTGGAGTCTACATAGAAGACAATTTCAAAAAAAAAAAAAAGTTTTATTAAACAGAGATTTTGAGTTGACTTAATAAGTTACTAGTACTAGTACTAAACGGCGGGCGGAAGGTCTAATCGCCCAGAATTAGGCGCGCTCTGCGGGTGCTGGCGGATATCTGTGATGGGATTTAGAGGCGAAAATTACTGTCTAAAGGCCCCTTGCCTTGCCACGATGACTCGTTGGGCGTCCCGGCTAGAGACTCCACGTACTGGTTTTGGCGTCGTGGAGGCGGTCTAGCGTCCAGTGTTCCATCGTCTAGTGGTCAGGGTGTCAGCACTTCTGCTTAGGGAGGTACCAGGCAGTCGGTAGCTAGGAGTGAATTGAGTTGCGCCTGTCACCACTGCAGTGCAGTTTGAACTCGGCTCAGCACACACTGGTCAACATAGCGTCGGGCATTCATTGCAGTCATCGGAGAGGATTTCTCGCTACCATCCGTTACACGCTCCATGGCTGGCGCGCTTTCCAGCGCCTCATGCCGCTCTGTGTGGTCTCAGGTGGCCGGGTTTTCTTCTCCACTCGCCACGAAGGTCTACCGCAAAGAGGCGACGTCCTCGCGTGGCAGACGTCTTCTAAATGAGCGTTTATCCCTGGAGGTTGTGTCCGCGCTTTTACAGGGTAGGTGCTAGGAGGGGTCCGGAGCCGTCCTCTACCAAGCAGGACTGGTCTCGGTGAATTGTCGAGCGGTGTTCCGCAGAGGTCGGTGTTAGGGCCGTTCCTGTGTAATATCGACTACGACTGGGTGCTCCGCCGTGCCTTCTTGAATGGTATCAGGTATTTGGGGCGTTCTGGGTGGGGATCATGGGACTGGATCGAGGACCAGAAATCCCTACTCTACCAGGTCCTCATGGCGGAGTGGAGGGAAAGACTTGGGAAAACAAGCGCCGGGCTCGCCATTACACGTTATGGAGGATCGGTTCTAGAGGAAACACGGGATCGCTGACGCAGCTCACCTGTGTCTGATCCGATGTATTATTATTGCTGCTGCTGTTATCGGATCCCTCCTATTTCAAGCGCAGTGTGTGGTTTTAGTCGGTTCGATTCCATTACACCGCCCACCGCAAACCTCGGTAGGGCCCATGTATGGCATGAACCCACGTAGCCACACGTAAAAAAATAAAAAGACAACTAAACTTTGGAGTCATCCCTATCACACATATAGGCATTAGGAATTCGCCGGGGGCTAGGGGGCGCCGATGAGATGCTTGCCTAGGGCGCTCTCGATACTTAATCTACCTCTGGGTACTGGTTATATGAACCCACCGACTGGAAGAGTGATTAGTAGTTCTAATAACTCTTTCTTTCGGAGCCAGTTGAAGTATATAGGATTTGCGGTTATAGGAGTTGGGTAAACAAAAAATAAACATTGATTCCAACGAAATGTTCTTTATTGCTTATTATATTAAAGATTGTGTTAAGATAACTTCTCGGACACAAAGATCCATAAGGTCACTAGTATAACACTTAAATTCTCAAGGTTCAATTTGGAAATGAAATGCGTTCGTAATATTATAGAATTTAATTAGGGTACATACAAACATTTTGTAATGTTGGAGTATAATAACAAACTAAAAAGACTTTCTTTTAGTAGCTAGTGAAAATTTTTGGGGAAGTATCTTCTCAAGTTTTATAAAAATAACTATAGGGGGGAGGAGTCATGTTTTACCGTGAAATATGATACCCTTATAAATTAAAATAATTCTACACTTAATTCAATAAAAACAATATTTTATACAAATTTTAAAATATTCTAAACAAAACATGAATAATAATACTACTGCTTATTATAATTTTGACAAATTGGTGAATTTGCGAATTATTAAAATTTATCTAATTTTACATGCAAATGCGATTCCATAGGACTCCTCTCGCCACGAATAACGACGCCTTATGCATATATCATTACTTTTTAAATTTAATCGCAGTTAAATCGGATTTAAAACATTCCATCACTATTATTATCTACGATAAAGGAAATCACACGGATATTTCGAAAGCCAACAAAACAAACAAAAGCGTCCACTAATAAGTGTTAGCATAAAACAAAAAACGAGTCCAGGTAACGGTTCGTCACCGGCCGGGACCGGGCCGGGACCGCCGCGAGGCGCCGGCGACCATATGTACAACGGATAAACACTAACAACATCGACGGCCACAAACTTTACCCCCTTAAGTGCGTTCGCTCGCGGCGCCGGCCGCGGCGGGACTACCGTAACATCTAACGAGTAAACATCGAATAGTTTCATGGGTAGGCTCGGGGCGGCGCGACCGGCCTAGCCGGCCCCAGCCGCGGCCCCCGGCCCCTGCCGGCGCCGGCGGGCGGCCGGCGCGGGCCGCGCGCGCCGCTCCTACCTGCCCTCCGGCAGCTGTCGCGCCGCCGCCAGCTGCCGCGCTGCCGCCTCCTGCACACAAGCAATCAGCTCAGGCGCTGCCACTACAGGTCGTACCGTACCGCCACCGGAGTGGCGCTACTCGATTAGTCCCTCGTCGGATGCCGATCGTGATTTGATTTCGATCGTCGGTCCGTCGGGAGCGGCGTACGGAGGTTCGCTCGCCGGGCGAGTTAGCATGACGGATGGGTCGCGAGTACGGGCCGCGAATACACGGGCGCGCGGGTGGTGTCATGGGCGTGGTGCGGCACGGTACATTGGTGCGCGGCTGCGGCTTGTACGCGCAGACGTGCGGCGGGGCGGCGCGGGCGCGGGCGCCCTCGCGCGGCGCCGGCGGGGCGGGCGGCGCGGGCGCGGTAGGTGGGGCTACGTCGGCGGGCGCGGCGCGACCCAGCGACGCCAGCACTAGTCCCCGTAGTAACGCTGCGCGACTTTCTACTTCGGGACCCGCCTGTGAATCGCTGGAAGCCTGTGGTATAAGAAAATAACGTTTTATTATGATCTAATCTCGATACGGAAACGTATTCTCTGGGAAACAGATAACACACGAACCGCCAACTGCAGATAGAATCTCTTAAGTTAAAAATAAAAAAGGTTACCGAGGAAGCCGGAGAGTAGAAACTGCGAATCGGTGTGTTCGGGCGGCGGTTGTGGCTGTGCTGGCGGCGGGCTGCGGCGGGTTGGGAGGCGGCGCCGAGCCCGAGCCGCCAGCGGCCGCTCCGCCGCGCCGCGGCAGCCGTTCCAGCTGCTGCCTCGCGGTCCTGCGACAACACGTCACAATTTTACTGTCAGTGCCTACACTTTTTAAAACCGGAACTAACTCTTAAAAAGTGTGGCTCACATTCTTTGCCAATACAATAATTTTATATTGATCAAATAAATTTTTTGTAATGATTCTGGTTGTTATGGTACTAATTGTCTTTTATTATCTTTTTATATTTTAAAGTAGGAATGACCGTACATTTTCTACTTGAACCACATAATCAAATTTATGTACTGAAAATATGTTAACATTCTTGAAAGACTTTAGTTTACTTGAACTTAATAAAGATTAAATTCGTAAGTATATGAAACAAGCAAATAAATACTTTGATAGCAAAACACAAAAAAACTTGAATTTTTGATATATGTAAAATTTTATAGTTAGTGGACTCTATTGAAAAATCTACGGGTTGGTATAGAGTTTTGTTGCAAGTTTCTTTCTCTTTGCAGTGCTGTTACCCTGCGTAGTTTGCTCCCTTAGTCGGCTCTTACGACATCGACGGAATGACTAGGGGAGGTAATACTATTAATTCTTAATCCGTCACCACACGGAATTAGGCAAGTCAGTTTATTTCAGAAAGACGGCAATGCTGGCAAGTACCGTATTACCAGGCAAGAGTACTCACGGTCGCCTGCTGACGTTCGAGCTGCAGCTGCATCTGAAGCTGCTGCAGTTGGCTGGGGCGTGCCGGGCTGGCCGGCACCGCGTCGCACGCCCGACAGCTGCGAGAGCAGCTCGGCGATGGGGTCTACAACCGCGTCGCGCGACGAAGGCGACAGCGACGAGATGCCGCCGCCAGTGCTGATATAACTTTTATTTAATTTTTATTTCAACACAACACTCAACAACAACGACGAAATGACAACGATAAACGTTAAAAATATAGATTAGGTATATTATTGTACGTAATAGAAGGGTAGCGTCTTGATATAGGGTGAATTGGTTCAATTTAAATGTTAATAAAATAAAAGTTTCAGTTTATGGTATATTAATAGTCATTTTATCGAATAACAAGATGCGACGACAAATAGTGCCTTAGCTCAATGATTTCCTTCAGTGATTTTACAATAACAAATTTCAAAATTCTATAATCTAATAAGCTTTTATAATCTGTTTTATAACAATATGAAATAGTAGCCACCATGTTATTGTGTTATACGGCTATGTAAATAAAAAAAGAGTCACGTCTCAACTGTCAACTGATCATATTTGTTTACATAGCCAACTGACGACATGACCACACGTCAATATAGCGTCCACTGTGTCCAGAGTTTTCGTCCAATTATGAATGAAATTTGAAAATGTAAAATTTTAAAGCATTTTTATGGCACTCATTATTTCAATAAATAGCACGTGCTTTACCAGTGGTTCATTATCACTAAAGAATCTAATTGAGACACTTAAAAATGGGTGTAATAATACCTCATAATGATAGGCCAAAATCTGCCTGAGTATTTAGTTCAGTTCTAGTAATTAAATTAATAATAAAAAAAGCTATAATTCTTACCTAAATTGCATATTGGTGCGTCTCGCACGACTGACCCCACGGCCAGAATGTGGCATGCGCCGGACTCCACCATGTCGAATGCCACTTGGCTCATCGTGCAGAGAAGTTAAAGAATATTATGTTATAAATTAAGCAAAATCGTTACTGTTACGTTCTATACCGGAACAAACTACTATAAATTACATTATAAAGAACTATTAGTCCATCTGAACTAAAAAGTACCGTTTGACAGTTCTGCCAGATAGAATAGAAGGTGGGGGTCAAGGAATTCGATTACTACTATATCCGAGTCTAAAGAGATATCAATTTCATTTCTTTGTATTTACTAATCGATTACAGATTTATGCATGTTATACTGTAAAGCCCTTATATCGGTATATCTTAGGTTTTAGTAGTATACCTAACGGTATACCTAGAAATAAGATTTTTTAAGATACAGATAATTTTTCTGGCTTTCCGTTTCATCCTTGTTTTTTTTTTACGTGTGGAAATCCCCTCGGACCGTCACCCCACCGGGGTTTTGCGGCGGGGTGGTGTGTCGGACTCGGACCGACTAAAACCATACGGTGTGAAACTCTGCGCCTGTAATAGGAGGGATCCGGGAACAGCTGTTATTAAGACATCCGAACCCCTCCTAGCGCCTGCCAGAACGGCGCGGGCACCACCTTCGGTAAACTCTCTATTCACCGGTGCACCGTACAGTGCCATCGACCGGACAACCCCCGTGTACAGCCGTCTTGTCGCGACGCTGGGTCCACCCAAATTGGGCAAAAGTCGCCCTAGGGCAGACGCAGCGCCGACCAGCTTTGGGGCAAGCTGTCGGAAGTGCTCGTCGAAGAGCCACCTCCCGTCGAGGATCAGGCCCAGATATTTCATCTGGGCCCGAACCGGTACGAGGACCGAGTTGAACACGATTGAGCCGCCAGGGGGTGGACCACGACGGGGCCCATGAAATAAGAGAGCCTCCGTCTTATCTAGGGCCACCCGTAAGCCCAGCGCCTCAATGCGCCCGACCACCAGGGAGACTCCCCTTGTGACCAGGCGCGCCGCCTCTTGGAAGTTCGCCCCCCGGGCTGTCACCAGAGTATCATCTGCGTAACAAATTACACCCAGCCCGGGGGGGGAAATCGGCTCGAAGGGCCCAGTTGTACCCTATGTTCCACAAGAGGGGTCCAAGATCAGACCCCTGTGGAAAACCGCACGACATGGGCCGACACCTCGAATTACCATCTCGGTCCTCGTACACGACGGTACGCTCCTCTAAATAGTCTGCCACTAGCCGCCTCAGGTACTTTGGCACCCCATGATATGATAGTGGAGTGCTTCCCTGATGCAGCCTGAAATGGCAGACTATTGAATGCGTTGGCGATGTCCAATGACACCGCCAACAGCACGCCGCCACAGCTCACGGCCTCTTCGGTCACGGCCCTCAGGCGCAAAACAGCGTCCACTGTCGAACGCCCCGCCCGAAAACCAAATTGGGCGTCCGACAGATCGGGGCCCACCTCGTAGAGGTGCTAGACGATGCGGGCAGAGAGAACCCTCTCAAACAATTTACCCGCCTCGTCCAGCAGCACGATGGGCCTGTAGGCCGCGACCGAATCGGCAGGCCGTCCCGGCTTCCTTAATAGGACCAGCTTCCCGCTCTTCCAGCACTCAGGGAAACGTCCCGACGTCCTAGCGTCGAACACCTCCCCGAGGCGGTCTGCCATGTAGTTGAGGGCTAGGGCCAGCACTCGGGCCGGTACCCCGTCTGGCCCAGGAGCGGTGTACTTGAAACGGATCCGTAGAACAGCCGCCCCTACCTCCGAATCCCGGACGGGCGGAACATCATCCTCCTCGTGCTCCCCGTCGTCTCCGGCCAAGGAGACCATCGCCGGGGGAGTGTGTTCCGCTCGTTGCGAGAAAAGGCCCTCAACCACTTCTCGCAGGAAGCTGGGCTGGAGAGTCTTCGTATGGGGGGGGCCCGACGCGCGGAGCTTTTGTCGCGCCGCGCGGTAAGGGCAACCCCAGGGGTCACGATCAAGACCCTCCAGTATCTCCTTTCTCTTTTCTTCCTTGGCGCGTCTAATGGCCAGCTTCAGAGTTTTCCGCGCCTGTCGGTACTCCTCATGAAGTCGGTCCTCCTCACCGTCTCTACGGTGACGCCGCCGACTGCGCGTATAGGACGTCCGGGCACGTGTACAGGCCGCACGGAGGTCCGCCAGCTCCTGGGACCACCAGTAGACCTCCTTCCTTGGAGGCCGACGACCTCGGATGCGGGGCATGGCCGCATCGCAGATATGCGTAATCGCATCGCGAAAGCGACCAGCCCCCACGTCGACCTATTCGGTCGGAGCCTGAGGAGACAGCCACGAGTGAATTATGGCTGCCTCCTCTAGTAGGTCCCGTTTCAGTCTGGCAACAGCCCACCGCGGAAAGCGGGATAAACGCCGCGCCACGTGACCCCTACTGGAGTCCTGGGTCCGGGAGAGCTCAAATCGGATATAAAGATGATCCGAGAGCGTCTCAACCTCTTCCAGGACACGCCAGTTCCTTACCGTGCGGCGAGGGCAGGGGTAGCGAACGAAAGGTCCACTATCGACCCCCCCTGCTGTCACACGCACGTGTTGGTGGAGCCTCTGGTTAGGAAAACCTCGAAGTCACTCAAACTCCGGGTGGGGGAGAAGTATACACCATATATAGTGATCCCCCCCCTCTCGGCAGTTCCGTTTCATCCTAACCTGACCTCCTAACAGATTTAAAGAAAATAGTATTTTTGTGGAGACTTGAACACAAGCGATTTTGACCCCAAAGATTTAATTAAAATTACATTAACCTCTGGATTGAAAACGGCTACTTATTAATAATTTTGATTATTCCTATAAAAGTGAATTTGAAGAGTCACAACACTAAGGTAAAGGACCTAACCATGTGACTTTGAAACGAAGTCGAAAAAAAAGTATTGTATATATATTGGTTAGATGGTGATTGGTTAAAGATGTAAATTCAGTCATTACAATTTTTACACCTTGTGATAAAACATCAAAGCTACATAATGCCATAATTTTAAGGAAAATGTTTTTGAAATTGTGTGGGTTACCCCCATAGGTTGTTTCGGCTTGAAAGGTATGAAAACGGTAATTCTTAAATTTGATTAACTGTGAGTCAAAGTTTTTGTTTATCACTTTTTAATTGAAAGTTGCCTCCATTTAACTTTCGTACTCTTAATTTTCCATTCATTATCAAAAAAATTTTTTAAATATCTTAGTACGTGGCATTCACGAACATACGTTATACAGTAGAATAATAGTAAGAGAACAACTTATCATTTTATAGCATGCTACAATGAAACCATGGCATGAATCAAGAGGCAAAAACAATACCGTGACATACTTAAACAAAAATTAATTGTTCGTCTGTCATATAATACTGAAGGCTTACTAAAATATAGAAAAAATATAATATATTGAAAAAGGATATCAGAAATGAAATAAGATCTCTGGGACCCGTCCTATGCTCCAGGGTAAGATGGCCAGCAAAGTCATCGGTCACAAAGTTGGTTCCCCTCCTGGCATTGAAGCACAAACTGGGCACACCACCTGTACAAAAAAAACATATTGTTGAAACACTACATAGCAATAATAATAATAGTAGGCCAAAACCTCCTTTCTAAGGAGAGGCCTGTGTCCAGCAGTGGACTATTAAAGGCTGTTGATGAATAATAATAGGTAAGCTAACATAATAAGGATATATTTCAAAAAAACTTGTTAAATTGGAAATAATAAACATTAAACTAACAGACAATAGTTTCTCTAGAGTTAGAACATGTAAGTGCGAGTCACTTAATAATTTAATCGGCAATTTGATCTCTTGTAGCATTGGCTTAGTACTCCTATAGACTTGCAGATTTTACTTAATAATAACAAAATAATACTATGTTGATATTTCATGATTATTATGTTCTTGCTCTTTTATTAATGTTATTTTGGGTTTGGTGGTAGTATTATCAATATGTTTGTTCCAATTTGTTAACATTTTTGTTTTGTGAAGCTGGTCCTTCTTATTTAATTATTTTCAGAGTAGACAAAGGTTACAAAAAAATTAAATATTAAGAAACGAAATTAAGAACCAATTATCAAAAAAAGAATTACTTTGAAGGCACTTAACTTTAAAACAGTCTACCCTCCCATATAAGAAATATTAACACATTTAGCTTATCAAAGGCCACAATGGTGCTAATTATATTGTCCGAAAACTCTCTAAACTAAACTAAAAATCACTAAAATTTTGTTTAGAACTGTCAAGTACTACGTTTTCAGAACCAGAAACGTTATTCAATGGGACTAAATTTTTTTTTGGTGATTTTTAGTTTAGTTTGGAGAATTTTCGAACAACAGAATTAGCACCATTATCTTATTATATAACAAGCACCTGCTCATTTCTCACTTAAAAGTTATTTGTTGTACTTTCACTAAATATCTAAACATTCTAGGCAACTGTATTAAGTTACAAAAAGTTCTCATGTATGTGGCTTACATGTATATTTGTGAATAAATTCTTTAAAGGAAACCTTGATATGGGGAGCTAGGGTAAGTAATACCCCACATGATGATGAAGAAACGGCATTGAGAGTGCAGTATGGTATGGGTTACCTACTGCTATGGATGTGATTGAAAAGGCCATTAGGACAGGGACATGAACTAGTCTAACATTATAAAGCACTTACGGACACCATCAGCCTTATTTCAAAACATTGACAATAAATTATTAGGTCATAATTTTCCATTCAAATTATTAAACACTGTTTTTAATTAGGTCTTATAGTTTTATTCTTCTGCTTTATCTGCCACCACTAACCACAAGTGTACTTACAGCCAATGTTGTATCTGCATGCTCAGCCGTGACATGCTCCATGAGTGCTGTGTCAGTGAAGCCCATTCTATTACAAAATGGACATGTGTATGCCTGAGGCTGTTCCAAAGTTAGTGCCTCTCCACCATAGTACAAATCTGAAGATCACAATAAATGTATATTAAATCTTTATTTCTTTTTATGGTTCTCTAACCTTAGTTTTTCTTTGTGAGAAAATCTAATTTTGATATTATTTCATTAAAAGTAACATTGTGATAGTGAATATAAGTTAAAAAATTGTTCATTGGAGACAGAGTTATGTGACATCCTATTATAGATTTCACAAATTATTTACATGATAATTTAAAATTATTTACATTTGATATAATTTTCCATAAATGTGTGTGTATGTCATCATTGTTTTACATGAGGTTACTGATGATATAATAATGATAAAATATATAATAAATATCTGTCAATTGCATTTAAGATTTTTAGGGAAGAATAAAGTTATCCATACATTGTACTTTAATTTAATATTACATACCAAATTTAAAACTGAAGTTAAAAAGCTGAAGAGTTTGTTTGTTTTTTGTGTTTTGTTTGTTTCTTTGAAAGTGCTAATCTCAAGAAGGCAATAGGCTATATATCATCATGCTAAGACCAATAGGAGTGGAGCACCGGAAGAATGTTGCAAAAATGGGGAAAATTTTCCCCATTTTTGCCCAGGAAAAAGTTGTGCAAGTCAGCTGGTACATATATATATATACCTAACAATATATATAACTTTAAGTTATATATAAACTATATAATATAGTACTTGCAAAAGAAGCCATAAAAAGTGCTCTTTACAAATAAATCTAGAGCCCCTTAATTTTTGGACAGTAAATATGGCATAGGTACCATTCATAACTTTTGTTTTTAAAGTAAACAATATAGATAACCACCTAATATAAATAAACAAACAAAAACGAAATTAAATACTGCATTTAATTTAACTACATTTAAATGGCTTTAATTCAAATGTAGTTAAATTAAATGCAGTATTCAGTTGCTGCTAATAGACATAATCACAAGTACACAACAATAATAAGCATGGGCCTTAAAAATATTTTTAAAATTCATGGGGTTATTAGTTTTCTCTTAGTTACAGATAAAACTAAAATATGGTTGAAAATTTAATGATTTTAGGACCATATGTGTTTATAGTAATCTATTAGCTGCCCTATTTTTGTACTTTATTATTTGGGAATATTAATTGATTTAAAAAAATAAAATTCTTACAGGATTTTTTTTTCCTTAATTGATTTTCAAATATACATTTCTTATAAGAATTTTTCTTTACATATCTTCGTAATAAACAAAGTTTACACAACTTCATTGCTTAGAATATAAAAGCTTAATGTCAGATGAGAAGACACATTAAAAACTAAATTTGGCACAGAATGATAGTCTGTTTAGAAGTGTAAATAGGTCTCACCAAAGTCACTTCTTGATAGAATGCATTGCATAGGATGCTCTGTAGTGTGTTGGTTTGTGGTAGCGCCGGACTCATAGCAGGCTGCGCACAAGTCATAGTCGATGCAAATCAAACATTTGTATCGTCGTCCTCTAAAGTTATTTTTCAAACAAGAATCACAGCTGACTCCTGAAAATATGTCAATACACACAATACAACAACATTTTTTTAATTTTCTTTGTCCAAATGACAATATTACTAAAATTAGTCACATTAAACATAGAATGGCATCATGACGACAATATTTTTATAATTTTTTACACTGATATTCGCAGTGACAATAGCTTCGAATCAATTTTGATTATCATTACCCACCTTCATGGCGATTCATTTTCGCCAGAAAATATCGTCGAAACAGACACTTCTTGGCACTAGGATTACCAGTACTATATGAGGTATTTATATTACTAATCTAAAATAAGTAGCACAACATATAATATATTAAAATACAAGATTGTTAACAAAAATTTCCAAGCAAACCTAACCCAACCAGGCCATAATGACGTCACATAAATGAATGAACCATCGATATATCTACTTTCTTTTAGAACTAATGCGCAAAGGTATGTTGCGTTGAGCTATGTATGTCACCGAGTGAGTTTTCAAGTTTACTCTATCTGTAGTGTTACTTTAGTCTAAGTATTTCCCAATTTAAAAAATCTGTAAATTTTAATTTAACAGATATTTAGGGTAAAAAAGCCTTATTTATCGGTAATATTACTCGATGCAATTTTTTTTAGCCAAGTCTTCTGGTAAGACTAATAATAGCTAATAGGCTAATTCATGTAATTGAAAGCAATGTTTTTATCAACTCACGTCTAGTTCTAGTAGTATCCATATTATAGTAGAGGAAATCCGAGAATTTCAAAGATTTGTTGTAAAAATCATGTTTTGTGAGCTTACATTGCAAATGCTGGCTAAACCTTACGAGATAGACCAAACAATGTACTATGGCAATGAACACCTTAAAACGATTCTTTTTTAATTAGCGAGTAAATGTAACGAGAAAAGAAAAGATTGTATTCCAATCTAATTTGCTAAGAAAAAGATAAATTATCAAAAAAAAAAATGCAGTTTCTGTAATGATGCGTGTTGCTTAGACTTTTTTTGATGTATGTATTTATTTTATACAATTGATGAACACAATAATATAGGGTCGTGCTGATAAAAATACCCAAATCTTAAGTTTATAGCAATTTTAGTTAAAATTAAGTTCAAAAGTATGATGTCCTAAGAAAGAATTAAGTTTTTTAATGGCAGAGTGAATATGGTCGTACGATGAATAGGTACATAAAAATAAACGAAAATAATACATGCACATGGATCAGACTAATTACAAACAAAATCGAGTAATTTCATTGCTGTACGTTCACCTCTATAGAAAAGAAGGCAGGCACTGCATGCACACATCTCTATCTATACAGGGAAGATTTGACAGTAGTCTTGTGCTTAATCGGACATCTGCAGGTTCGCACCGTACTAGTACAATTCGTACAACGTACTAGTACACCGTAATAGTACTAATAGTACAGTTTTAGTAGAAGTAGAAAACTTAAGCGTTTGTATTGATATTACTAACATTAATTAAACGGAACATCAAGTAATTAAAAAAAAAGTGTTATAGACTTTAGGCAGACTGCGCTTTTTCTTTTAATTTTTTAATTTAAGGGCTTTATATTACGCAGTTTTTTTCTTCAGTATTGGAATAATTACACAGTTCTTGATTATTTTTAATGTGTTATCCCTTTCTGAATCCCATAAACCCCAACAGTTTGACTTTTAAATACGAATTTTTAGATTACTTCACATTAAACTTTTAAGCATACTATTTGATTTTCCTTCATACTTTAACAGGCTTAGGACTGGCATTCTAGATTTAAAAATACGTGGTGATAATAACACTAGTTAAGATCAAATTAGCATAAATGCACGCTATGGATTACTAGAATGGCGTATTTAAAAATCAACTAAGTATGTACAATAATTGAATCTTTTTTTCTGCTTTTATTAAGTATATTTTTCTACTTTTTATTGTTTTTTTACTTTTTTTCGTTTTATACCTATTTTTTACATATTACTATGCAGAAATACCACCTGTGATACTTTTGATGGCTTTAATAATTTACGCCTATTGGTTATTACTTGCCCTGCTCCAGAAAATATACGTTCACAGGACACTGATGTTGCCTGGATGCACAATCTTTTCAAAACTAATTGATAAATATGTGGATAAATGTGTTTCCGACTGTGCCACCACTTTAAGGGATCCTCCTTACGGTGTAGGTATTCCTCTTTCATGTATTTGTCAATCTCTCGTATTCCAGCCGCAACAGAATTTTCTGGGCGAACCCCTTGATTCATATCAGTATCAAAGTCAGCCCACATACTGTCCGTATCTACGGGTGCGGAATTTGTATTTAAACATACTTGATTTTCATAGACAACCGTAGAATTTATTTGTATACGGCTGATCCTGCGTCTTATATCCTCAATCGCGTTTTCGTAGCTTTTTTGAGTACGAAAACCCTTTTTGTTTAAATCTAGGGTCAAGGATCGTAGAATCGGCATATAAAATGTTCGATTCTAGGTCGAAGAGTCGCGCTTCTATTTGCGTTTTCAATTTGTTTAGTAACTCAGGTATCACGGGGTGCTTATATGTTTTTGCAAGGTTTTTTATAATGTGCTTCGACATGATTTGTGTAAATACCAATACCTTTGACAGAGTGACATGATTTTGGCTGCTAACTTCTACTGTCACTTCAAAAAATGGTTTCAAAATTGCCACTACGGTTTCAAGTACTTCCCAATCTGCAATTTGAAGATTGAGTTCATTTCTTATGAGAGCTAAAGTACTTATAACAGCATCTTTTACTCTTAGAATCCTTTCTAGCATCTCGTAGCACGAATTCCAACGTGTTGGACATTCTTGTTTTAATTTTAATATCGGTAAACCCATTTGTTTAAGTACCGATTCTAACTTCGTTTGCGCCGTACAACTTTTTTTGAAGTATTCCACTATGGATTTGACTTTACCTACAATCTCTGATATTACTTTAAGGCCATTCTGCACTATCAAATTTAATGTATGGGCGAAACAACCCACAGGTCGCCATTCACCTAGCCTGATAGCAGCTTGGATGTTAGCAGCGTTGTCACTGACAACGCATGTTATTTTGTTCGTGATCTGCCAATCTTGCATTATCTGCCGTAAGAAGGCAACTAAATTGTCACTTGTGTGCCTTAGATTATAATTAATGCATCCCAGTAAAAAAGACTGCATCTCAGTATTTGAATTAATAAAATGTGCTGTGACCGCGATATAATTTTCATTAGCGCTAGATGTCCAGGCGTCAGTACAGAGACAAATAGCAAATGATTCTATTAATTGTTGAAATACTTTTTGAAATACTTCCGTGTAATTTTTAGGAATTAAAGTGTTGGATAGTGTTTTCCTAGTTGGTAGCTGGTAACCGGGACATGTTGACACCATATCTATTAATCTTTTGAACTCCGGTTCTTCGACTAGGCGAAATGAGTGATGACCTTTAGTCACCATTGCAACTACCTGCCTATCAATCTGGTCCACCTTGCGCGCAGACGGCGGTTTCCGCATGTAATTTGTAATTAAGCTGGATGACGGCATTAAGGGTGGGCCTGAGCTTGTACTTGGTGCAGTTGAACTGGATTGGGCGGATGACACGGAGGTGATATTATTTTCTATGAGGTCTGCAGCAGTTGGTTGTCTGTCTATGCACAGCGATATAGTTGGATGCTTTGTTAACATATGTCTCTTTAAGGTTCCCAGGGAGCCGTTTTTGGTGCTCAGTTTTATGAAGCAATAATTACAGGTGGCTTCATTGTCACCCTGCTTATAGTGAAACCAGAGAGGGCTTCGCTTTGGTCTTGTTGGAGCCATTTCAAAAAAGAATAAAACACTTAAATATTTAATGGTAGTATGACCTATGACGTAGATAAGGCTTATTAGTAACTGTTAGTTACTTTACTAAGAACGAAATGTTAATATTGTTAAAAAGTTGAGAGTTCCAAAGTTTATAAAACAGATTCACATAAAAGCACAAAAAGCGTCCATCATCGCAAATAAAAATATAATAAGGTATATAGGTACGGGTAAGCGTCCAACACCGCAAAAAAGGCACAAAACTCAATAAATTATCGCTATACGACAGAACACCATATAAATAACGTACCTATGCAAACTTAAAAACAATAATATTCTCATTCATATGTATGTGCTCCGTCGATCGCGATTCGTACTTGATCACTTAACATTATTTGACATCATGAATGCGAGAAATATTTACAGCTGTGTAACGCGACTTATTATTCAAATCTATGCCAAGCTAAAATAATCGTTATTGTAAATGGAAAGAATTTAAATCTAAACTCAAAGTATTGTAGTACACCTGTATCGCTGTCCCTTTTACTCTCACACTAACTTAATAGTACTTCATTAATAGTACGTCGCACAACGAATGAACGAACGAACGAAGACACTAATAGACAGAGTAAACAATAGGTACTTTTAGTACTGGCATGAAGTTGACGCAGTGTACTAATAGTGCGAAATGTCCGATTAACAGCTGCCTTTCGGCAACATTACTTTTAGTACAATACCCAGTACTAGTACCTATCAGTACATCGTACGTGTACTACCCAAGACTATTTGACAGCTGTTTTTAAAAAGTAACTTTCGTTTTCCCCAGTTTTGCAAATTTATCCTCACGTATCTGCTATTTAACTCTGTTATAGTATTTCCTGCTGTAAAACGACACTATATTGGTATTGTTTGCTGTTAACACTTAAGCACTTGAAATTTTGGATGGTATATCGATCTGTTAAATTTTATTATCATCATTTTGCGCGGGAATCAGCGGTCAGTGTGTGATGAAATTGGATTTTTTGAAAAAATATAGAAAATGACTGATGCATTGTGCCATTTAGTTGTAGATGGGAACGAAGTTTTAGAATTTAAATTAGGTAAGACGTTGTTTTCGTTAAAGTACTTAATTGTTTTACAAAGTTACTTAAATCTGAGGCTTTGTTCACATGACATTTGCTTTCATACCTCTTTACCAGAGTTATATTTAAAGTAATTGCTACTATTTTTTTATTTTATAAAAGCAATTAACCATAGTAGTAATAAGTAATTTTATGTTTTTAGTTAGGGCAGTTGATGATCTTGAAAATGAGGAAACAAGTTTTAGGCCAGAAATGTGTCATCAAGTGTTTGGCGAGAATGAAAACATATTTGGCTACACAGACCTACACATTAAGTTGTACTACAGTGCAGGCAGTTTACAAACTTATCTTGGAATTGAGTACACAGAGAAGGTAAGTACTACAGTACCAAGATCTTAAATTCAGTGGTTTTCTTGACAGACAGCTGCTATATTTGTTTCATTGCAGATTGAGCCTAATAAATCAGAAGGAATGAAAGCAGATGATGTAGAGGGTGCTTTGAAGAAAGTTTTAGCACCTGGCTATTTGACTAACTTAGATCGTTTTGTGTCTCTTTTGAAAAAAGAAGAGAAATTTGTACCACATGGAAAGTTGGTTCATGCATTCACAGTTACATCTAGTAAGTGTAAACAACTATGTGTTATTTTAAGACACATTTGCATTACTGTTTATGATTTAATGACAACTTTTATCTTATCTTTACCTGTTCTTTAAGTTGCTTACATGTATGGTTTCTTTTTGTCTTGGAATCATTAGCAGTGCTTGAAGAATTATTCATATTTATGAAGATACTTAATTATAATAATTTATTATTATTATCATTAAGTATCATCATTGTGGGATATATAATTTAAAATAATTATACATTATGTTTTAGTATAACACTTATGACTAGTATAAACAATATCAGTTCTTACCTCTTAGGTGCCTAAAGGTGTATTCATTATACATTTTGGTCACAGTGGTCACATGGTCATATTCTTTCAGTATAGTTATAAGTATGAGAATGATTTTTCTTGAATATGGTTACTGGTGGTGGTGACTTTTGCAAATGCATTACATCTACATAATGTATTCTCCCATCAAAAACATAACATGTACAAAAGTGCACAAGTCTCGAAATGTAGTGCTGCCGTAAAAAGTTGTGAAATTTATTGTAAACTAAGTCAGGTACTGAATATCTACCTATCTATAGGAGCAGCTATCCAACCACTTTGTCATAAATTGACACTCTGTTAGTTACATAGCATATAGCATATTCTATAGGCACTATAGCATATTCTATAGTGCCCATATCAATATTAACATAAATAGAGTGCAACACTAACATAATCTACTAAGTAATTAAAATAGACCTCTATATGGCTACTTTCAAATAAATCAAAGAACAGAGTGCTAATTTAAATATATAAAAATGTTAAGTTGGTTTGTGTACGTTTTAGAAATTTGATAATTTCTGTGCCAATAGAGCTCAAGTTTTGAAACATTATACAACCTGTTTCAAAGATTGTTTTTATCTATTTCTTGTGTCAGTTTACAGTTTCAGGTACAGCTAGTATTAGATCAATTTCGTTTTATGTATATATTCTTTCTTTTGCTAGTTATTAAAGAAATAAATAAAATGTAATATTGATATCATATGAAAGAAAAAGTAAAGAAACCTAAAATGTTTATTTTGGCAACACAAAATATAGGTAACAAACTATTGTTACTATAAAATATTGTAAGCTTACTCACACGGTATGAATTTATAACAAAGTTGCTCCCATAGATAGGTAGGTACTGAATTAACTGACGTGATTTACATTCGATTTTACGACTTTTACGGAAGAAGATCTGCCTTGTGAGACTTATATATTTTTTTACATGTTATGTTTTTGATGGGATCTCATTTCTTTTTGTAGAGGTCAAGCATCATGAACGACTGCGTTCGCTTCGCCACAGATCTTATCTGGGTTATTATTTTATTATTTATTACTATCTGATGGCACATTGGAATATAGGAAACCAGATTACAAAGGATTTCCAAACTATTTTGGGCAAGAGACTTTTTCAAAATGAACTGATACCTCAGGCCTTCGAGCCAAATTACTTTCAAATCCCTTCTATTTTTTTCCTATTGATTCAAAATACTTATAAATTTAAAAACTTTGTAATTGGTTAAGTGAGTAAACTTGACTTTTTTGTGAAAATTTAATAAAATAAATACGCATTAGTTGCTTTTATAATAAGTTGGTACATGTAACATAATTTTATGGTATCTTGAAAGTTTAAAAAAAAAACTTGTGTTAAAAATAGGGGTTGATTTTTAGACCTCGTCGACCCCTAAAATCAGTTTTCGTTTTTGTCGACCCCTGGGAAACCTATTTTGACCAATTTGGGCTAAACAATAATGTTCGACTTGGCTGGGGCACTTCCGTGCCCCAGATTAAAATCAAATGTTTTTCATTTTTTTTATGCCACATAAGATGAATATTTCATTAATAACCTATAAAGCTAAACTTTCAGGCAACAAACTAAAATTTTCTTCCTCTAGCATTTTACAAAACTGTGCATGTATTATGTTGTATTATATTATGTATTATGATTGTTGATTGATTATTATTATGATTGAGAAATATCAAGTTTTAACTTTGGTTGTTGTAACTACAACTGCATCAAAATTGAATAAATTAATGCTTGCTGTTTGATGTGTTTCATATTATGTTGTGAATTAGATAATAGTTTATGTAGTAAAACCCATTTATAAAGCAGTAATAATGAGACAGTGTAGAAGTACTATTATCAGTTAGCAAAGTTAAATTATTTTGCAGCAGAGTGTGGAGATAAGCGCTCATTTGAAGTATACTTCTCTGAAACATCTACTCCTGGATTCCTGCGTTATCATGAAAGATTACAAACTTTTCTGCTCTGGTATGTGGATGCAGCATCGTTTATAGATGTTGATGACGATCAATGGACATTTTTTACTGTGTAAGTGTTTAATAATCATCATCTGCTAGTAAATGCACATGCTAGCATCTGCTAGCAGCAGCATACTACCCTCAATGGTTTCCAATAAGACAGGTTGGATGGTCTAATAATAGTAGTCTGCGTCTGTGGGTCATCTATGCAATTTACTAGTGGACATCCTATGCTGCTCTGTCTGGTCTGCGGCCCATTAGCCATCTGTTTACAATGTAACTTTATTATAATGCATGAAAAATTTAAACTGAAATCAGGACATTTTTAGACCACTGGAATATGTACTACAGCGCACCGAACTGCTCCATGTTAAGTGTATTTGATATTCCTTAACCCTCTTAGAAAATTTGTTATAGTTTATTATCTTGTAGTACAATGCACACATCAAATGATACAGGACATTGAAATTTTTGGTTTGGAACTGTCTTTTGGAAGGCAGATAAAGGTTTATATTTTGCCTTACAGATTTGAAAAATACGAATCTAGTGAAGGCAATGTGCGTTACGCCACTGCCGCATACGCTACAGTTTATCGTTACTATGCATATCCAAATCATTCACGACCACGAATTTCTCAAGTGCTCACTCTGCCACCATTCAGGAAACTTGGCATCTGTGCACAATTATTACAGGTAGTGTATATAACATATACGTTCAAAACAAATGTATAGGATAGACACAATCTCGATTGTAAATTTAGTATTGCTTGTCTCTCAGACACTCTTTAATACCTTAAAGCTGGCAAAATAAATTTTAAACTTATACTACTTTAATAAATTATAATTTAATAATAAGTATAATTATAGTAGTATAGTGAGCTCATTCGTGTTTTTGTTGTATTCTTTGGGATTGCAATTGAAGTTAAAACAAACAGCCCTCATATTAATGGATTGCTTGCATCCAAACAAACGATAAACAAAACATCTACAAGGGGGTATACTTAGGTGTTTATGGAACACCAAATTTAATCGTGAGACCATTGGCAATATCAGAATGTTTCAGTAACTTTCACAAGATTTTTAATTTGCCCCCTTAATTATTTTAGATCTTATGGACGATTAACTTTCAGTATAGGATTTATTTAGCATTTTTATAAATTCTAATGCCAGATGCATTGAGTTTTTTCAGTTTCAATAGCCCTTTGTATTTTTGCGGTGAGACTGGCAATTAAAACAAATTGCCAATAATCATCTTTATTTAGTTTTTTAAACATCAACTTGTGACAATCGACATTGTTTATCCGGTTTCTCGTCAAACAGCTGGTCGTTTTATCTATAATTTATATCAACCTGAAACAAACTGCAAGATAAATAAATTTATCTTTAAATACTCACTTTCAGGCAATATACTCTCACTTCATTATACAGCCTGAAGTAATTGATATAGCAGTAGAGGATCCATCACAAGACTTCCAGAGAATCAGAGATTATGTTGATGCGAAGAACTGTAGCACTCTGTCTGCTTTCCAACCTGCCAAACTCTTAAAAGGGTAAGAGACAAATACTTTTTTGATAAAAAATAAGAACTGTTTGCGAAAAAGAAGAAAATTTAAAATGTTATTAGCTCATTTATGATAATGTTTTAGAGCAGCATTGCAAGTTTTTTTTTTTGGTGGGGCAGTATTTTAAAACTTTGAAGTGGGATTCTATCGTCGAAAGAGGGACACAGTAAAAAACGTAGATAAATCAGTAGTTTTCAAATACTTATCTTGTTTGAGTTTTTAATTATGTTTACATGCCAAAGGAAAAGTAGTTACAGAAAACGTATTATAATGCTTGTGTATGCGCCTCCACCGCTCACCTCACCGTCGTATAGGTACTAATTACCTACTTCCTGAAAAACGAGACCGACCTGTCCCGCACGGAAGATTTAGGCTATGTCCGCACAGCGATATTTAACTGCACGTTTTTTTTTCGCAAAATTCTGTAACGCATAGGATCTTTATAGGATATGCACTGGTAGAAAACAAAACTGTTAGATGCAAATTGAACGCGATACGGTGTCGATTTATTTCGCGAATGCAGTATGACGTAGATATTCATCATCATCATCAACAGCCTTTACTAGTCCACTGCTGGACATAGGCCTCTCCTTAGGAAGGAGGTTTTGGCCTACTATACCACGCTGGCCAGACGGGTTGGTATAGGGTTTGTTTCAAGTTTTCCTTCTCTCGCCGCTGAAGTATTAGATAAGTTAAAATAATAGTCCTGTTATCCATTTAAGCGGCATTCAAGCCGAGAACACTAAGCTGACAAAAATCCTTCGAAATTTAATTCGCAGTGCGGACAGGCACTTAGTTTTGACTCCAAGATCTGGTAACACTTTTTTTGAGGTACCTGTGCCATTGTTAGTATGATCTTGTATTGGTATTTTCTTCCCTGTGTTCCCTGTGTATTGAATTGTTTGAGGTGTATTCATGGGCTGTTGTCATTTTTAAGTTTTACTAGGATAGGGTGTATAGTGGTTATCCTCTATCATTATGTCTGTTTTCTTAATTAAAGTTTATTTTACAATACCTATTAATAAAAGCTATTTAAAAAAGGATTATATTTAAATTAAGTAAGTACATTATATTTAAAGTATCAATTACACATAACACAATGTACTTAAATTAGGTATCTTAGGTTTTAACTATAATCACCACTCTGTGTTAAGATTATACTAATCAAAAAATTGTTTCAGATTTTCTCAAGAGATGGCAATGCAAGCTCGTAGTAAGTTCAAAATCAACAAAAAACAAGCGCGGCGCGTGTACGAGATATTGCGTCTAAAGTGCACAAACACTTCTGACAAGACTGCTTACTTAGCATATAGGCTAGAAATTAAAAACAGACTTAATGCACCTTTCCAGGTTTGTAATTTAATATTTAAGTAAGATATTTATGACACAATATTAGATAAGGTCTTTTCACACTAGTGTTTGACACACAACAATATTGACACTAGTTTTTATTTTTATGCACTAGGCTTATTCCCAACGGCCACCACTAAAACTGCTATCACTGGTAATTGTCGGGACAAAATTGTACATTTGTTCTCAACCGACACCACTGGAGGCGGTAGGGAATAAATGTACAATATGATTAAAAATTGTCATTTTTTATATACATCATCATTCCCATCAACAGCCTATCGCAGTTCACTGCTGGACATAAGCCTCTCCCATTGCACGCCACTTAAATCGCTTTTGGGATTCTCGCATCCAGCTCCTGCCAACCATCTTTCATCTTTTAATACGTATATATACATACTGAATTTAAAGATTGTTTTTTATTTACAACAACTACGGGGTTCCATTGTTGGGACAATATCTAAAACTATGTGTAACTGGCAGTTTTAGTGATGGCCGTTGGGAATAAAGCCTTATTCATTATATTTGTTCCCAACTGCCCCCAGTGGCGGCGGTTGGTATCAAATGGAAAAAAAAACCTAACGACCACTAGTGGTGGCCGTTGAGTATGAGACATGCACTATGGTATTCTGGAACTTCTTAATTTTACCTGTAATAAAATTAATATTTGTCTCCACAGAAAAAGAAGTTAGAAATGAAGAAACTGCAGAAGGTACTGAAACCTGAGGAGTTCGCGGCTACCGCGAGCTCGACGGGCATGACCGAGACTCACGGCCGTCTCTCCTCACAGTACCTCGCTCTCGAGCAGGAATACCGCCGCGTTATACACAGAATGGAACTCCAATAACTATATAACATAAATCAGCTAACGTCTTCACCTGTCCTGCCCCTAAACACGAGGTGCATTTTTCAAGGGTTGTACCTTTCGTTGGAGCCAAAAGCACAATGAGATTGTCGGACCATTACAGGGTTGAATGCTGCCTGCATATAACTTATATAAACTTTCGATTCGTCTTGTCCGATATTTAGTTAAATATCCATCCTCATCACCATTCAGGCAGTTTTGCAAAAATCTATAGTTATTGATAATGTCTAAAGTTTCTTTTTATTATAATTCTCTTTGTTTCGTGATTGGTAAAACTCACTCACTTTTTTTTTCGATAATGGCTTGATCTCAGGTTAATTTTAATTTGGTTAAAATAATCAGTGAGATCATGCTCACTAAATGATTAAAACCACTCAGTAATTTAAATTGAGATTGTTTTACAAGTGAACATGCTCAATAAAGTGGCAAACAGGTTTAAAACCTATAATTGAGATGTTTTAGCAGTTCGACAACTATTTTAATATTCATTAAATATGCTTCAAAGACCATACACGTCTTAAGATTGTTTGTATTAGGAGGTGAACAGTGCCGTCTTCTTACTGTATTGGAACAAAAACAAATTGAAATAAAACTGTATTGTTAGATTGTGGAGCTGGATTGATTGTATTTTTTTTAATAAAACATTAATTCTAAAATAAACTTTTTATTGTTATCATTGCCTAAAAAAAGCAGTATTCTTAAATAAATGTAATGTTATCATCTAAACTTTTATCATATACTCGTTTTATTTTATAACTCAACAGAGCAATACAAGCAGTAACCTAATTTAAAATGTAACAGTTTTCTTAGATATAGTGTTCAAAGTAATAAATCTCTACTGTAATCTAAAACTAATTTGCCTCTGAGTTAATAAGGTATTTGATATTATATGAATGTAGCATATTCACTACAGCTAGAGTACTCATATGCGGCATAACTAAAACTAAGTTTAGCTACAATGAGTATCAGATCAATAACTATTTTTGAGAGTCTATTGCGCATCAAAATATTGGTGCTAACAATTAACAAGGTCCCAGTTATGAGTTAACAACCACTACATAATACTGAAAAACGCTTCCTATAAGTAAATAGTACGCATATTAACTTGAGAAGATCGAGACTACCTACACATCATCCCGGCTAAAATACCTAATTCAACATTCAACGCTAATGAAGGCTTTGATATAAGTCACTCGTTTACAATTTTGATTTATTTATTTTCTAAACATTTTCACTAGGGTTCCGATCTTGAGCCTCTGTCGATACGTCTGTCTGTACGTTATTTCAATAAGACGAAGGTTTAATCTCTTATACAATTGAAATCGATATTTTATAAAATAATGAGCTAGCTATTATTTAAACTACGTTTATAAAAAATAGACTACACATGAGAAACATTTCTACAAGATACGGCCATAGGATGTAAATCAAAACACTGTCGGGGTCCCTAATTTTATATAACATCATCGCTCTAGTTAAATACAAATAATAATTTTTATAAAACATGCATCTACGTTTACCCATGCGGAAAGAAACATACACGTGTTTATATTGTGAGGAACAACATCTGTAGGTATTAACAACGTTTTAATTTTGAATTTGGACGGTGGCGCTAAAATGGAGTATTATTTTGACTTTTGAATATTGAAATGTTTTGGAATGTAAAATATGTCATCCCTTGCCCTTTCATCAGCTTAATGAGATCGAGACATGCTGTCTGCAACATAGTACACTTCTCCAAACCATTCGCTGTGTTCATCTAAGTACCTGCGAAATGAAAGCAATGTTAGCAAAGTATTTATTTATAATCTATCAATAAACCTAAAAAGTTCCTGCCCTATGCCTATTTACTAGATATGTGTATCTACCATTTTGACAGCCAAGAACATACACATTTAATGAGTTTTTGAATATATTAACGTGAAAACTATGTCTCTGAGGTCCTACCACACCTACCATAGACTGCACGGATGGCTAGTGATTTAAGCGGTCGCCACCCCGCTTCCTACTACGCCGAGTGTTGTGGATTCAAACCCCACATGGGACGACACTTTGTGTGATCCACAAATTGTTGTTCTGAGTCTGGGTGTTCTTTGTGTCCGTTTCCTGTATGTTTGTAAAGTCCCTCGCGACACAGGATAGGATAGGATATTCCTAATGCGGGAGTTGTCTTTTAAAAAAAAACAAAAACTACCACTGGTAGCAAAATAGCTTCAACTTAAAATTATGCACATATTTTTTTTTTCTTTCTTGGGCAGACGAGCAGACGGGTCAGCTGATGGAAAGTGACTATCGCCGACCATGAACGTCTGCAACTCAGGAGTCACAAACGCGTTGCCGGCCTTTTATGAAGGAGTACGCTCTTTTCTTGAAGGTAGGATTCCGATGCTGGCTGAGGCAGTTAGGGAGGTGCTCTCAAACTGAGGTAATACGACGAATGGTATTTTTTTTGGTAACCTCCGCTAAGGAAGTTTCAATTTCAGACACAAGTTTGTTTCAACTCTCGATGACGTTTTCCCGAGAAATCTGCATAGCAATGGATGCTACTAATTTGCAACATGTCATTGATATGCAGAAGAAACAGTGTGGGTGATAGCACACAGCCTTGTGGGACACCAGCATTAACGAATTTCAAGTCGGAGCACGCACCGTCGACAACGACCTTAATGCTTCTGTCCGCAAGGAAGCTGGTGACCCAATTACACAATTTCTCGGGCATTTCTTCTGTCAAGTAGGTGAGTATTAAGAATTATATTTCTTTCCGGGGTATATTAGTACTGAAGAAAGCATAGGTACTTACTGAACAAACATGTCTATATGTTTCAAGATAAGTTTTAACTTGAAGTCCGGCATTTGGGTGGCATTCAAGAAGTCAGGTAATTTGACTGCAAAGATTACGAAAATGAAATGTTACTATTATTTAAGCTTTATTGTAACACAAACAATATATTTTTAAATAATCTGATATTTACCAAAAAGTCTGGCAAGATGGATAGCTCCATACACACGGCACGGCAAATGTTCCGTGCCTTCGCGAGGAATAATCTGCCATTTAGCAACCTGAAAGCCATAAATAGTACCATAAAGTGATTTATTTCGTCGCTACAATACCATATTATTAACTGTTATGACCAGAGTATTTTTAAAGTAGGATAGTAACCTTTTCGAGTAACAGCGAGAGTGGTGTCCGAGTTGTGGTAGGAGCTGCTGGAGCTGATTGAGTCGGCCGCGCCCAGCCTTCGCTCATGGATGAACCACTACTTCCGACACTGAAAAATATTTGCTACTTAAACAGTATGTTCATTCAATGGCCAGTATGTTGTTGTTGAAATGTTTTTGGTCTTGTATTATCTTAATGGTCGTGCTACTTCAAAATACTATTGAGTGAATTCGAAATATATTGTTAATTATATGAGTCGTAGACTACTGCAAAACGTTTCCAGTAGTCGTAGACTACTGCAAAAATAAATGCAATAACAACTTCAAACTACTAAAGTTTAATGTTTTAGAAATTGTGAGTACCTACATAAAAATATATAACAACAAAAGAAATATGTACATATGAAAATATGTCTCGGCACGCTTTCCAAACATAAAATGTTTAAAAAATACAATGAAAGCGGCGTTGTCTTCCAGTGCCTTTGGCTCCAAAGAGTGAGTGATTGGGTGATTGACTTGTATCAAAACTATTGTCTAAACGTGCTTCTTGTGTGTGCAAGATTGATGTGTTGTTAAAGTAATGCTTCCTACCTTGACGAAAGAGTTTCAAAAGTCCTCGGTTCACCGGTAGAGGTTGATGGAGCTGGCTCTTCGTTCTCCGATTGCTGTGACACTGCCGACCTGTGAGATCGAAGCCTAAAACCATTAACATTTTAAGGATTAATTCGCCTTAGGAATTAAAACAATTCCAAAGAAGAACTTCAAGCTGTTTTATATCAAAAATATATAAGGAGTTGAAGTGTAAACTGGCGTTTTTTTTGTAGGATTAAAATATATTTTATCAAAGTTTGTTGTGCGTTGTCATCATTTAAACGTTTTTATTAGGATTTTTGAGGGCTTAGATAACACAACCTGTGAAGGTATTTTGTTCTGCTTCTTGGGAAGATTTTTTTTCTACGTACAATAGTTAAAATCGTGGTAGTGTTAGGTATTGCTGCTATAGAGCAACAATAATAAAGAAGAAGATTCGGTCCTTAGTGGCTGGTCTTCATTGACATATGAGTAGTTTTCAATATGAGTAGTGGTAAAATCAGACTACATTGCAATAATGTCTGGTCATTATATCTGTCCGTGTGGTGACGGATTAAGAATACAGAGTGTCACCACCCCTATTCATCCCGTGGGTGTCGTCAGAGGCGACTAAGGGAGCAACCTACGCAGGACAACAGCACTGCAAAGAGAAGGAAAACTTGACACAAATCCTATACCAACCCGTCTGGCCAGCGTGGTATAGTAGGCCAAAACCTCCTTTCTAAGGAGAGGCTTATGTCCAGCAGTAGACTAGTAAAGGCTGTTGATGATTATATCTGTCTCACCTCCGTGCAACATTGCCGCTGCGTGTAGACGATAGTCCTTCCTGCGATTTAGTTGACCCACCGGTATGATTTTCATCAGTCGTTGAATCACTTTTAGTTGTAGTTTTGTCGTTGGAATCGTTCTTAGACATGTCATCGTGGCTGTTATAGTCATCTGCGAAATAGATAATAATAAAACCCTCAGTCATTAAATACCAATATCTTCGTACATATTACATAAATAATTAGGTATATTAACCGACATTTTTATTTATTTTATTCTTTGATTTTTTTCTGGCGCGCATGGCGAATGTTAATTATAAATGCCAATAACGAATTTTCAGCACCTGCAACCTGTTAATTTTATAAAGTGATATTTACTGTTATTATTGTTGGTCACGTCGTCATTATTTTCGCTTCTTTCACCATCAGTAGGATCTGGCGGCAAGTGTGAGTATTCTGGGGTTTTGGGACTGCTCATGTCTACTTCAATTGATGCTACAGTGACTTCCTCAGCACTTTGTTCCATTTCTTCTTCAACTTCCGCTTCCAACTCCATTTTATTATTTTCTTCCTGCCTAGAATGGTTACATGAATGGTATCCAAAAAAAAATTGTCACATATCATCTTATAGTAATGTGCTACAGTTGCTAGGATTACCTAAATACAAACCATATTTCGGGTTCGTGGCATGGAAAACTCGAAATAAGTATATTTTTTAAACTATTTAATTTATGTAATTAAATAGTTAAAAAAATATATTTCTAAATTGAAAAATAAAATTGCATAACTCTTTTATTATTAATTTATTATTAAAAATTTTGAAATTATTATTATTAATAATGACATCTTCCAAGGGTTTAGGATATTCGATTTATGTGCTACTTACTCGTCAATGAATTGCCCACAAATTTGATGGTACTGGTGGAGTTCTTGCTTGTAGAGCAAATGTCCTCGCAATATAAAGTCAAAGTACACTCGCAGCCCGTCCGCAACTTCTCGAACCAAATTCAGCCTGCGAATTAAAATTTTAGCAAAATCCCTATTAGCGCGACAGATCAAAGTAAGTGACGGTGTATTCTTATATTAACGTCTAATGTCGTAGTAACATTATGATGAAACTAGAAGGGGGAAAATTAATGGAGTCTTGACCTCACTTGGCTGTGTCTAGTTCGTATGAATCCAAGTAGGTACTTTGATTGGAACATGCCTTGAATCCTGCCTACACCTACATAGTTGGTGGTAGAAGCAGGCCAAGAATGTTGTCTGAGTGGTAGTGGTCTATTACTGCAAAAACTTTCTTAGGCTTTTGGACTCTTTGGTTTAATTTATATTTGTTGCCGTATCTAATCATTACATGTTTCCACATTCAAAAGGAATACCACTAACAAAACTGCAATGTGGCTGTCAATTTACGAATACTCATGCCTTTTGGAAAAAGTTATTATACCTGCAAGAAACATCAAGTAGGTCAGGTTTTTGCGGAGGGTCGTGTCGAGCCCGTGTCGGGTGCCAGGCTCCGGCACGCGCGAACCATTTCACGAATGACTCCAAGATCTGAGCCGCGCAAGGTGTAGCTGGTAGCCGTGATAAGCGGCCACGTTTCACTACTAAATGGTAGTCAAATGTCAGGCGATCCCTGGGATAAAAGTAAAAATAAATACGAGTCGAATTTAAAAGTTATCCTTTTTTTCAATCGGTAATAATTTTTTTAGTTTATAAAAATGTTAATATTAGTATAGCGGACTCATGGGAAGAGAGTTATAAAGATTATTTAAGTACATAGATAAAGCGTTTAAGTATTTAAAATATGATATACAGTCAGTATCAATAGAGCAGTTACGGCGTCCTGATAAGAAACCTACATGATCTTGCCTTAATCATTACCCAAAGTATCCAAAATAGAATTAAAAATATAAGATATTTCAAGAGTCGTTGTTGTAAAGAAGGTAGTGTGGTAGTAAAATGCGTTGACTCTTAAAGACTTTCATATACATAACATGCAATGGTCCCTTTAATCAAAATCACACACTACCAACACTTACAATTTACATACCTACTCTTAACTAACTATAAATAAGTATGCACCAAAATTCGCCGCAGTATCAATAGTCGATAGTAGCCCATCGTCGGCATCGTCGGTTAGGTTATTGGCTAAGGCTTTTCGGAGTTGTGATTTAGGTAGCAGATTTACTAATATAACTTCACTGCATACACAATCGACGGTAACCTACTCCTAACACAAGAAAGTAATGGGTGACCCAAGTTACTAATCTAAGAAAAACAACGTTTGTCGAATGTATAGCTAAGGCGTAAACAAGAAACGGACGTTTAATTTTTGTTAGTATACGTGACAGCAATTTTTTTGTCCGAGGCGAAAATTTAAAAACGATTACCACTTACAACATGATTTCATCTATATTTTTGACGAGGGTATTAGCCCACGGTTGTTTAATAGGATTTAAGTTGCGATTATATATATGTTCATATCTTTGTTTTGATTCAAATATTGTTGGACGATTCTGCAACTGATATAAAAATAATAGATGCAAAGATACTTGTGCTGTGTAACACTCTTTTAATTAATTGTCCACTAATTTCGGTTCGTCAAAGAAAATTCCCACGCTTGTGCGAGCAGGAGTTAGGACGAGGCCGGATGAGTTAACAACAACTATCCCCGGTCTCCCGTCCGCCTAAATGAATAATAAATCAGAGGAGTGTATGCGAATGTGAGTTTGTTTGTATTGTGTAGATATCCATATAGTTTTTTTACTTAATTTAGCAAAGAGTAGCCAAACTACACAAGCAACTTCTAATTAGGCATAACACTTGGGCTGTTACTACGAGTATAACCTCGATACCGGAGATTGTGGCTAACTATTTCGTACGTGTAGGACGTATCCCTACTATTATGCTGATTATTATTTGTAGTTTTTTCTAATATGCTTACCTTAAGGCAGAGGGTAACGTAATGTGCGCTCTTCCAACATGCGCGTTTGGGGGTGGAGATCGCGGTTGAGAGCTGGCGGAACCAGATCCTGAAGATGAGTCGGTGTCGCCTGTTTCTCCTTCTGTATTGGTTTAAGTTTTATGATCTACTTGAAAAGGATACATAAAACTTATATCAAACATGTCTTTGATAAACCTTAGATAAAAAACTGCATTTTGTTTCTTGATTTGTACTTCCGTGTTTAGAGGTTCTTGATAAACGGCATACAAATAATAATGTACCAAAAGACTATTAGACTTATAGTTCTTTTTTTGTTATGGAAGGGGGGCTAACGAGCAGACGGGTCATAAACGCCTGCAACTCAGGAGTCATAAACGCGTTGCCAACCTTTTAGGCAAGCACTCTTTTCTTGAAAGTTTGAAGGTCGTATCGCTCCGGAAATACCGCAGACGATAACCCGTTCCACAGATTGGTTGTGCGAGGCAAAAAGTGTCTTGAAAAGCGCACAGTGGTAGAACGCTAATTATCCCACCTGGATAATTAGCGTTCTACCACTGTGCGCTGACTATCGGGATAAAAATTTTACTGTGTGGAACGATGGCAGAAAGTTGCGGCCGGTATTCACATCACATCAACAGCCTTTAATAGTTTACTGCTGCACATAAGCCTCTCCTTAGAAAGGAGGTTTTGGCCTACTATACCGGCCGGCGGCCGCCTTTAGTCCAAACAATTCCTCGGAGCACTCTCCCTGATATATACGATATATGTAGAGTGCAGAGTGAAGGTACATCTCTACGTAACGCCAAGGGATCGAGCCAATCGGAGATCTTTGGGCTACCGACGATTCACGGTCCAGACGGTACCCTGCAAAGACATGAGAACGGTATTCCATATGCGGCCGTACTTCGCCTCATACAGTTGAAAGCGGTGGGCCGGAGTGAAATACTGCCTCGATCTGTTCAGCACACCGAGACCAATTTAACCTTACCCTTTAAGTGGCCGCGAAACTAGACTTGGCTCGATGTGTCGATGTCTAGGATTCTGATACTGGCTGAGGCAGTTAGAGGTGCTCGCAAACCGAGGTGATACGACAAACGGTATCTTCTTTGCGGTGAACGCGCAAACCTGTTTCTTTTTTGGGTTAAAGTGGACTAGATTTAGACGACCCCAATCTGAAGGAAGTTTCAATTTCAGACACAAGTTTGTTTTGACTCTCTGTGACGTTTTCCCGAGAAATATGGGGGCGGCTGGTATAAAGGGCATCTTCCATACCGTATCACCCGCATAGCAATGGATGCTATTAGTTTGGAACATGTCATTGATATGCAGAAGAAACAGTGTGGGTGATAGCACACAGCCTTGTGGGACATCAGCATTTATGGATTTCAAGCCGGAGCATGCACCGTTGATAACGACCTTTAATGCTTCTGTCTGCAAGGAAACTCTTACGACACTAACGGGATGAATAGGGTTGGTGACATTTAGTATTCTTAATCCGTCACCACACGGACATATGTCTATTATTATTACTATGCATACATACTTAGTATTCAGCCTTAAGAAAGACTTATCTACGATTTTCATGAATTCGAGATGCCTGACACGGGAGAACGACTAGGATAGAAGAGGTTTTTTTTTACTTGCATTTGTAATATATTTCTGGCTGTAAGTAAATTTAAACCAAATCAAAACTGTAGTCAATACTGAATATTTATACACTATTATTTTTTAATAGATTAATTTTTATTTTACTAAAAAAAGAGCAAAATCAATTCACAAAGGAGTTCATGTAGTAAAAAGCTATAATTATAAATGTACATACCATCTGGATCAGGTTGAGTGCTGCTGGAAGAGCCGTCGTCACTAAATCCGTGACGAGCGCGTTTGGCCGGCCCCGCCCCGGCATTTGTACTGCCGCCCTTCTTACGTTCTCGCCGGTATAGATATGCACCCCTATGTACAGTTAATTCTATCAATTGCAAACATTTCAAATCTTCATTCTTTGTATTTGAAATGTATGTTGGGCAATAAAAATATTTCTAATAAGAAAATTTTAGTTGCAAGATTTTTAAAGGAAATCATTTCGACTTCCATGGCGTGTCATTCAACTGCAACTTTAGGGCATTACAGAATATAATTGTTTTATTTAAACTATTAAAAATGCAAGTCCTGCAACACATTTCTTCTACCAAAAAATGGTATGATAGTAGTCTAATAATACAAGTCTAAGATCCTGCTGCAGGACTAGTGCACTCATGGAGTGTTTTAAAAAAACATTTTTTTACGCATATATATGATAAGGAGAATCAAATAAATAAAATATCGTCCACTTAAATGATATTTTATTTAAAAAACAAGTTAATGATCCTTTTTTTTCGAGAAATCAATCAACAAGAATTAAATTTAAAATACTAACGGCCACATTTTGATAGGCAACCTGGTAGATTCTCCTAATCATAAATATGCATACAAATTTGGTTCTTAGCAAACACTCGATGAGTGCACTAATTCTGCAGCCGGATCTCGTACTGACAGTAGCTACCTACTTGAATATATCCTATACCTACTAATTCTGTCTTTTTCTTTTCTTTTTTAGGGTTCCATACCTCAAAAGGTAAAAAAGGAACCCTTATAAGATCACTTTCTTGTCCGTCTGTCTGTTAGTAGTTAGTTTGTTATGTTAGTTCTCGTTAACCTAGAATCACGAAGTTTGGCAGAAAGAAACGTTTTACAGAACAAATAGCTTTATTTAATAATTCCAAAAAATAAAAAAAATTGAAAATTAGGATACATTTAGGTACTTACAAATTTTCGCGAAAATCTACGTAAAATCTAGGTAGGTACGGAACCCTCAGCGCAAGAATTCGACTCGTACCTGACCGTTTATTTTTAAAAGACAACTCCCGCATTAAAATTATATCCTGTGTCGCGGGGGACTTTACAAACATACATGAAACAGACACAAAGAACACCCAGACTCAGAACAACAATTTGTGGATGACACAAAGTGTCGTCCCATGTGGGGATCGGACCCACAACACTCAGTGTAGTAGTAAGCAACGAGGTGAACGCTTAAACGACAACGTCGTCCGTTCAGTCAATTTGCATATCTATTTAGTCGATTACAAAGTTATTCATGCAGTTTGTTTACATCTTTGTTTGAGTTTATATCATATTAAAGTTAAATAGGAATAAAACATAATTGAATATCTAAGAATATTATAATATTAGAAAATGGATAAAATATGTTTAAAGTTGAAACAAACACTTGGAGTATTAGATTTTTTCTGTAAATGAATTGGTTTTTAGGACTAATAACGAAATTTTAAAAAAGAAATTAGGATAGTAGACATTTAGAAACACTTACAGTTGTAGCTGTGATTTCTCAGCTAGATCCCTTTGTAACTGACGATTTTCTTCAGTATCTTTTAGTACAAAATCTTCACTAACACAGCGGTCCCAAGATGAATTCCAACCTTGAAAATGAATCAAGTATTCCACAGTTCGGCGCCCTCTCTTGTCCTTGCTTTCGATTACCTCTAAGACCTGTTTAAATTGGAAATAAGATATTGTGCTATAAATTGTGCCCTCTCTAACAGTTTTTATTTGTACTCATGAAAGATTAAGCTATTGTGAATGAGTGAAGGTACAGTTACATGGCATGCAGATTTACTACATTTCATCATCATCATCAACAGACTTTCATAGTCCACTACTGGACATAGTCCTTTTTTAGGAGGTTTTGGCCTACTATACCACAATGATGATGATACCACAGTGGCCCGACGATTTCAATAACTAAAACTACTATTGTATAATGCATTCCACAAATTATTATTATGTCTAATATCTTTGTATTTGTCCTGCACCAAGAATAACGTATATTTTAACATTTTTTTCCAGTAAGCTTTGAAGGCTGTTAATTATAATCGGTTTATATTGTTTTTATTGTAGGTACAGGTATTGAATAGGCAAACAAAGACTGGTGAAAGCATGGCTACTTGCCCCGCCCAGGCTACACCCATTTTTACAGATAAAAAGCTAATGGTTAAAAACTATTTGTTAATGTACTTAAATAACTAAATTAATAATATATTCAGAATATTAGTTAAAAACAGCATTTTGCCCTAATTACATAAAAGAATAATAAAGTAAGTTATAGTTACAGGTTCATGCAAATTTTAACTTTTTATCATAGAAATATTAATTTAGAAGTCTAATTGAAGAACGCTTCATGATGTTAGGTATGTTCATCTAAAATTTGATGAACACAATACTTTGAAATGTAGTATTTCAAACGTTCTCACTTCTGGGGGAAAATCTTGTAGTGGCTTTGTGTTTATGTAGTGTGTCTATAATTATTAAAGATTATTAGATGATATACAATAAACTAGGGTAGGGCGTGGTTAGGCCTACCGGCGTGGCTATACCTTTGAATCGTAGAGAACTTTAGCTTTTGTTGGGTCAGGTTCATAACACAGAACGCGTTCACCTTCACTGAATTTGTAGCGTACACCTCTTGTAGATACCATAACTTGATTTTATGGTCCGGCAACGATAAGTAATCAATATTTTATTAATAAAGTTATGTAATTTACTAAGTTAAACTTTACGGTTAGTTATAATGCGGAAGACGCAAAATCACTTTTAAATATTCGGAAGAACTATCCACTCTATTACACTATAATAATATCAGCGAGACAAAATTTTAGGAATATTGTTCAGCAACTGAGGACGTTGCAGCCGGACGTGCAAGACACGCCTATTTTACAAAAATAATGTTTTGTTTGGGCGTCGGCTGATGTTTATTTTGATTTCAGCTGTCAAACAAGTTGATGCATAATATAGTTTATCACTGTATTTTTGACATATGGCAAGGAAATACTGACTATGTCGCTACTAGTACACAATGAACAAGTTTCAAAATATAGAAAAACGATCCATAATTCTCCATTTTCTATTTATAAAACTATGACTAGAAAGTAACAAATAACGTTTTGATTGTTAAAAGATAGAAATAGTGTTATTTCGAATTCAATTTGGCCCTTTACAATAATTTATCTTTTTCTAAAGCTAAACCGTATTGTTTTCTTATTAATTTAAATATATCTTATTTGGATATTTCAGTAAATATATTGTTAAAAAACAATGTGTATATTTAATGTATCATTATTCCTGGTAAGTATACGGTTCTGACTTAACTCGGGCGTTGACGGGTTCCCGCCCAATCTGTTTATACACAATGCAGATCCTACCGCATAATATATATATACGCACATGTTGTTTGACTGTATGTATTACTTCGAGTGCGGGTGGCATGGTAACTGAGCCACACCCCATTTCCTCTCAAGTAGAACGTTTGGTCATTGACATTTTAGATAGTAAAAAAGAAAAGTAAATCTTTAAAAAATATGTTTATTTATGCGTTATAATCTTTATGACATAGGCATACCTACTATGTAATAATCGGGTGAGCTGAGTCTTATAGAAATAAGACTAAAAAATGCAATACCTATTTATATGATAAAGGTCATTTATTCAAATAGTTTTTTTTCTTTTTTAGGTCCATTACTATAAAATAGGTTAAATAGAATAATTCTGTCAGCTGTAAAAACACATTACATAATTGTTTACAAGTTTTGTTGTATGAGCAAACTGAGCAGTTACTTGAAATATGTAAATATAAATTTTGCTGAACGGTCTTAGTGCATTATTTTTGACAAGTGGGTCATCACTGATGTTGCTAGTTGCTTATGTAGGCTATTAGAATGTTATTATTAGACTGTAGTTATGTAGATTTATATTGATAAAATAGTTTGTAAGCACTTCTTTCAGGTCCAACCTAGTTCGGCAAACAAACAAAAAAACAATAATTTTATAATTAAAGATTTTAATGTTTCAAATAGTTTTGCTGACTTTGTAGTTTTTGAGTTCATTACCTACTCTAATATTGCAATTGTTTATGTCTATAGCATTTTCATCAAAGAGACACACACACATGAGCGCGAGTTTAAAGTTTTAATTAAAATACTGTAAGTAGGGATGCTCGATGATCATCAATGTTAAAAGATAAAACATCGATGTTTAAACATCGATATTGCATTACAATAAACATCGTAACATCGATGTCACGAACAAATAATCGAAATTTCGTCTAGGACACACACAATCGAAATCTATTATTTTTATGAATACACAATGGTATCAGCCACATTGGGAGTGTATGAGTTAACAGAATCAATTAGCAATGAATACATTGCAAGGGTTGCTGTTTCTTACTTGCGAAGAATGGCTGATAAATACAAATAAAATATTGGCAGTGCTGACTGATGGAGGAGCAAATGTAGTGAAAGTGATTGTTATTGCGTTTGGCAAAAAAGTCTGTCATTTCTTTATTTATTTATTGCAAGCTTCAACGTGGTTCAAGCAATGTGTTGGTGCAAGTGATCCAGCTATTAACCAAATTGTAAACTGACAAAACAGTGCTCCTCCAATTGTAAACGCCAAATAGACAGATGAACTGACTGAGATCGCAACTCAAGAGGCATGCGGTTGTTTGTTACCAGCAAAGTTATTCCTTTAACGGGAATGCTAAATTTGTATGTCGACGGTTTGCACCCAAAACACGTTGAATTAAAAAAGTCATGCGATTTTGTGGGCGTTTTATTTATTGATGAGTGTTGTGTGCAAAAAACATCGATGTTGGCTTGACATCGATGTTTTGTGCTTAATAAACATTGAGTATCGATGTTCTGCTATCGATGCCACCAAACCCTCAGATTATTAAATAATTTAAGAGAACAACCGAGTTCGAGAGTGAAGAACTTTAGAAACAACACGTGTTGTTTCTCTAAAGTTCTTCACTCTCAACCTAACGAAAAACGAAGTCGAAAAACTTACGTAAGTTTATAACAGATTTTAACCCAGCATTTTCAAAGTTTTCAACTAGAGATTTATAAAAAAAAACAAAAAGAGATTTGGCAAGAAAGTACCTACTTTATTGATAGGATACGTATTTTATACATCTACAGCTAAAATGGATTTTGCGACAGGGTTTTGATTGATTCACAAGGAAAACTAAAGGTAAAAATATATGAGAGTAAATTTGTGTGTAGATTTAACGGTAAGTATTAGCGATCGTCTGGTGGGCGGGGATATTCAAAAATGTTTTGTGTGTGTAAGATAAAATATTGTTTTTAGGGTTCCGTACCTCAAAAGGTAAAAATGGAACCCTTATAAGATCACTTTCTTGTCCGTCTGTCCGTGTGTCACCACCGATTTTCTCAGGAACGGGTAGACCTAGCAAGTTGAAATTTATACCAGATACTGAGGTCTATGGTCCCTTTTAGGTGTATAAAAATCAAGGTCCTGAGTCAACACGAAAGATATGGGCAAATTTCGATTTTCGCGAAAACTTGTGAGTATAGATAGTTCAACTCAGATGTGCGCGCGGCCCTATGTGTGGGTAAACCTTGTACATATACAGTGACTTTGTATGCGTGACAAGAGGTACAGTCGTACAAATACAAATATAGTTATTTCCGGGTTATATACGGGTTTTAAAAAAAAGAGTTATTTCGTAATGTAATGTTTATTTATTGAACATTATTCTGAATCGCTACTTGAAAAATCAAATGATGAATTTTCGGATTCGCTGCTCTCACCAAGGTTAATTATGAATTCTGACTCCATGTCAAAATGTCTATAGTATTCTTCTTCTTTCTTTTGTACATGTCGACAAGTATTACCCCACATCCCTTCATCAATTTGACTTAAACGTTCATTTATGAGTTTCATTATTTCCGTCACATTTTGGTCGACATTATGCGAAGCAATATAATTCTTTAAAATTCCCCACACATTTTCTATGGGGCTTAGTTCAGGATGATATGGTGGCAGTCGAAGAATTTTTATGCCATATGGCTGAAGTATGTCGTCAATCTTGTAACAGATATATTTTTCTTTATTTTTTTTTAATCAAATCATACAGTTCAATTTTTTCATATCTTGATTAAAAGCTATATTTTTTTTCTGTCAGCCATCTCTGCATTTCTATTTTTTTTGGAATTAGAATTTGGGGCTCTGTCATTTTGAACGATATGGTATGAGGCATTATCAAGCACAACCACAGAGTTAAGTTAAAGATTCGGTACTAGACGTTCTTTTAGCCACTTTTCATAGTTTTCTGCGTTCATGTTAGAGTGGTAATCACCAGAAACACTATTTGCTTTGTATGTCAATAGTGCGTTAGGTACGAAACCTTGTTCTGAACCAGCATGCACAACGATAATTCTTTGTCCTTTCGACAGGTTTCTCTTTAAAGGTGGTCCATCTTTATTACCCCATCCTTTGTTTTGCACATGATTAGTTAAAATGTAGCTCTCATCTGTATATACGATACACCGATTTTCTTGACGGTATCTGAGTAAATTTTTTAGGAATGGATGTTTTTGGATGTCATTCCGCTCTATAATAACACGTCAGTTATCCACAGTTTTTCGCCATTTGTATCCCAACTTTAACAAAGCTGCACGCAGAGTCGAAATACTTCCATCATAGTTAAGTTTATCTTGAAATATTCTTTTCAACTTTAGCAAGGTAGGTAACTCGCTATGTTCTAAATGGTAATTTTGAATAGTGGAACGTATAACATCAACGTTAAAGTTGTCTAATTCTAACTTTTTAAACGTTTTTTACGGTCTTTATGCGGAGATTTAAATTTAGAGTCAGATTCTTTTCCTTCAGCCAATATATTAGTAATTGTTCTCTCTGATACCCCCACTGCCATTGCTGTTCTTTTCCTTACGCTATTTAAATGTTCACTTAATTTCGATATTAAAATTGGACTTGCACTGCAAACTGGATCACTTACTAGTTCCAATGTATCTCTCGCTTCTATTTTCAGAAATTCGTATACCTTAGCAATGGTTTCTCGAGTCTAAAACAATAATACGTAAACGTCAACAAGGATATATTTTTTCGTATATAGAATCATAATAAATATTAATTACATCTAAATTTAAAAAATATTTACCTGACTCCTTAAACATTTTCTCCGTGAAGAACTAGACATTTTCGTAAACGACTGTACCCTTAAGAAAAAGCGATAAGAACACGTCTTGCTCGGACGACGACTGCCGCGTCACTGCCACACGAATGAAAGTTGTATATTTACAAGCCCACGCACACATAGGGCCGCGCGCACAACTGAGTTGAACTATCTATACCAAAATTTACCTTAATTTTCAACTTTTTTATTTTTTAGAATTTTCTCTTTACTTGTGCTGTAAGACCTTGCTTTTAACCAAAATTGTCAATTATAGGTCAACCGGAAGTACCCTATAGGTTTTGGGTCGAAAACCTATATGGTAGTTCCCGTTGACCTAGAATCACGCAATTTGGCAAAAAGAAACGTTTTACAGCGCAAATAAGGGAATAATTCCGAAAAATAAAAAAGTTGAAAATGAGATAAATATTGGTACTGACGAATTTTCGCGAAAATCTACGTAAAATCTGGGTAGGTACGGAACCC